GGTCTTGCCGACCTTGCGGTGGTTTCGCTCACATATTGCGAAACTGGTATGGTATGGCTGCAAGGCGGACATAAGTGGCAGGCCCTAACGTGGAAATCGTGACATGCACGTCGTGTAAGTCATGACTGCATACGCTCACGGTGCGCTCGCGGTCGTTTCGCTAGCTTCACGTACATATACCAAATTTGGTATTACGTGACGGGAACGCATGACGAAGGTATATGACGGGTGCAAACATGATAATCATGAGATGCGCGTCACGTAATAATATGATTATAGTATACACGTCACGCTCATGATGCGCTTGCGGCCGTAACTGTAGCTTCGCATATGACAAATTTAATTGGTCCCACTCATTTGCTCTCGAGATGGTTATCATGTGGATACTCCCGGCTGGCTTTGCTGTTATTTAAAGTCGCTTTCACGTCTCATATACGTGTACGCCTCTATATATACAAAAGCGGCGAAGAGAAATATTTCACAAGAAATTTTCCAAAGCGGGTCACAGTGGATTAGAAGCTACTGACTTCACACTCAGCAGAGTGCGGCGTTTAACACACAAAACGTATACGCCATTCAGCCATATATATACTTAAATATATTGTTATATATTTACCGCTGCTGGTATGCAGAGATCAGAGGCACTTCAACCTTTTCTCTTTTTCACCAGCGAGATGGCGCGAACGGCGCGTGCTTCAAAGGTCGCGTCATCCCGTTCGTTGCTGATGGCCGCTTCCTACCGTTACAACTTAATTGTAGTTTGTCCCTTACAAGACATGGTCTCCATGTGCGAGAGCTCTCTCGTGATGAAGGATGGTTTGTTTTGAAGTTACACAACATTCGCTCGCTGTAGCTGCCGCATTTGCGGTAAGGAGCCAGCTGCATGCTAACAGCTTGAAGTAACAACTGCGACAATTGTTTATTCGCACACATCCCGTGTATGAGTTTCGTTCGTTTCATTGCATGCTTTGTCTTCGAACAGCGCACTTCAAAGGGCAGTCGTTAGTTCGCGTTCGCCCTGTGTGTATTCTTTTCAACCGTCCTTTGTGCTTGAGCAGCGCGCGACAGGTTTCGAGGTGCTTGTTCTTCGCGTGACATTCCAACTCTGTTGCAGTGCCATCCATTGATTCGCTTTTGAGCGAGAACGCCAGCTATTTCTGATTGGTTTTCTTGTAATAAAATGGAAGAATTAACGCAAACTACGTGTTACCACACTTCAGACGGAGGCACCTTCTGCTGAGCTACGTTTTTGTTAAAAGGTGGGTCGAGTGAACGGTACGTGCGAACACGGGTTAGAGGCACTGAAGCCCCTTCCGAATCCGCGACTGAAAGAAGCGGGAAGGGCGGGGCGATAAAAATTTGCCCACCCTTCTACTAAAATAAGAAACGAAATGAAAGAATAGCCATGAACACACGAAATTCGTACCCGGGCCTTTCAAAAGCGTGGCAGTCGAGTATTCTACCACAGAGCCACGCTGATGCTTGAAATTCTTTAGCAAAAAGATCCTATACTGCAAAGTATATGGTTATAGAAGCGTTGATACAGACGTGATGCCCGGCCAGAAATCACGTTATTAGATAGATTTAGTTGTGCGTCCCCAGCAGCTGTACGGACGCAGCCTGCTAGCCATTTTCATTGACAGGCCGCGTCCGTAGGCTTAGATTACACAAATTTAGTGGTGCGTCCGCAGCAGCCTCCCTGGGTGCTGCCATAGCCCTCCATGGGCTGTGCAAATTGGCGGGTCCGGTCGAAAATGCACTGACAACGCTGCGTCCTTAGCCTTTGTACTCCCGCGCACAGCACATCATGGCGGTGTTTTTTTCCTTCCTGTGAAAAGGTGTATAACAGCCCGGGGAAGAAATGTACAACGAAAGTGCGCTCTAAGGCTTCCCGTAACCACAAAGTGCCCAGCCATAATTCATCATCATCAGCCACATAAACAATGTTCACCTAATGCCTCACAGATGTGTAGCGGGTACCATCGCTTCTCCATAGAATGACGAGTAATTAATGGCGTAGTGGGTGCACATTTCTTCACGACGTTGGTTTATGGCGTAGCGGGTACCTTGCGTGTATACTTGTATTAGTTGCTCAAAGAGAGTCTACGACGGGCTCTGGAAAGGCCACTCTTTTGAACCTTCGCCGCGACTATGCCACGCGTTCAAGAACCCCGCAGCATCTCTTCAACATGGCCACAAAACACTGCCAATAGGAAATCGAGGCTCCTGAGAATACGTGAGCCAAACATTTCGGCACAGCACTGTGGCCTGGAATAAAAAAAAAATCTCAAAGTCAGCTAGAAATGATTCGTTCAGTCTTCTTTTTTTTTTTTTGTGAAGTGAGGTCATATACTCACACCACTACGCCGTATATCCGAATTCACGGCCAATGGCTGATTTGAGCATCACGAGCTGCATAGTCACTGAGGATGCCGCGGGAGGCCGCCACATGCCCGTGTGAACTAAGGTCCCTAGATGAAACAAGTTTCCTTAGTGTGAACTAGAGTGCCTCGATGCGCGCGCCCCCAAACGGAGCGGAGGCGAACGAGCACATCGAGGCACTGCGACCGCGATCACACTGAAAGTAGGCGGACTTTTGGAGGCCAAATAAATAAGTAAATAAATAAATAAGTTGGCGGTTATACGTAACTTCTTCACCACGTACCTACCTTCACCCTGCCTATAGCCAGCATCTGGCGCACTTGTGGGGGCGAGGGAAGAGAAAGCAATGCCAGCGTGCACCAAAAATCGGTACCGCCACTCGCATTTGACGGATTCTCAAAATTTTCGCAGCGGTCAAATCGCGATTAAACAACTCCTTTATGAAGCCGATCGATGGTCACTTGGAAGTGTTGCAGGGCCCCTTCAATACCCCTTAAACTTACCAACAAACTGCACCCTGTATACAAAGTGATTCAAAGGGCATTGGCTCCGGCTTCTTGGTTTCAGCGGCGATCTCTGGCTGCTGTGTTGGGCAGCTTGTAACGAATAAAAAAAGACTCCTTTTTTTTTGTTTGGGTATAACTGACACGTATGAACTCTTCTGGAAGCCTCAAATTAACACATCTATATATTTGTCTCCAGCCCCAGAGCACCAGAATGCTTGCCCAATTGATTTCCTTTCTTGACATGTGAAACACTTCTGCCACTTCCTAGTACCGGCATCATAGTGAACGAGCAGTAACGCCAGTATCAAGAAAGAATTGAGTGCAGCGCACAATAATAGCAGTGCTATGCCAGATTGGTTAATTTCTTTGTTAATGAATGCTGGCGCTGAAGCAGTCTGACATTAACACATCTGCCTGTCTTGAGCACCAGAATGCTTGAACACTAGAATTCATTACCAAAGAACTTAATTTAAACTGTTTAATGAATCAACCGTTAAGCCAGCTAGCCTTCTGTAGCCTCATATACTAAAGAGATAAATATGAATAGTGAGGAATAATGTCAGCAATTTCATGCTTGTGTGTGAGACAAAGTTTTAACACTCTTTGTGTGCTTACCTATAGGCTGTTTTTGACAGTGAGCATGTACACATACATACAATTTAGGCCTAAAAATAACAAATTTTTCTACCAATCAACTAAGCAGCAAGTATACAGCACCCTATCTTCTTTTTTCCTTGATCCCGTTTTTTTTGCACAATGGTTCAAGTACCATGCATCATAACCACCCCACCCAGTCTACCATATCCTACAAAAGAGAAGCACATGCATCAGATGGCCCTTCAGAAAAGCTTGAAAAGAAAAAAAAAAGGTATTACTTAAGGTTCCTCGGTATTTTGTCTGCAAGTAACCAAATCGCTACTGTTCATTCAGGGAACTGGAAGCGCGGAAACACAAGACAGACAGAGAAGAGCCACACAGCACGAGCGCTGATTGTTTTGTGTTCTCTCAGTCCCAGTTTGCTGAACGAATATGAACTACAAGCTAGTCCACCTACCTACCCATGTTGAAATTGGTACTAAAGGCACAAAAACAGAAATTGAATGAAAGTAGAAAGTGGCCGTGGTGCCCGTAGGCGTGCGCAGGTACGCTCCAGCGCAGGGTTGCCCACAAGTGTGGGCAAAGGTTCATTGCAGTGACCTCGCTTCTTACTAAGTCAATGTATGGGAGAGATTTTGCACCCCCCCCCCCCCCCGCTCTTAGGTAAGTAGGGAGGGGGGGGGGGGCACCCTCCCTAGTTACCTGGGGAGGTGCCCCCACTGAGCCCATGTTAGATAGGAAGCCTTCATGTGAATGCCTCCGTGCCCAGGCACAGAGCCCCTGTAAGCACACCTATGGCAACATCAACCTTAAGTTTTCTCCGCCAGGTGAGGATAAATGTAGCCAATTAGACGCGAAGTATGTAACCACCAATGGTAATCCTGCCTCTGTTGCATCACTTTGGTCTGCTTCTCTCCTTGCTTTGCCTGGGATGCCATTCTGGACATCGTCGAATTTTGCCATATCGTCAAATTTTGTAATGATGGCATTTTTAAACCAATCGGAAAGGCCGTAGCAGCCCTCTGGGCTAATCGGCATTGATAAATGGTAGATTGCGACAGCATGACGGAATTAAACAGTGTCCAAAACCCCTGGTCAAGAGTTTGAACAAAAAAGTGTTCCTATTTTGAGCACGGCCACGTGACCAGCTTGAGATGGCTACTTGCGCGAAAGCTTCAACTGCTGACCTTGGTGGTGGCTGTTTGGTCTCTGAATGCGTTGCTCGAAACACAACAGCTTGTCATTTAACGAAACTCTAACTTGGACCAAGCCGGATACTGACAGTGACATGCATCTCAGGGTCAGAACAAGCCTGTGTGCCAAGGACAATCTTATTTTTTCCCCCTCAAATCTGATGTGCTTTCATACCAAACTATCCTGGCGTGCTTTCTGTATCATTGTTTGAGAAAGCATTGCGTATTTCCCATAATTCCTGCAAACTTTTTTGCTCCTGAATACTGTGGCTAATATAAAGGCTCTATAGGTTGGGGTAACCTAAGAAAACAACAGCTAGACTTGTTCAAGTTATATTTGCTTTAATTACATTCCAACATTGGGCAGCATGCACAAGGGCAAAAAACAAGCAAAATTGGTACACATGCGTCCGTAGAAGAACTTCACCATCGTACAATTAACCCACAGTTCATAAGTATGTACAGTTTTCTCTGAATTTCAAGGAGCAGCTGTGTTAAGTATGACTCGTTGCTAGCTCATCCGAATACTCTTAGCAATAGGCCCACCTTGATTCGCTCCCCATTTCAAAATATCATGGCCGCATAATAAAAATAACAAACTCGTGGAAAGTTCAGCTGATGATACCTACAACTGCCTGCAAATATGCTTGAACAAGTCCACAAGTGCCGAAGCGTGAGATGGATAGTGGTTTGAGATTTGGAAAGATGATAACTTGTGCAACATCTGAAGCTGTAGACTGCAACACTAATTTGAACTATAATGCATACAATTAGCTTACAGTAACTTCCAGTGAGTATGAAAAAAAACTGCAATAGATGAAGAAAAATGTTAGTAATCTATAAACGAGTTTCCTAGCAATCAAACAAGAGCAACAGATAAGTGATAGTAGTACTATATAGTTGTGTGCAATGCGGTGCATATTTCATGATTACTCATTTGTGTACAAGTTTATCTCTCATAACACACACACAATTGCTCTATTGATGTCGCAGGAGAATATAAGCCAGCGTAGTAAAATCTCGGTAATATCACATGCATTAGCAGCATACTGTGACTAGCTACAGATAGTGACTTGCGGACGTTTCACTGTGCCAAAGTTTTGTTTGAGGTACGAATTGATATACAGGAAAAAAATCAAATAAACATTTATTAAACCAGAACAAAAAAAAAAAGAAGCTGGGTTTCAGTGAAACACTAGCATAAGGTTCTATCAAACTTCAGGCTGCAATCGCTCATTATATATTCACATTGTGAACAGGCAGAGCTGTGACGTTCAAGTAAAAAGCCTTTGCTAAAACTATTAAAAACTTTTTAAGATTCATTGCCTGCATGCATCTGGCTCAAAGATATAGTTCTCTTCCAAGCAAACACAATATTTTATAGGAGAATTACCAAGAAAATTTGGGGCAGCGTAGTGTGACTAGCTACAGATAGTGACTTGCGGATGTGCCACTGTGCCAAAGTTTTGTTTGAGGTACGAATTGATATAAAAAAAAAAATCAAATAGACATTTATAAAGCCAGAACAAAAAAAAAAGAGAGAGAAAGAGAGAAGGAATCTCATCATTTGACACACACGAAAAGTGATGCAGCTCCATTGGCAAGACCTTTTTGACGAGTTTTTTCTACAAGGAGACAAAATATCTTGGGCCAGATGACATGCTAGTATTTATGTTACACTTGCACGTAACCCCGTGGCAGAGGGCATCTGCTGAGGTGCTGTCAAGGCGTGCCATTAATAAAGTCACACAATCACCAGACCAGCAGGCATTGTCAAATCAAATACACACACTGTCACATCTATAATTAACTCAGGTAGTGTGGAGGTTTGTTGGAGGTGGCCTCCAATTCACACATCAATCGCTATATACACACAAGTCTTGATACACAGCAATTAGTGATAACTCGTAAAGGTGGCCTCATACCACACATCAATCTCTATATAACACAAGTTTCGATGCACGGTGATCAGCCACAAGTCGTAAACGATGCCTCTCGTTGAGAGCCTGACGGAGACGACGAATGGCAGACGCCGAAAGAGATCGATCTCTCGTAACGGCAGACTCGAAACGCAGTGATGGTGCTCTAAATGGCCTGGACTAGCAGCATGTCATTTTCCTTCAGGCCCTAATGAGGGGCTCATCGTCGTCGTCGTCATCCTCGAATTCGTCGGCGTCCACCTCCACCGAGGACTGCCGTCCTCGAATTACTACCACCAGGAACGAGATCACCACACTCTGCATGCAAAAGAGAAACAAGGTGGCTAGAATGATTGGAACACTAAAGATTTTGGCTATGCTCAATTAAAGCGAAAACAAAAGATTATTTAAAAAATATTTTGTTTGTATATTGATAAAATAACCCTGCACAGTACCAAAGGCTACACATTTTTGTCAAGACAATTGCTAAGCCAGAAAAAATGCAGACAGGAACTATAGGTGGCACCACTTCCTTTGATGTTTCTGCAACTAAACGGGTCGTTTAAGTACCGATGTTCTTCATTCGCCACAAGCTTCTTGGTCAGCAAATATAAACTGAATCGTGTTGAGAATAGCCAGATACTTAGCCCTAAAAATTTTAGGGCATTATACTGAGCCAATGGGGTCGAAATGCCAGTAATAGACTTAAAAGGTGTAACTGGCAGCTGCCCGTTCATAGAATAATTGAAATAATCTTAATGCAATTGAAATCACTTTATTGCTGCAGCACGAAGCCGCTATAAAATCCATACCAATTTCTCAGACAGGAAAGCTTCTGCGTAAATTTTTTGTTCACAGATAATTCAGAAATAAAATTTCTCAAAGTGCAATACTAGACACTTTGCAAATGTCATTGTTGTCCCCATTATTTTTTATGCTATGCTTGGTTTTTTATGAAATAGAAGCATATTGATAAAGTGCAAACCTGTAAAATTTTGTAGTACGTAACACTTGACTAACACATTCAATTCGTATAAAAAATGAAGAGTTAGACCCTTAAAATTCACTTTAGCGTAAAGCGATCTCAATGCAATGTCACAGTCAAAGGTGCGGTTTTCATCATGGCCACGTGTTCTAGCCAGCCAATGATGCTGGCCAACTCGCACGCGGTTTCCGGAGAGTCCACGCTCCCTCACGTCACTGCAGGTATGCGTACCGTGCAACATTTTGCGAGTATTCGACAAGGAGGTCCAGAAAATGCTGGAGAGAAAAATATATACCTAAAAAACCAAGACTTACCAACCCTTACACGGTGGCCACGGATGCCGTCTTTGTAGGTGCATGATAAAATGACAGCTTTCAGTGAAGAAAACGGTGTGTTTTCCTCACATGCACTACTTAAAGTAGTTATGAATGTGGCATCTCATCCAGGAAGACACTACTCAGCAAGCGTCTTTGTGACTAATTTCTTTTCGGAGAGCCTTGATGTGATAGCAAATGGTAGAGTAGATAAGCTCATTGCAGGGGAACGTGGCAATGGGAGGGGCTAATTGGTAAAAACGTCCAATTTTTCAATTAATTTTTTGTGCAAACCCGAGATTATGTTTTACATCATGGTGAAGTGTTAGACCAAAATAAATAGTAGAAGTCTACAAAAAAGTATTCTACTGGCAGGCTGTCGGCAAAGACTATTAAAAAACTGGGCTTTAGAAAATGCAGATATGCAGCTTTGCCTCGGCACAGTCATTCATTGTGAAGAGGAGAGATGGAAGCTTAAAATAGCTTCAAAACCACGTTTCTCCAATTAAAAATAAAGCCAGTTCCCATTCGAATTCCGTTTCCTTAGCTAGTGGCTCCAATTTCTTTGGGCTCCATTTTCTCGGCTCTCATTTTTTGAGCAGTCGCTGTTGGCAATACCAGTGCCGTTTCGCAACAAAGATATAGCCATTCCGTTTTCTGCACTTGTATACCGATACAATGGTGAGTGGTGTAAAGCTATTCACATTTGAGTTCAAATCACAAAAATTTTTGTAATTGGCTTTTTGTAAAAGTTCTTGTTAAGACAATATGCCCAAGACATTTCAAATTTTTTTTTGTTCCTACTTGAGTATTAAAAAATAAACCAATAGCCATACGGCACTGAATGGGCCTTTGTGAATATTTTAATTCAAAATTTTCAAGAACCTATTTCTAATTAATCCATTAATTTTGGGATGACAATGATAGTATATGACAATGATGACAGTGATAGTATGACAATGATAGTATACCAATTCCAGTTATGATATCAGCACAACAAATGACATCTGCAAGCCAAATTGAATTATCTCCATAAGTAACAAAAATAATTTTTATGCCACATTAACACTCATCCCGATATGTTCCTTTTGTACGGAAGAACCTCTTCATTTATTAATTAGTTAGCATTTACATTAAACATGCAAAAAAACCTGACCACCAAGCTGGCACAGGCCAAATAGCATTTCCAGATTAATCAAAGTGTGGGCAAGTGCTGGTCCTACCTTCGCAGGTAAGGCATTGCGAGAGTTGGCACTTCAGCTTTTTTTTTAACCTCCTTGGTTTCCATGTATTACTTGCTCCTGTATTCGCCATAGAGTTAATTGTGCCACAGATTATGCAGGCACACAACTGCATGAACTGACGAAGGGTGCCCCAACGTGTCAATGCCATGATGATTCATTGCACTCAAACATTGATATAACGAACATGGATATAACCAAATTTTGGTTGTAATGAAGTAAGTAAGGAACAGTTTTTTCATAAATACAGCGTTACGAATTATGTTCATAACAAATTTTCAGATGTAGCTAAGTATTCTTGCGGGAGGTGTGACTGTATTATAATAAGATTCGAGTGCATAAAAAATAAAAAAAATATTAAAAACAAGATAAGAAAAAAAAATTGGCTGCCTATCTGCGCACTGCAAAGGTCATTGAAAGATATTCCGTCTGGAAAGAGAAGAAAACATTTATTTGATGTTCTACGCAAAAAACATCGAAGTAGGCACTGTGTGACATATGGACGCCATCTGGCAGTAATTTCAAGAAACGAAAGTGTTTCTTGAATGCATAGTTTCATGCGCGCACATAGTGTGGCCCCTGACGACGTTCAGCTTTTCTTTTTTTTTTTATTGCAATAGGAATTATGTATACGGACAGTCTCGGCTCCTTTTTTGCCGCCACCGCTGCCATTATTCATCGTATATATACGTACAGCCGTCAGCACCTTTAACACAAACACTTCGATGCGTGGCCAAGGCTAGTTTGATTGATCCCAGTCGCGAAGTGCTGGGCGCTTTTGCCGACATAATACCTCGGTAGGCCTGGATAGTATGTCGGCATGTATGGTTAGCATCTTGGCAACAGAACCCAAATGTATGTGGTTTCAGCGTCCCTCAAACTGCTGCAGGACACGCGGCGGAGCGTTTGTGTTAAAGGTGCCGACGGCTGCATCTATATATATGAAAACTCAAGAAAAAAAAGCCACCCAAGCCAGGCGCCCAGCTCATCACTGTGCGCCCACGCTTATCTCCCACGTGTACTTTGCCCTGCAAATGGAGCGGGGAGGGGTAGATGCGTGTGTGCTTATCCTTCGGAGGGGAGAATCGCGCGCCTTCAACGTTGACGGCAACGATTGTGTTTAGTTGCCTGGTGCACAAAGATCACTTTGCTAGCTGGACAGGCGTCGTTTGCGAAAAGAGTACGAAAGAGTACGCTTTTACACAGCGAAGTAACAACTGAGGCACCTGTTAGTTCCCACTCATTATATTTCGTGCCTCGATTTGTTTAAACAGCGCATCAAGTGTTGAGCGCTAAATGTTGTTAGTTTGCTGTCGTCCTGTGTATGTTGTTTTCATGCGTCATTTGTGTGTGAGCCGCACGCTGCACGTTTCTATCTGCTTGCCGTTCTAGGCGTTACATTCCAAGTTGTTGTTATCGCATTCATTGCTTCGCCCTTGCGGCGAAACTGTGCCTTTCTTAATTTCGGAAAACCGTGTCCTCACCACCAAAGGGATGCCAGATTAAGCCCTGATGGAAACTTTTCGAGACAACAGTGACGACAGATCTTCGGAGGCTGACTCGTCACGCGCTTCCGTTTTATGCCGAGAGTTCGCAGGCTGGTAGCTTTCGTGATTAGCCGATTAGTTCTGGCAACACAGAGGCGCGTTCCATGCAACGCAACGATCACGATAGCGAAAAATTGTAATGTTATAAGAAGTAAGGCTGGCAGGCAACTCTTTTGGATCTGACATCGCGGAACTCCTAATAAAACAAAAAAAACCCGCTTGTGTGTGCATACGGCCGCTCCAGGGGGAAGTGCTCTTTTCACACAGTCTCTTCGCATTGAGACCACACTGATACTCGCCGAGATAGCAAGCACGCCAGCGATCGCAACCGCCCTTAATATCCAAGTTCATTAATGCTACTCAAGCGATCTCCGCGTTTACTTTCTGTTTGAGCATTAGACAGCAGTTCTAACAACATGCGGGAGATGTTATGCACTTTTCAGGTGATACGGATGAGCAGATTAATTAGATCTCTGCCTCAGCAGCGCTCACACGCTTTCACCCGCCCATGAAAATTATGATGCGCGGGGGCATATGAATTATCAATTTCGACTTGTTGCGGAACATGGCAGTGACAGCAAAAGCCCGCTGCGAGTGTCCATATAATTGTAATAATGCAGCTTTTTACTGTAAAATAAGCGTTTTGGATTAGTTTTACTTTCAGTCCCCCTTTGGTTTAACTTGCGCATCTATTTTCTAAATTTTGTACCGAACCTGCATAGAACGAAACCCTCTTTACAACAAATTTTTCCAAGAATTCATCGCTTTCGTTATATCCAAATTTAACTGTACGTACTTGCTTTTTGATTGACAATTCACACAAGTATGAATGCAGCAAGCAGATCCAGATGGCTGGGCATCAAGAAGGTAGCTAAACTTTCGCCTGGTGGCTGAATCGTGCGACTGACAGACCAACTGACAGACAGACCAACATTTCTGCATTGAAGTATTCCAAGAAAGACTTTATCGTCTTTAGAAAATCTCACCCCAATGAACAGCCAAGTGGCCCAGTAGAAGGCAGCTCCAAAGATCCATGCCTTGAAGAAGAAGCTCTCCAGCATGGCGCTTCCCCGGCTCATCACACAGTCATCTGCAAGTCGAATAGAGTCATGTTACCCTACAAACCAAACCGGCCACGAGTTACGAGCGATAACTGCTCAAAAATTTGGTATTGGATAAGTTTCCAGTGCCTGTTATTTCATATCTGTGTTGCTGGGGGTCAGCATGGGTGTTGTGGTGTACACGTATCCCGAAGAAGTACGGCCACCAGCGTGAATCCGGTCTAAGCGAGCCGCAGGGCTTGCGTTAACCATCGCCGTGGCAAGACCACAATACTGCTCAAAGTCGCAACACTTTATTGTCTGTGGCCACCGAACGCAGTACAGCCCGCTGCAAAGGCGCGACGGGAAAGCAAATAGGCTTATCCATGCCACGGGCACAAAATTACTACACAGGGTGCCATGAGCCCGTCTCCGCGGTAAAGGTGATCCACGGAGACACCGGGACCAAGGCCCGCTTGCTCGAGCAAGGGCAAAGGCGCTCGCGTTGGCTTCGGAGGGAGATGGGTTGGCGTAGCTAGGCTACGCACTAGGACACCGTACCACCCTTCAGCCGTGCGTACGCAGTGGGGCAACAAAAGGTGAGCGTTCGCCTCGGGCGCAAGGCGCCGTCAGCGAAGTCCGACGAGCCCCCGAGCGACGGGAGTCGACGAACGGAAAATATTGCGTGGCTCACCGTCTGCAGTCCCGGAGAGTATCTATCTTCCCGCTCCCGACGCAGCGCACGAAAGCCTCTCGGGAGACTCCGCGCGCAGCGCCACAGTCAACATCCGCTACCGGGCGAGGGGGTTAAACGTCACTCCACTCCCCCAGCACGGCAGACAGCGGAGGAGGGGAGACATGTCGGGACATGAGAACGACAGAAAAAGCAGCAAAGCCCGCGCAAAAGCAGCGGGCCAGCCTCAATTCCCACAGTGTAACAGTATTCCACAAATATAAAGTATTTTTTTTGTAATAAATCTAGTTGTGGGTGTAGCAAGTGTCGTATCCTCCTTATCACTCTTGTCCATTTTAAAAACTGCGCTACTGAACCTTACGGTAAAATGGTTATGAGAGATGTTGTAAAAGTCGTGCACTCCACATTGTAAAGGATTGAATGAGAACCATGGCGAGCAGTCAACACAAAAACGCATTGCCCACACAAAATTTTATGCACACTCAAACCTCACCATATCGAAGTTACATCTGCCTCGTAAGTACTTTGTTAATCACAAAACTTGTCATAAATGATTATTAGAAACATTATATCTATGATGAAGGTATTCTCAACTTCATTATAACGGATAACTCGTTATATCATATTATGTTATTAGAGGTTTGAGTGTATTTCTCACTGCGTATGGCAGGTATTGAAAGCTATTTCGAACGTACATGTGGCTGTTTCACGAGTTGAGCGAAGTGAAAAATTCTCATTTCATCTTTTCGAAGAGTCCATTTTTACGGACGATTCTGCGGTACCGAAGAACTCTGCAAAATTGGACGTTGCCAAGATAACGATGTATGTATATCTAAGGTGCCTTCAAGCCAATATCAGTTCTTAAAATACAAGCCTCTACCATATACCAGACGCATATAATGATGCTATTTTACTGTTACATAACACAGTTACACCAAATTATGAACCAACTATTTTCCCTGAGTAATTTACCAATATTCAACAGTACAGTCTACTCTGCAGAAATGAATTTTTATTACGTACACGACATATTCAATGAGCTGACGATGGACGCTTATCTGAAACTTATGCACAAGGTTCCGTAAGGAAGCAAATTCTTGTATCAAAGATTCAGTGACAAGTATAACCAGGTTATCAACACAACCTTGACACTGGCAGCGACTTTGCTCTCTCACGAAACGATTTACTACCTCTGTGTGCTGCTCTAGTTTCTTTTAATGAAACGACAGCAAGTTTTTCTCTCGGGTGAAAATCTCACATTTCACTCACCTGGAAGTGCCTGTGCATCGCAGGGCTGTGTACCATTGATGCCCTATAAATACAAGCAACAATGATTGGTCATCACAGCTTGACACATCCCTAAAATTTTTTTCCTCGTAACAAAGAGCACTGTACGAACTAAAGTTTAGGAAAGATAAGCACAGCAACAAAACTACGAACTCATATTTTTGATAGTTGCACGAACCATCGCGATTGAACCATTGCAAATCGATCCACCAACCTCGCGGTTCTGTTAACACTCAGAAACATTCCCCTTTTTTTATTGGCTATTCAGCACTGGAACCGATTAGATAATAATATTGTGTGTTGTAACAATATTGTAAGTTGTTGGGAATGTATGCATTTTCTTGTTATTTCTTCTATGTATTTTATTGTCATTGTTCTTATATGCACTTTCTTTTCCCCAGTCCTGCATGGGCCGTGAAGGGTCTGCAGCATATTTGAATAATGAAAAACATATGCAGTCAGTAAAGCACTGCGTAATAGTCATTTTTACTCAGAAAATGCAAACAGACTGTACAAGGGACAATGGGAGGCCCTTCTCTCCAGCAACGACATAGACATCCAGACACGGGTCCTGAAACGAGCGGAAGAAGTCATCGAGAAGCACAGCCTGGCAGCCTTCGTGGCTTAGCCTCCCTTACCCCTCACCCCTTCGACTAATAAAGTTGTTACTCACTCACTCACCAAGTAATAGTGAGACTCTAGACAGGCTACCTGCGGCCTGCAACACAGCAGATTGTCTAGCAACAAGCTTTCCACCAAAACAGGAAATAAACATGAACACAGTGTCCTTTAAGCATTTGGCTAAGATGAGTCGAAGGTGAAAGTCATCAGTCACTATCATCATCACAGCTTCAAGGGTCCCATGAGTTGTCTACAGTACACTGGTTTGTATATGTCACCAACTTCGTTGATGATACAGCTAGTAATTACAATGATGATTGAGCAGCTTTCAACTTCCCCTCATTAACACCATTCATATGGTGTGACGCAATTCAGCCTGGTGACACGCTACACTTTGCAGATGTTCTACGACTGCTTCAACAATGTTAACTGCACAAAAACACTCCGTCATACCTCAAATTATTGCCGAGATGTTATGGGGGCTATTGCACCAAATTTTCGATCATGACCTGTGTTTTGCAAGATAATTTGAAAGGAGGAACAGCACTGAACTGGATGAAGACGAGAGGTCACCAACATAGACCTGTCAGTGCCATAATTTTTTTTCTTAATTCAAAATCAGTATGTACCAACCAGCATTCACAAACGTTCACAAACAAGCTGGCAAACACATTTGGTTGGGCACTTAATTTAAAATTGAATATTTTCATTAACACACAAGAGGCCTGAGAGTTGGGCCACACTGGTGCACTTACAAGCCGTGACGCAAGAGGTTGCTTGCTGTGCAAGCGTCTGCACTGTGATGAATGATGTAGTTCTGTGCTCAATGCAGCATGCCATTGAGCTATTTCAGATTTGTTCAGCTTGACACAGAAATCAAATGATATGCAGCGGCTAAAACCTTTATAGAAGATGATGGCTCTGTTGCATGCAGCACAATGGCAAACATGCCATAACATGACCATGTCATGGCATGGTGGTCATGTCATCAGCATAAGCTGGCTTTGTAGCTGGTGAATTCTAGTGGTTATTTTGCACTAAAATATTCTTTTACAGTCCATTTTTCATCCATGCATTGGCACAATAGAGTGTTTACTTCCATTTTTCCCCAAAAGACACACCTTCCTGGGTGACTGTGTCTTGGGCTCTTCAGTACACGCTCGAAACAAGGTTACCGCAGTTGGTAAGAAGGTGAAAAACTCAGGGTCACGTACCTGGTAACGTTGAGAGCCGTATGTTGAATACTGAGGGCAGGCCGAGTGCAGCAGAACGTTGAGAGCCAGGGCCACGAAGACCAGCGCCATGCAGAGAAGCACAACTGCCTGCGGCCGTGCCCGACCCATCCGCAGGCGGTACATCTGCGCAGCACATGTATTGTGTGGCCCCTTGCGAGATGGATACACTGGTCAGCACAAACAAGTTTTAGCCAGAGTTCTTCAATAATCATGATCAACAGCAGCCTGACTACGCCCACTGCAGTTCAAAGGTCTCTCCTATGTTCCCCCAACCAACCCTGTCCTGTGCTTTCTGCTGCCACGTTATACCTCCACGATCAGCAGTCCTTCCCAATGTTGCCCAACGATGTGCCTGGATTTGCACACATAGACCTTGTGAGAAGTTTCACCACTCTTATGACTTAGGAACTCTGGTTTTCGCTCATTTAGGTACTCATAATAATGTAAATGGAAAGTCAGGTTGGTTTCTTTCAGAGTTCTCAGAGTCATGATACTCACAGGGGCCCTTTCGAGAAACAAAAATAAACACTAGAAAGGAATAATGACATGGTTTTGATTAACAAACTGCACTCTAAAAGCTCCAATGCAATATGTTTCACTATCATAAGTTCATTATTAGTGGAGAAAATTAAGGTTGAAGTTTCATTTTAAATTTGGTGCCAAAATCTCCGCACGCGACATAACGAATTTCAAAATGACTTTGTCGCATTCTTGTGGCACCTCCTATGCTACGTCTATAGCATCCACAGATTACAATGTACTTCATTTTGGAGGTTCTGGGCCAAGGGTCAGCAGAAGCCCTCAGAAAGTACACAGAGACGGAGTAAGAAAATGCAACTTTGCTGTGGAGTCCCATGCTTGACTACCGGCCGCTGTTTCACCGTGAGCGCATGCACCTGAGCTACGCATTGTCTTCACTGAAGCCCACAATTTCAACGGTTGGAAGCTACGTGAGGCCCAGTACACCTTCAAAATTTCTTATGTACCGGTGTTGGGTGCGAGAATCTTGAGGAAGTGTGGCTATTTGCATTTTCTTTTTGTGCGTTTTGTCGCTTGATAAGTGTCGTGTCACGGTAAGAGTGGTGTATGTGGGATCGTGAAATTGTACTTTATAATAGTATACGAAAATTCGTTTCGCTCTTTAATGTCTCTTTAGATTAGTATGCGACATAAAGAAAAAATGTTATTTCCGCTGCCTTTTCAAAACACTCAGTGATGGGAAGGGTGCTTCTTCGTTATATTTAATTCTTTTCAATTCACATCATCATCACAGTGAAGTTAAAGAAACAAAATGATCTCTCCTATGCTTTTCTGGGCTTAACTGCCTCAGCATCCCATCATTACGTATTATACTTATTTGCCTGTTCATTTCACTGATTGTGTTTCTCAAAAGGACAACTATATTCCAATACACAGTAAGTAAACTCGCTCGCACACAAGAGTTCTTGCCCACCTGAAGAAAGAGGCACCAGATGCCGATGCGCTGCAGGCCGTACGTGGAGCAGGCGATGAGCAGCAGTAGCAGAGCCAGTATGAGCGCAGAGTCCAGAATGGAGGCGCCCCATCGCTGCAGCCACACAAGCGTCACGTCTAATGGATTCGGAAGTTCAGGGTGTTCCAGCAAGTAGCCCATGTGAAAGCCCAGAGAGTGCATCGCCTTGTCTACACTGTGTGGGCAATCAGTGTTCATACTGAGACACGGTCCATCAAGTCATTTTGTGAGCTTTGACAACAGATGTAAGCTCCGCCCACAGAATCACACCTTCCCCTTACCTGTGAAACACGCTCATACTAGCTCGTTTTCGCTAGAATTATGAGAACTTTTTCTCACTTAATGTGAACACTATCCAAGCACTATCCATATTAGGAGTTCGAGGTTTTACGATTACTGCCTAAAACTTCACATTGGACCGAGTTGGAAAGTCAAATACTTCGACGAAGTTTGCCTGGACGATCAAGTATCCCACCTGAAATCTGCAAAACAAATCTGCATCTCAGCAGGAAAGTCAATTACGTGAAACGCTCAAGAAATGTTTGACACCGTAAAACTTAGTTAGCACTGTTGGATGGATAGACCATATAAAGCAAATTCTCAGGGCAAAAGACAGCGATTACTCTTGGCTGAGCTGACTTCGTGGTCTCATGCAAAATAAGAACGAAATAACATCCCCTATTGGAACTGATCAAAACACCATCTGAATTCAATGTAGCATTTTGAGCTAGGTCGACAATGTGTGCAACTTAGCCAAGACAAAACTGAATAGTGTGACATTCGTTACACAGCTTGAGGACGCAGCAGCTATGACAATATATGTTTTTTTTTTAACAAGTTCTGTACTCACTTGGAGAGCAGAAGAGATGTCCACAGCAGCAAGCCCAGCAGAGCAAACACCACTCCCAACACAATCTGCAAGGAAACGTGTCACCAGACACCGCATTCTGAGACCATAGTTATGGGTGCCAGTATTTTAAGTACAGTGAGATTGCCTCCCAATGCTGAAACTGAATGAAAATGATGCAACATGAAACATGATACAGTTAAAATTGGATATAACGAAATTTACAAATTGCCGAAAAAAGTCGTTATAAAGAGGATTTCGTTATATGCAGGTTCGGTAGGAAAGTTGGAAAAATAAACAAGCAAATTAAACAAAAGGGGAACTGAAGGCCGAGTTAACCTAAAACACTTATTTGGCGGTAAAAAAATGCGTTATTAATTCGATAGAAATTGTATGTACACTCTCGGCGGGTTTTCGCTGTCATCACCATGTTCCGTGACAAGTCCAAATCGATAACATGCCCCAGCACATTGTAACATTAGAAGCGGGTAAAAGCGCACGAGTGCTGTAAGCAGAGATCAAATGAGCCGGCTATTCTTTATCCTGGAAGGAACATACGATAACACCCCTCCCCCCCCCACACACACACCCAGAGTGTTAGAACTACCGTCGAATGCTCAAACAGAAAGGAAACTACCCGTCTTGAACAAGCGTGAAAACAGGGGGAGGTGGGGGGGGGTCACTCGAGTAGCAATGGTGAACTTTGATTTTAATGGCGCGGTTGCGATCGCTGGCACTCGTGCTATCTCCGCAAGCATCAGTGCCCTTTAAGGTGAAGAGACTGTGTGAAAAGAGCACTTTTCCGTTGAGCAGCCGTATTTGCTTACACCAATGTTTTGTAGGAGGTCCTCGAAATAGGATTCAAAAGAGTTGGCTGCCAGCCTTATCTTGTATAACATTACAATTTGTTGATATCACAGTCACTGCATTGTATTGAATGCGCCGCGGCGTTGTTGCCAGAGTTAATCGCGAACGCACGCCGCAAGACAGAAGCGCGTGACAAGTTGACCTCCGAAGATCTGCCATTGTCACCGTGGTGTCGGAGAGTTTCCATCAGCACCTAATCTGACATTCCCTCGATGGTGACAACACGGTTGTCCACATTAAAAAACAAACAAACAAATTAAATCTGAACGTCATCAGGGGCCACACCATACACACGGCGTTGAAAACAAAGAGCAAAAGACAGGAATACCATGGAAAACTATTCGGTAAAGCGCCCTACATATGCAGCGCAGCCCGACATACTAACTGAAATCATGGCGCTGCCAACGCAAAAGTACTTTTCTTTTTTTTGGTTTGGAAGGTGGAGGGCACATCTACACATTTGCCCGCGGTGAAAATAGCGGCTTGTGAGGCGCAGGCCCGCCTGCTGCGCCTGCCTTGTGCCTTCGCGTGGGAATCGCCGGGCCATGAGCACGACATGCGTGCCGCCGCTTCGCGCATCATCGGCGGGAAGATGTATGCTCATGCCAAAATGACAAAATGTGAGGCAAAATTCCTAGATTGTGCTGGCGAAAATTTGTTTATCAAGGTTGTCTCTGTCACTTTGTTACAAAGAGGTTGCAAATACATGTGCTTCTATGCAGTAATGGCGGGAATATAGAAACTTCGTTACATTGAGGAATTCATTATATGGAGGTTCATCATAAGCAGGATGAACTGTATACGGTAACCTAGAGCATCGACAGACGTAGTGTACAATACCTTTCTTCTACACGAAATTATCGAAGGATGTTCTTTACGACATCCCTCATCAGGTTTGAACAGTGCATACACTTCGTAAATCACCTTTCAGCACTTCTTGTTGTTATCTTACACATGTACACAATTCCTCTCTGTAATACTTCAGTGATGTGAAATAAAAAAAATTAAGGCAGCTTTAGCCTTTCGTGGTGCTGAGCATGAAGGAAGAGGCGAGCTGGGCAGCCTTCTTTGTTTTTCTTTTTTTCTTTCCTCTTCTCTTTCTGAAGTTTCTTTTTCTGTGCTTTCTTCTTTATTTTTGATTTTCTTCCTATATTTTTTCTTTCTTTTTTTGAATTGCTGTTTATAACTCACTTTTTCGTTTTTAAATTTATATATGTAGTTTTCCCTGCATTATGCCAAGCAACAACAGCCAGAGGCAATAAAGTGGCCTTAATGTCACCGTCAAGGTGCTCAAGTACAAGGGGAAGAAGGCTTCGCTTTAGCACGAGTGTGTGCTCAATATGTCACAGCAGGCCATACTATTCGTGACTTTGCCTGTGTTATGACAAACTAAGTCATCATACGATGACTGCATACGACGTCACATGACATCCCGGGTTCCTAAAGCGATTTGCACTTAATAAGTAAACAAACACGCGGTCACATGAAACCCAGCTGATTACGGTAGGTGTTAACCACGGCTACTCAACTTTAATCGGCAATAACTTGAATCGAAAAGATTTCACAGCCGAAACAACGTTATGCTGTTTTGCAACACAATCTTCCCAGTCTCCACAATCAAGACTCAATCAATCTCGGGTGTGTCCCAATCAATACTCACTGCGGCCGACTAAATAGACAACTAAGTGGATGGCTGCCATCTCAAGTCCCATTCCAATTCTCACGTAGCTGGCGAAATAGACAGCTTCTAGAAGACAGCTTCGTAGACAAAAATGGCGCAGGCTACCTTGCTGTCCAAACAAAATGGTTGTCCAGAGAATGAATCGTATAACTTGCATCTCGCTGGAATGGTCGTCTGCACATGAGTAGACGCTTCTCCAGATGCTCAATGTAACGTTCAATTTTTCTTAGACTTGAACAAAAAATAAGCCTAATAAAATAACAGTTATGTTTCTGCATTTTAGCTCTCTCTTCTTGACGCAAGGGGGCATCTTGTCACGTAGATGCCATCCAGATGCATTCCATTTCTCAAACAACATGGGCTCTCGATGCTGTCTTCAGTGTAGACTGTCAACGATGCTGTCTAGAATTGGCCCTCATTAGGAAAAAAAAGAGCAGGCAGACATCGTTGGAGGACACTAACCTGCAGTGGCCGAATGAGGAAGCGCAGCCGGTAGGTGCAGCTATCGCGAAAATCCTCCAGGCGGTGCTGACGCTCGTCCAGGCTGTGCAGCTGCTCCTCAAGGCGGGCCGAGCGCTGTCGATTGGAGCCGCCTCCGTGCCGAGCCAGGGAGTCCAGCTGGGTGCGGAGGGCGCGTCGCCGCTCGCCCACGTCGGCCACTTCCCGGGCGGCGCTGCGCTCGCCCAGCACTAGGCGCATGGGCAGCGCAGACATCCCAAAGCCCTGCACCCGGATGCTGGTTATTCGGTTTAATGACCCCCAAGCAACCCTAAGGCTACAAGAGACACTGTCGTGAAGGGCTAATGATAATTTTGGTCAGATGGGTTCTTTAACACATTAGTGACTACACCTATAGTCGAACCCCTTTAAGAGACAATGATATAAAAGACAATCGGGTATAAGAGACCAGTGTGCCTACATTGAAATAGGGGCTGATAAGAAAATGCATATGTGAACTCTGCTTATAAGAGACACCTCATATAAGAGAAAAGAATTTCTCCCCAGTGCATGTCTCTAATGAAGGGGTTCAACTGTATTCTCATTGTTAGTATGTTACCGATGACTGCGAGTGCAAATTTTGGTGCTCTCTAAGTGCTCCTGGACAGCTAAAGCCATTTAAAGGGTAAAAGAAGCAATATATAATCGCTTTCGCTGCAGGGTTTTTTTTTTCTGCCACGGGAGGATCTTTAAAACTCCTTCGCAGTCACGGAAGGGAGCGTTTATGGAATAGCCAAAGGAGCCCTAATATACTTTTTTCAAAATTGTAAAGTTAGCTTTCCTGCCATGCAGTTTGAACAACTTATGGAGGCTGGTCATTTACAGCAGATGGCCTATTTAAGCCCAATTTGCTAATGCGATAACATGTTAAATATAAAGTCGCTTCTTTTAATATAAACACTCATAACAGACATGCCCCAGCATGTTCATCTAGGACCGTGTGGCGCTTGAAGCATGACAGGTGCCACCATTATTTAGCCAAATATGCAGTGCAGAGAAGCACACTTGCGAATGAGGAAAGAATCCATTGTGTCGGAAAATGCATAGATGACTCAGGTATTGGTGGTAGTGCTGCTGGCAAAGTGGTATGAACGAACATCTATTGCACACCACAATGCAGCTGACCTGACCTTACTGGCTCCCCAAACAAACAAGCCGGCTAGTGATATGAAAACTGCAAAGCCAGCTGTCATTGGGCTTGGTTGTACTTAAAAAAAAATTCATATACGCCACCACGAAAAATGGATGCAAAAGCTGCCCACTGAGTACAAGGGCCATATGAAGTTAGCAATCTTAGCACACTTCTCTTACTCTCCCGTGTGTCTCAGTCTTCAACATCTCACAAACTTGTGACATCATACACCAAATAGCAGCTACAAAATCTTAGTTTAAACAACTTCCGTACATAAGTGACTGTCAAAAACTTGAATGTATTATCTCCAAGACTACCAACTCTCCAATTATGCACCATCTTCCTGAAGGGAACCCTGACGGGATGTGAAGCAGCAGCATTGCACACGGACACGATCAGCGTTTTTGACTCGCGCCTCGTTGGTGTCATTGGTCTTCCGCTGCCAATGCTTGCGTCCGGTTTCCTTGGCTTGCGCCGCACCGGTGTTGCAGGCGTGACGTCGCCATTCGCGAAAGCGATTGGCTTTGGTAACCCACGCAACACCGGCGATAACCGGGTTAGGCCAAATCACTTTGGCCCATGTTTCAGTGGGCATAGGAGCGGCCTCTCCATTGCAGATAAACGAGCCAAAAGAGTGTTCATTCGATGTGCGTTCGAACATTGCGAGCGGTGAAGAGGGTGAAGCGAGAGGTGACACACGGCGAGCGCGTGACAGGCTAGGGAGAGAGACGTCGCCTTGCACTACGAGGGAAGGCGTGACCTACTTGGCACTGCCCCAAGACCTGCGGCTAGGGGAGTGCAGTGCTGTGCGTTGGCATGGAGACACGGACACACAGCATTACACAGGCTAGTGAAAGAGCTGCTCCGCATCTAAAAGGTGCCGCAAAATCCCGACCAAGTGGCCGTACTCAAGCGAGCACTCCCCTCTCATGTTAGGGAGATTTGGAGTACACGGCCCCTTCACCCCTTCCACCACTTCACTGCTTTAATCACTGGTTTTGTTTACCCAACAAGGGCGAATCAAAACAGCAAATAAATGCATACTCAATAAAGCATTTAATTAGAAACATGGGCGAGCATTCTTTATTTTAGGTGGCGCTCTCACCTCCATCTTGAATTACAATCCATGGCCGAGCAAGCGCCTCTGCTCCAAATTTTGATCGATCACACTTCATCGTGGAGTTGGGGGTTCACTGGCTCGGGATTTTAACCAATGTGAAACAGACTTCATGAGTTTTAATCATCATCATCATCAGTCTTACTACGTCCACTGCAGGACAAAGGCCTCTCCCATGTTCCACCAGTTAACCCGGTCCTGTGCTTGCTGCTGCCAATTTATACCCGCAAACTTCTTAATCTCATCTGCCCACCTAACCTTCTGTCTCCCCCTAACCCGCTTGCCTTCTCTGGGAATTCAGTCAGTTACCCTTAATGACCAGCGGTCATCCTGTCTACGCGCTACATGCCCGGCCCATGTCCATTTCCTCTTCTTGATTTCAACTATTATATCCTTAACCCCCGTTTGTTCCCTAATCCACTCTGCTCTCTTCTTGTCTCTTAAGGTTACACCTATCATTTTTCTTTCCATTGCTCACTGCGTCGTCCTCAATTGAAGCTGAACCCTCTTTGTAAGTCTCCAGGTTTCTGCTCTGTAGCTAAGTACCGGCAAGATACCGCTGTTATGTACCTTCCTCTTGAGGAGTTGCCATGAGTTTTAGGTATGCAGTAATTTCGGACAACATGTGCACAAGTATTTAAATCCTGATTGATGCTAGTAGATAACAGCTCAGAAACTGTCTGCCAGATATACAAGCATCAGGCTAAAACTGAGCAGGCAACCTGATGACAACATGATAATGACATAAGTACTCAACAATGTCAACAGGTTGTCAATGAAACAGATAAAAAGTTGACAGGTGGATACACCAAACTCTGTTTCAAGACAAGAAATCCCCAGTGCAAGCACAACACAAGAGTACAAATGTACATATCTGAATTACATTTCATAACTTATACTATCACTTCTCTTGTTTTTACTGTCAGCAAACGCTGTTGACAGGAGTTGCTAACTAGCACAGTAACCAACGCTCCACCACTTTCTAACTACCAATGAAAGCTTGTGAATTGAATGATCGTGTAAGTACTCAAAACCAGCCAATGTGCATGACACTGTAGCGCAGAGTGGAACATTACTGACCGTGTAGACTATAAGCAGGAACATGCCGAACAGCACAAAGAGTGACAGCAGGAACCTGAGGGAGTCCTCGCCACCTGAATAGCTCGTGAGAAACACATCACGCACCCTTTCAGAGATCAATTCATAGGCACTAAAAGTACACAAAAGCAAAACAATGAATGGCTTTAGATTGACAAATTTTGCTTTGAAAGGATTAACCATGCTGATTTCACCATCTAAGCTTATTATTAGAGGAGAAAGTCAAGGCCAAAAATTTATTTTTTAATTTTACATCGAAATCTCCATGCACGATGTTACGGATTTCAAAGTTTATTCTTAATACTTTGGTGACATTGGCTAGACTAAATTTCCTGAAACTTGGCATGCTAGGTTTATAGCCCCCTCAGAGGATAGCTAACTTTACCAGTTAGGAGCTACGTGGGCCCTCGTGGATTCAGTCAAATTTTATGATAATGTGGGAATTTTTTGACGGTGTGGGAATCTTGTTTCTGCACTTACCAAGAGTCTTTTTACAGCAAGCATGCCGATTTCAGTATGATAAAAAAGTAATTTAGTAGTACAAAAATATCGTCTTTCTTTTTACTGTCCAATAATATGTACCTAACTGAAGCTATAACAAATCTCAACTTAAATGCTGCCTATGAACAAAAAGAAATGAATTGTGAAGCTTAGAGCCTCATAACTTCCTTATGAAAAATTTCTTCGTGGGGACTATTTGATGATATCCGAGCTAACAATGGCTTCTTAAGTGTTCCTAAATTTAAGTACATGAGATTTTTTTTTAGCCCTCCATCGAAATGTCATGACTGTGAGGCATCAATCCTGCGACTATTTGCTCAGTGGGTGAATGTCACCACCACTGAGGAATAGAGAAGATAGTGCCGTATACAGATTTTAAATGCATGTGCATCCCGAATACGTCCGAATATACACCATGTCACTATTCTCACTTGGCTTCGTTAATCTGCTATCTTGGTATCTACGGATACCTGCGTATCTCAGTTTATCATTCAGGTAATTCGCATGCCTTCCAGAAAGCTACCCGAGAAGGTGCAGCAGTGCAATCTGTTCATAGGAACAGATTTAAAAAAAAAACACTTGCAAGAGTACTTGAGGGCAAATGCCCACAGATGAACCTCCATATAACCAATACACATACTGTGTTTTCATGCGTACAACCCACCCCTGCATATAATCCACAACCCCACTTTCAGTTCCCTGAGAAAAAAAAAATCCTCGCATACTGCCAGCACATTTGATATACAGAAAAGGCTGTACAGCCATCAAAAAGCAGTGCAGCCATCTGCGGCTTACATGGAATTCATGAGGTAGGCCTAGCTCTTTTGACAATCGTCGCGCTTCCACTTGTGCCATCTCTGTCGATACGGCATGACCCCTGCTTCTCACATCTTCGATGAACTTGACTAGCTGCACCTCTGCCTCAGGAGAGGCACCGGTCTTGGGGCCACGAAGGGACCTATGGTCGCGGTGCAGCAACTTGTAGGATTTCTTTTTTTCTCTTCTGGGGCACGCAAGATTCGCCCACATCGTGCCGTCTTTCCACTGACGAATTCCTCGACAGTGGCGATGATCTTAAGGGGGGACAGGGGTTGTGGAGACCGAAAAATCGCGAAAGAACTCGGTTTTTTTATTGCATTTTTGAAATCTACAGCTACTAGTGCACTTATATAGTGAATTTCATGCCAACAATATCTTTATTTTAGCCGCTAAGACCCTTTATACGGAGCTTTCTAGCTAAATCTGAGCCATATCGACGTTGAAATCGCACATTTTCCGTGACACGCCCCTGCCCTTTCATGTGTGCCAGCGCGGCCAGCTTGGTCTCATTTGAGAGAGCAGTCTTTCGCCTTCGAATTCCCGTCAAAATGGGTCTAATTCAACCATTGGCAGCTTGTAAAATGAGCGGCAAAAAGAAGTATCACAGCGCCTTTCTATTCGCTACTTCGCACACGTGACTTGAGCTTGCCTCCCAATTGGTGGAGGCTCCTGGCTTCGTCTGCTCCGGGTATTGAGGCGCGCGTCCATGCGCACCATTTTGCCTCAGTGTCAGCGGAGAAGTTTCACGATGTCAAATCCTGAGCGCGAATTCCGCACGCGGCACAAGTTTGGTGCAAAAAAGGTGCGAAGGACGCTAGTAGCAAATTTCAAGAAGTGCTCCGTGATACAGCGAACCCCCGAGACGCTACACTCTCCGCGCCCCATGGCAAAGTCCGTCACCCGTGGAGCCTTCGAGCAGTGGTCGTGTGCGTCTAGATACTATCTATCGGCAGCAATATGACTTTGAAGAGGAGCGAACTAAAGCAGAAGATAAGTTATCGGAGTTGTCGTCCGCTGCAGCGACGGAGCGGAAACGCGCATTCGTGGTTGACGGTGCCGACGAAGCAGCTCAGCCGCCTGATGGAACCACGTTCACAGTTATAGATTTGGACACAGTGAACAGCGCTTTGTTGGCATTTGCCAAGTGCAAGGCATGCAAGAGAGAACTGCAGATTGTCCGCGACGACCGAGAATTCGGACTCCCCGTGAAGTTGCGTTTTGTGTGTTCGACCTGTGGGGATATTGCGTCGTTGTGGAGCTCGGCGCGCTTACGTAGCGATGAACGCATGAAACCTTTTTCTGTGAACGTTTCGGCCGCGCATGCCATGCAGGCCATGGGGAACAGACAGACCGCGCTGAATGATGTGTTCTCGTTGATGGGCATCAGCTGTCGAGGTCTTCACACAAAAATGTGGCAACACTATGTGAAGATGAAGTTGGCACCCGCGGCCGATCGTGCTGCACGCAATTTGACGAGCGACTGCGCGCAGTCAATTCGCGAACTTTATGCCGAACTTAATATAGGCCACATGGGAAACATCGCGGTGTCATTTGATGGGTCATGGATGACTCGCGGTCATTCGTCGCGTATCGGTCTTGGCACTGTCATAGAATTGTTCAGCGCGCTGGTGCTTGACTTCGTTGTTTTGAGCAACTTTTGTGCTGGATGCGAGTCGGGCCCAAAGGAAGGTGACCCTTCTGATGCAGCGTGGAAGGAACATCACCAGTGTCAGAAAAACAGCGACAAGAAGGCTGGGGAAATGGAGGTTGAGGCTGCCCTCATCCTCTTCAGGAGGTCACTTGAGCAACACAACCTGTGCTACATCACAGTGCTTTGCGACGGGGACAGCCGCAGTTACCTTGCGCTACAAGAAGATAAGGTTTATGGGTATTTACCAATGAAAAAAAAAGGACTGCATTATTCATGTCCAAAAGTGTATGGGCACAGCTTTGCGCAACTTCATTGCAAAACACAAAGGCCCTGGCCTTGAGAGCCTTGGGGAAAAGGGCCGCTTGACAGAAGACCTGATCTCCAAGCACACCAATAATTATGGGTGGGCTCTGAAGACACACAGTGGTGATGTTGACACACAGTGGTGATGCTATGCACACAGCAGTGATGGCCACTTATCATCACATCATGTCCAATAATGATGTGGCAAACCACACTCTGTGCCCACCTGGTCCAAATTCCTGGTGCAAACAAAATGCGGCAAAGGCCAAAGGGGAGCCCATTTCCAAACATGGTCAAAAGCTTCCTCCACATGTCTGCCAAGCCTTACTTCCCATTTATGAGCGCTTGTCAGACAGAAAGCTGTTGCAACGATGCCAGCGAGGGAAAACCCAAAATAACAACGAATGTCTACATTCAATGATCTGGGCGCTGGCACCAAAGGAGCGACATGCTTCGCTATTCACGGTGGAGGCAGCTGTGGCAGAAGCAGTGATGTTCAATGCAGGCAATAAAAAGGCATCAGAAGACATTATTAAAGAGCTGAGCCTAAACCCCAGCTGGCAAAGCCGCAGCCGCATGGATGAAAAGGATCGACGACGCACGGCAGCATCAGTCAAGAAGTGACAAGCAACAGAGAACATGCACCAATCCCTGAAAAAGTGCCACACAGGGACTCATAGTCAAAAGGACTACATGCCCGGTGCATACTGAGCATTTTCAAGTGCAGGTATGTAAATGAATGAGTTTTATTTCTTTTTTTCAGTTTTCTGAAAACACGCTTTTTGGTGACTTTACTAGTTCCTCGGGTTGATATCTTGCAATATAGAACAGCTAGAACAATAATTTTTTCATTAACGTAAAGCCCAATCAGTGCATTACAAAGTGCTGAGAGCAGAATTTCCATTTGCTGCCCTTATAAATTTAGAAGGTATTAAATTTCTTTGTATGTGATAGCCATGACATGACTCCTCAACTTTCATCATCTGCAGAATCACTAGTTCTTCTTTAATTTGAAATCTGCTTGCAGCATTGCACTTATTTCTAATTGCACTGTCTAGGTATGCAATAATATTTACTTTTTTATAACACTTTCTTTTCTATTGTCTCCGAAAACAATAGAGTGGAAGCATTGTGTATCTTCTAAATTAATTGACCTACAATGAAAAATTTTGCATATTTGAAATCAGCAGGATAAACTACATAAGCATGTATAGTTTCATCAAGTTTGGTCTACAAATACAGAAAATATCTCCACACACCATGTCCCCCCTTAGGCTTTTGATGTGCGGTGAAAGACTGCCGCTGGACTCTACTCATGGTAACAGGACAGATAGAGTTAGGCTTCGCGAACAGGCCGAGATGTGGAGAACTAGTGATATGAGTGAGGTAAAAAGAGCTCTATCTCGGTGACAACTTTTTCTTGACAGCACCGTCGAAGCAACAGAACCAAAATGCATGCCTGCTACTGCACGAAAAGTAGTACTTAAATATATCGATAATATCTAATTTGCCTAGCTGAAATAAATACTGCATTATTTATTATGGAACTCAAAATGTTGCAAGAAGTCGTAGGTAAGATACAGGTATTGTTCACTTTGCAGAATGCCTCCCTTTTCTTTTTATTTCTTAGACCAGCACCACCATTTCAGCAAGCCCTTTTCCAAGTTAAACATGGCACCGTGGCCTAAGAGTACGTGGAGAGTGGCGAAGAGTCACTGTGCGGTCGCAAACGTCCGAAAACATACTTGTAATGTCGCAGTGAGGCTTAGAATGAACAATCGAATTGCCTCTCACCAAACATTTCTATAAATGCTTCAAAGATGCAAGGAACTAAATTAAAATAGGCCACAAGCTGCCGTATTACTTGCTGAGCAACATGAATTTGCAGAAACCGCCTCTGCAGCCTTCGCTACATTGTTACGAAGCTTCATGGCACAACACGCACTGCTGTGAAACAACACTATAGAAAAAAAACCTCGCATATTTCCACACTCCCCCTTGGCCACTGAAAGTTTTCGGATTCTTGGTGCGGGTTATACGCGTGAATATATGGTAAGAAACTGCCAGTTATCACAATGTAAATAAGTAATAGCCTAGCTGCTATTAGTGTTAAGAACATACACGTAAAACACCTTTTGGATCACTGTATTAAATATGCATTACACGTGTTTTCCTTTTATTTTTATGATGCGCAGCTGTATTTTTATTATGGTAAGTTTTTATCATTCTTGTATAACACCACATTCCCATGCACACTCTTACTTTTTCCGTCGCTGGATTTCGAGAACTTTTTGACGTTTCACCCTGCGGGGGGGCTAACACCCCCTGAAAAGTTGTTTGTGTCTCATGGCGCATGTATTTCGCGCATAGGCTGCATTTCCAATTCCCAAATACCATGCGGTAGGGGGCGTCGTGCTCGCGAGCGTTTATCACCACTATCATCATCATGGTTAGTATGTAGCACCAGCAGTGACATCTGGCAGTAGGCCTGGGGGCGACGCCCAAGATATGAGCGGTCCTCTTTGGCGCGTGGTGGCACCGCAGGCTGTCTGCGGTGGGCCCTCGTGGTGAGTCAAGTATTGGTGCTGCTGTCTTGGGTGGGTTATTGTGTTGATGTTGTTGAGTGTTACGTAATTTTGTGTAAGGCTGTTTTAGCATGTTGATCCCAATTGATGATGTTATAATAGTTCAGCTGACAATACCATCATTCTAAAAGCAGTTAAAATAAATGTGTGTTGTTTGGTTAGTTCGAACCCGCGTTTACTGTGTCCGTTCCCTCCAAGAGGGTGGCGCTCTCGCCTTTTCAAGGCCCCACAGCCCATGAATCAACTTTTTGAAGACTGAGCCTGCCACTATTGTCGTACTGTGTTTGTTGTTTCGTAGGGCACAAGGTCACTCAACAGAGAATGTGTTCCTTAACCTTTACTTCATATTGGGCTTATTTTTCATCATCACAACAACGCAGAAGTGCACATGGCATGACACTACTGCTCCATCTTGGTTTACGCTTGGACTGCAAAACCTCACATCACTCGGGCACAGACGGGATGCAATTGCAGTGACACTCACGGCTAGCAGCCAGTTCATCCACAAGGAAACGGATCTTGTCCCACTCCGTGCTGTTGCTCGGTGGAGCCTGCCTCAGCGGAATCACTGCCCTGCACGTCGATGCAGTCACCGAAACTGAATCAACACTTGGCGACAGTATCTACACTGCTTATGCAACATGTACACAAGTCTCGCCTACGCGATAAATCTTACTACCTCAAAAGGATGCCCAGGCTGATTCTTAAGAGAGTGAATGCAATTGGGAGAAAAATGTGCCAAGAATAAAACAAAAACAAAAAAACGTCACCCATGATTACGATACTCCCCATAAAAGCCAAGGAGTGTTTTACAACCCCTTTAAACTTCGCAGTGCACTCTACAAGTCTAATAAACCAGTGCCATGCATGCAACCACTCAACCTACACGGAGACATCTATACACCTTGTAAAACTACACTCAAAGTTCCGAAGTGTGGCAGAGCTAACTTCTCCTTGATTATCTTGAACCAATATGAATAACATTCTCTGGCAAGGAAATGACGTAACTTACATGAATATAACTCTCTTACCAGAAAATCATGTTCATATAAGGCATTCATGAGAGAGGAAAAAAAAAAGGGAAATGAAAACAGAGAAGGCTATTAGAGTGGTGCTCTACAGTATTACTGCTAAAGTTTTCTTTGCAAAGTGGCTCTAAATGAACGTGTTTGATATGGGTGGTCTGCATTTCATTTGACTGTAATGGTGCTATTTACAACATGCATCTGTATATTTGAATTTGTGAAGAAATGTCAAGTCTCACTGCCTTGATATTGCAGATTTCCTGTCTCTTTTAGATGTCTTATTTATACAGGTACTCATAGGTAAGTAAGGTCCGTTTCAGTGGCCTCCATGTGCCCCTAGGACGTGAGCGGCCACCCCCTTGATCCCCCTCCCTTTGCATGACTATACAGGTGCCTACAATCTTGCAACCCTTCTGCAATATTGCACCTGACATAGTGACAAATTGCTAGTTTACAGTGAAAGAAGTACACTAAATTAAAGAGCACTACAGTAGCTTCTTATACTGTATTGCTACTATGACGATTAATAGAGAACCTCCATGCACCTGTCTGCATCTATGACGTAGGTATTGTGTAGCGACTTGTGAACAGTAGAGGAAGGGCCCTGGAGTGAGCTCGTTGATACATAATACTGAACTTCTTGAAAAACTGTGTGATTAAAATGTGACAGAGTCTACATGAACACATACGTGAACTAACAAGGGGATGTACTTGTAGTACGGTACACTCTCAGTAAACGGAAACCTGTGCTCTTAAATGGAGCAACCACCTCCAGGACGAATGGTTTACTGCCTCGATTCTGCAAGCCTGTCCACCTCTCAGTGAACGAAACTTCCGTTAAATGAAATACATTCTCCTGGTCCCTTTATGTTCTGTTTAATGAGAGTCTACTGTATACACAAAACTAGACGCTTTTTTTTTTGTTAGGTCGATTGACGGCAGGTGCACTCAAGCAAGTCTGGCTTTTATGGCAGATGGCGTACGCCCCAAAAATTTCTCTTGGTTCGCGTGTCCTCGTATGCATTGTGGCTGTTGTCCCGGTCGAAGTAGAGTAAGCAACCTCCCAATGCAATTCTAAATTTGTCCCGCTTTAATTGTGAAGCTGTGAAGAAGTCAACTGAAGATAACCGCTACTAAGTGCATGGTACTCACCCAATTGTGAGCAGCACGCCAGCCACCACTAGGAAGAGGACTGTGTACTTCAGAGCCGACATGGCCCTCTGCACGAAGACGCATGCAGATGGATTTTCAGGTACCGCGCTTACACGAATGCAATGGCAGTGTACTGCATTTATTAGTCAACCATGGTTAATAGCATTGAGAATCTGTTTGTGGCTTATAAGATACCCCTAAACCAAACTAGGCCGAAACCCGTTTTTGGTATGTGGTGACATCGGAGTTTTAACCCCTAAATAACTTAATTAAGATGACCTGAGCTCGCCATGAGCAGTTGCCACATTTTTGCTTATGACAACTTGTGCTCATCATGGCTCTTCAGCAAAGTTCCAAGAGGCTTTTTATGAGACCAGCACATGAAAACGGTGTTTCCCGTGATGCTGCCTATGCCTCATATAAAACGTAGATTGTGGCACAGGTTTTATGATTGGCGCTTTTACTGAATGAGAGTCTGGATGCCTAATGGCAACATTCCCATCTTGTCAGTTTTTGTTTTAATATTTTTGTTTGGGCATCACACATACTCAGGGCAAGCCCTGAGGTAAGGCAAAAGGAGGACCTCAACCACTTGGCTAGGCCTTACCACACTAGGGCAGCAGAAGCGACAGATTTCAAAACAATAAATCAACTTTGAAACATAATGAATAAACAAAGACATAATAATCATTACAGTAGGCATATAATCCCCAATTACAGGAGTAACATAATCACGGTAATGAACATAATGTAATGATGCAATCTCAGTAAGAACATAAGCACGGATGCAAGAAAAACAACAAATCATCACTAATAAAGTCACTAGTTATAACATTTTGTAACATCACGATGTAGTCAGCGAACATTGTTATTATTATTATTGTAGTGACATTTGCATTAAAATTTTACAACACATCCGCATCCAGAGCAAGAAACGTGCTCTTTATTAAATGTCTAAATTCTCAATTTGTTTTACAATTTTTCATTGTTTCAACAACGGAGTTTGCAACATGGCCACATTCGTGGGGCGTCCTTGCGCAGGAAATCTTCGCCCTTTAGATGATGAAAGCACGAGTAATGAGGGTTCTGGTGTTGTGCTCGATTATTTGTGTCATGTTTGAAATTCACTTCAGAAGACATCTCAAATGCCCCAGGTATGCGGTATTACACGACGGTGTGAAAAAAGACAAAGAATTATTCTCTGCTGCAAAAAGTTTTCGCAAGTATTTCTCTGTTTTGATCATGTTACTGAAGCGTTTCACATAACCAAAAAATTATTCATTTTCAAACAATTTTGTGTGTTTCAATGGGCACTCGGGGATTAAGAGATCCCAATCTGACAGCCATCTCACCTCTTTGTCACCAATGAGTAACACCACCAGGAAGGTACTGAAACGGTCTGGCAAATGCATAATGATGACGTCCTTATTATGAACATTTTATAAAGCACCACGTCTCTTGTATTCACTACATGTTACGGCACTGCTTGGCCTGCTTGACGTAAGTGCGCATGTAAATTTATATGTGCCCAATAAGACTAGCTTACCCATCTTTAAATGCTTCTTCTGGTGTAGTTACATTTAAACAGTCAAGACCAGATACGTCTGCCAAACTTGGAAGGGAAAGAAAGATAGCTTGATGCATTATTAATTGAAGGCACAAAACGTGCACAAAACGTGCGTGTTTTCTGAAATTTTTGAGCATCTCCTGGTCTTTTGAGAACGTAAACATTGAGAATTGACAGATTCGTTTCTCCAAGCCCCGGCTGAATGCATAGAAGTTCGACAATTACTAATTTTCTAATTTTTCCATCTACGTAGAAGACCCGTGTCGCACCAGCAGGTCTTTCGGGTTGTCGGAACAACACGGCGGTCCTCCTTCCGATAACTAACGCTGCTTGTAGTATATGCTTCCTTGCATGGCAGTTAGTCGTCAGTATCCCTCAATCCTCTGCAGTAAAACTTGTTAGTGCACAACTAGCAAGAATGTTGCATAACTGCATACCGATATGCACGTACACAAGGGGGTAATTAGCATTTAGTTTGTAAGGCTAATTACCTTCTTGCGTCTCGCAATGTGTGCCGCTGCTACTAGCCAAAGAAAATTAATGCAATGCTATATTGACTGCTACAAGGTTACTTGTAGTGCTACACCCTTGTAGTGCTACAAGTACCCACTACAAGGGTTTTATTTCTTTTTCCAAAGCAATGAAAAAAGTGAGAAATTTTTTTTTGTAACAGATCACGGCACTGGCGCAACTTATACGAGTCTATGAACACTACTGCACTGACTGTTCTCAAAGCAGGAGATTTCTGAAGCTCGGACTTCTTGAAACGCGACCTTTCAAAAAAAATTTTATTTGTTTTCAGAACACCCAGGTCACACTTTTCCTGCCTTTGCTCCTTTTATTAACACCACACATGCTGTGGTCACACTTTGTCAGATAATCAACAGCACACGACAAGCCTAGATGGCTAGAATGGTCAGTGAGCCGACCACGGAGGCTAGAGGGTACAGTTACACCTTGACAAGACACACTGTTATTGCTAATAAGATGAGGTGGTAAAACAAATAACACTTTGGACATGTGTGGTTTATATTTTTCTCGATATACCTACGCAATAGTGAGCTTTTCGTCTCGTGGCACCTACGCCAAAGAACAAGCGCGCTACAAGTGCGACAGTAATTTTCACACCCACCGAGCAGGCTGACCGGTCGACGGTGTCATCCTTCTCCTCCGCGAAGAAGTAGGCAAATGGCAACACCACGAATGCCAGCAGCACCAGCAGTCCATATAGCACTGTGAGAACGGCACCAAACAATGTTAGGTGAAGTATTCCATACCATCTGTCCAAGTGTAACTGCCCATAGGTCCCCACCCTTCACAGCTGGGATAACTTGCGCAGTCGTGTTCTTCGCACTGTACACAACAGACAATAAAACTAACCATATTTTATGCTACTTCCCCAAACAATATGACAAAGACATGTTAAAATAGCGCAATTTGAACTAAAGCAAAAATAGCTTATGGCAGACTGAATGATGAGTACAGGTTCTTACAAAACATATCAGTTACATGGAGCATAAAAGTTCTGAAACTAGTTGTTACAAATTCACGCCTGTAGGTAATATTAACTTATAACATAAAATAGGAAAGAAAAAGTGGAATGAAATGGAAAAACTTTATTTAGGTCCATTGGAGCGTGAACTAGTAGGTAATAGGCCTAGCCTCTCGGCCACGTCGTGGGCCCATTGGACTGCCCATAGCTGCGTAATCAAATCCCGACCAAAACTGCATGCTTTTCTGCCCTTGTTTACTACCTGCCGCTTCACTTCACTACAAGAGCATGTGGTGTTTTTCAATGTGCCCTCAGCAGTACGCAAACATTTCGCTTTTGCTTTCTGCCTCCATCACATATCCCTAACGTATCTACCCTCAAACTTTATATGAAAAAACTATCGATTATTTGCATTATTTGCATTATATGCACCATGCAGCATCCCTATTCACATGTTGTAACGCACAATAAACTGCGCGTTTGGAGCATTCTAAAAAAAAAAGTGCACCCAGACGCAGCACTGGAAGGAGGGGAGGGGGCACAGTTAGCACCAGTAATCCATCCAAGTTTTTGCCCCCCCCCCCCCTTTTTTAAGAACAAAATAAATTCCGGTATCACCTCACTGTATTCGTGCCTAGAGGCTGCATTGGTAATGTAAATGCCTGCAGCAGATGAGAGCCGCAGCATAGACTTGGAGGGAAGAGGCACAGAGGGCCTAAAACGAAGCACAAACCGAAATAGGCGAGCTGAACTTCGGACTGCAACGCCTTCCGGTCAGACTCGTTGGCCGCCCAGGGCTGAAAGGTGCCATCGTCCCCTTTCATGGCTGACACGAGAGAGACATCTGCCGGCACAAGCGCGGCTGCCGCCAAACTGGCGGCTACGGAGATGGTGCCACATGCGAGGGCAAAGGGCTCGCGCTCACGCCGAAGGCTCAGCCGCCAGAGGTAGACCCACGACACGCAGAGGCAAAGCTGTAAGCAAGAGACAGGAGCTCTTTTCATCAATGTTCACCTAGCAATAAATATGGCATGCTACGAAAGTTTAATGATTGATTGATATGTGGGGTTTAAGGTCCAAAAACCACCATATCATTAAGAAAGACGATGTAGTGGAGGGCTCCGGAAATTTCTACTACCTGGGGTTCTTTAACGTGCACCGAAATCTGAGCACACAGGCTTTAGCATTTTCGCCTCCATCGAAAATGCAGCCGCCGCAGTCGGGATTCGATTCCACGAGGTGCGGATCAGCAGTCGAGTACCTTAGCATCTAGACCACCGCGGCGGGGTAAAAGTTTAATGAGAACCGACAGACGATAAAGCCAAAAAAAATATAGAGGACATTACTTATAGAGATTATGACATGGATGTAAAAAGAATCAAAGCAGACAAAAAGATAACTTGCCATTATGCGGGATCCGAAGCTGCAATCTTTGAATCACGCGTAGATTCTCTACTAAGCTAGGGCGGTCGTTGTCCTGCCGTATACTACCATTTGCTCTATGTGCACATTTAAACATGGGAGTGTTAATCAGTGTTGCTTGTAGTCATCATGGCGAGTGTAGAACATTTTTAGTTTTAAATGCGAAGCATTTCTTAGCGAACTTTGGTGACTTTGAGCGTGTCTGTCTGTCTGTCTGTCTGTCTGTCTGTCTGTCTGTCTGTCTGTCTGTCTGTCTATCTATCCATCTATCCATCTATCTATGTAGCCGCCTACGACTTTTAGCTCTCCTGGCCGTTTTGATAACGGTATCAATATCAAACTTGGTACGGCATAAATGAATGTATGAACATATTTGACTCGTCATAACATGAAAATCATGACATGTATGTCATGATTTACATTTCATGATCTTGCAGCTGTTGCGGTGGTTCTGTTCACATGGCCTGTTGCAAAACTGGTATGCCATGACATGATTGCATGGTGAACACAAGTGACAGACCTTAACATGAAAATCATGACATGTGTGTGATGTAACAACATGACTACATGCCACGCTCACGACCGTTTCGCTACCTTCACTTATACCGAATTTGGTATTACGGGGCGTTGGTTGATGAAGGTATGATACTGGTGCAAACATGATAAACATGAGATGCATGTCATGTAACAAAATGACTACATGGTACGCTCATGATGCGCTCGCGGCCGTTTCACTAGCTTCATATGTACCAAACTTGGTATGACACGACGCAAACGGGCGAAATACGTAAATGAAACATCCAAACATGATAATCACGACTTTCGTGTCATGTAACAATGTGACCACATGCCAAACTAATGATGCGCTCACGGCCGTTTCACTAGCTTCAAATATGCCAAATTTGATATTATGTGACGCCAATGGATGATGAAGGTATGTGACTGGTGCAAACATGACAATCATGAGATGCGTGTCATGTGAGAGCATGACTACTTTCACAGTAGAGGCGCCAATACATTTCGACGTGACACGGTGCGCGTGCTCGCCAGCGTTCATTTCGTCGCGTCACGCCGACGTTGCCACACCAGGCGCCGGTCCTGCCATATACTCAAGGTGCGCGCCGCGCTGCGTTGCTTTGACGCATGCGCGTTTCAACATGTCCAACGTCCCTCCGTCACGAAAAGAGGGAGACGCAGTGTTGTCTGGGTAACGCACCGGCGCGAAATTCAGCATGTCGCATTTCGCGCAGGTTTCCATTGGGCCGCGCCGACGGACGCTGGTTGCGCCTGGCGTCAGTCTATAGAGTGCCGCGTTTTAGCGAGCACTCTATAGCGACTTAGTGACACTGTGCCCGGCGTGCGCGCGCGTCAGCGCTACATTAGAGTATATTGGGCCCTTCATAATATGCTCGCGCCCTTTTGCTAGCTCCGCATATACCAAATATGGTGTTACGTAACGTCAATGGATGACGAAATACATGACTGGTGTAAACATGATAATCCTGACACACATGTCATGTAAGAACAGGACAACATACCACGCTCATAGCGTGCTCACTGCCGTTTCGCTAGCTCCACATATACTACATTTATTTTGCGAGCTCCACATATACTAAATTTGGTATCATGGGACGTGAGTAGATGACGAAGGTAAACGACACATCCAAACATGATAATCCTGACACGGAAGTTATGTACGGCATCATTTATCTCCACTTCGTAACGCTGTGCTGATATTAAAGTGACATATCAACATTTCTCATTCGTGCTTCGCACATCATCGACTTTCACTGTATGTGGGATCTGCAAATTTTTTACAGTAGGGTGTCCTGAAGGGTGAAGTGGTGCATGATTCTGCAAGTGGACAGCATGAGAAATGGGACTGAGGCGGACAAACAGACAACGTAAGCAGTGTCTACTGAAGTCACGTATGACGTGTGATCTTTTTTTATTAGCTGACCAATAATCCCTCATATACTACTTGAAGGCATGAAGTTTGCCAGAATGACACTCTTGCTATGAATGAAAGAAAGGACAATCTTAAGGCCTCGTTTTACTTTGTTAGACAAAGCCTTAATGAGAACCAATGGGCAACTAAGCCAGGGAAGGTATACGAGTAAATATTCGTAGTGATTCTGACATACGTGCGAAGAAATTGGAGGGAATGAATGGGCAACTCTCATGTTTAAATGCACAGATATATCTGATAAAGTACACGGGAGGAATATTGCCACCGCAGATCAATTGGTGCAGCATCGGACGCATTCTTCAAAAGTTGTAGGTTCAGTCTTCACCAGTGGCAACTAGTCTTTTTATCCACCTTAATTTCTTTGTATTCATTCTATGATCTAGCACAAAAAATGTTCCCTTTCTCTTTCTTGGCTTGACAGTCAGTTGGTTCTCATTCAAGTTGTGCCTAAGAAATAAGAATGAGCCCTTCAGTTTTCTTTTTTTGTCTTCATGCTTTGAAAGTTACAGTGAAAATTACAACGTATACAGTGATCACAAAAACAATAATGGCATGTACAGCCATGGACAAATCAAATGCGAACAAGAAATTAGAAAGTGAAGAAGGCATCTCAAAAAACACAGCTATTTTGTCACCAGTACGATGCCACAGAAGCATTATTATAGAAATTCAAAGAATATACGAGCATTGGCAGTGAGTGAGAGAGCTAATGACTATATGGATCTGAAGCTTTCATGCCATAATGTCGCCCTGTGTACGGCTCTCCTTGCATGCACTAGTGTTGAATGCCCAATTTCGAAATTCGCAGATGTATGCGAAAAATCCACCTATGTATACATTGTGTGCATGCACAAGGCGGAGCAGGCCATGTTAACACAAAATTCTTGCCTTTGCTGCATTCTAAACCTTTTTAATGAAAGAATGCATTTTGCTTAATTGCGAGTCATATGCATTTCACTAGACATCTGTATAGTACTCGCAAATAAAAAGGACAATTTAGGGCAAATTAAAGCACATACTTTTGTTTCCCCATCCTCAGTTCAGATCACATATTGGCGTAATTTCAGCTTCAACACGCAGATCACAAGCAACACAATCTTCGGCAAAAAGTTTCCTGAAATTAACTAGAGTGGATTCTGGCGCTGCCATCGTTCAGTGACCATAAGAATTACGGGTATGACATAAATTTGCCTAGTCTTCGTGCTTGCAGGCGGCGAATGCACTTTTGTCTTCCTTCCTTGATGTGTTTTGGTTTTATTTCCAAGAAAAAAACAAACCGTTTTTCACTTCATGACCCGATTTGAAATGGTGCTTCTCACAGGTGAAGGTGGTGAAGCGTAACTGCCGAACATTTGGCGAATGTTGTTTCGTGACAAAGCAGGCTTCAAGCCACGCAAAGCCAGAAAGAACCTAAAGTACGAAGACTAGGCAAATCTATCTGCTACCCATAATTCCCATGCTCGCTGAAGCGCTATGCGTTGTAGCTCCCGTAAGACACTTGCGCCAGAGTTCCCTCTAGTGTTTATTTATGGAAACTTTATGATCTTCAGAGACCAGATTCGTTGTGGCATGACATGGCTATTTCGAGCATACCAGTTACTATACTTAAGAATTTGATGGTGCCTTTGACTCCACGAGTGCTACACATCCAGAGATGCGCACTAAACCTGCTCATAAAGTCCGACGAGCCGCAGCTGTAAAAAATATAAGAAAACCCTTCAACTGTACCAAGTGTACCAGAAGTTTTTTCCCACAGGCCAAGGATTTACTATAGTCATAAGATACAGTCCTGGAACAAATGCGACACAGCCTCCAGAGATTGTAGGATGAATATCGCGTACGTTGACTCATTCTCACCGTGATGTCAGCTCAACCGGGACTGTTACAGTGGTGGAAAAAAGCAAAGTGCCGCAGCAATGCAAAACATGGCATTAATGACAGGTAAACTTGCATTAAAATAGTCACAGGCGAAGCAAAATCACTGAACAAAAGCAGAGAAAAACCATGAAACTATTACAACGTCCCTGAAAAGCGCGCCCTTCGTACTTTACAAGAAATAGGTGACACACGAAGACGAAATAATATATTTTGTCAGCCTGTCGTTGATTGCTCGTGGGCGAAGACTGCACTAAGAAATCATTACAGGGTGCGCCAGGAGCAATAGATAAGCCGTACAGGGTTCAAATGTCTCCCTGTTTTTTTTTTTTCATATAAAATATGCTGCAAGTCTTCAGGGTGCCCTGCTCAGCAAACACATCGGCAAGTCTATTGACTGAAGTTGGCATTTAAAGTAGCTGGCGCATGCCACACTAAAGCACCAAAGTTTGAAGTTGAACTCAATGTGAAATTTAAAAATAAATCATGAAAAAAAAAACGTAATCCAATTTTGGAGTGGGTAACACACGGACATAGCTTGATCGATTCCCAATACGGCGCATTCAGAATATCGATTAGTTATCAAGTTCGCCTCCCCATATATGCACTTCACGCTCCCTATTCCAACCAGCCCCACTAATGATAATTGCATTAATGCATGACATGCCTAGTTTCGCGTTTAAATGGGCGAAATGTGGGGAATAACACGATGTCGCTGACGGCTCGGGTATACATGCTGCAATGAACTGCACAACAGAAAGCCACGTTTGGATCCCAATGGTGTACAATCAAGAGTGGGACGCACATAATCGCAGAGTCACAATACAAAGCGTCGTGCACTTCGGTGACGACCGCTAAGGACAATGACTCGCTTGTTTGCAGACACAAAACCGACAATCACTCACCAAGCAAGCTGCGCCGAATGGTCCCCACACTGCCAGCAGAACATCGTCGGGAATCGCCATGCACGTCGTGATCCAAATCGCCGATGGACGCAGTTAACAGACCCTTTACCAAGAGCTTCGCACTATTGTAATAGTATTCGCAAGCGAAACCAGGTGAAACAGCAGTAGGCAAAACCTCTCGTATAGCTACTGCGTGTGCGACCACACAAATAAACACCAGCACGAAGTGGCGCCCACAACAGCTATCAGAAACCGATGGGCGCAGAGGTAGACACACGTCACGTGGTATTTATTTACGGCCTTAGAGACCCAAGCCGCAAGTTGCGGGGATGTTTAAGAATAAGCTCCTGGGATTTGTAATAATTAAGAACAACCTTGGAAGCTTTGAAGGGGGTTGTCTTTGGCATAGAGCCAGGAGTGTGGATGTCATGTAGTGTTTATGAAACCACGATGAAACTTTATCAAAGCTGGCAACTACACATGGCAATCACCGTGATGGCAATCAACCTATCATAGCCACAGCCAATAGCCAATCCTAGCGCTTTTCACATGGCTTTTCACCACCGTCTTGTTCATGGCGCGTTTTTTTGCTGTAGACGTGATCGTTCAAAACAAGCTTTGACATTTCGTTCACAAATCGCTATGGCTGTGCACGGGGACCTTCACCGTACTTTCATACAGATCGTGCTGTCACGCAAGATATTGCCCCTGACCGAATTCGAGGAATTGGTGCGCTATTGTCAAAGAAAATTTGACGGTAAGCAGTGTATCGTAATATATCGCGCACTTCAGATGCGCGCGGTGTTTGCAACTCAGATCAAACTCTATTCGGCTAATATGCGGCGTAAGAGGAGTCCTCATTCGCCTTCCTCAAAGCGCATCGATGGCTTGCAGGTCAGTGACCACAGGCGAAGTAACGTGCAATACACAATGCTGCAGAGATAATAAATTTACGCTGAGTGATAAGTAACGATATTACGTCGTGGTGCGCGAGAATTCACATATGCCATTCACCAGACACGTAAGCAGGCGTGCCAGGAATAATCTTTTCAGAAGGACGGGGGGGTCGAGGTGGCACTTGCTGAAGACCTTGGCTGTTCAGAAAAACACCAATGTTTTATTACTCGTTATTGGTAAAACACCTTACCCCATAATATTGGGGGGAGGTGTAAGGGGGTTACTATAGGCACCCCTCCCCCCCGGCTATGAGCCTGCAAGTGACCATTGGCAAAAATCCTGCTGCGAATGTGTGAGAAAAATATTTTACAACTAACATACTTTCTATCAGATTATAGCAGAACTCTTCGCTGTCTGTGAACAGCTGCGCGATTTGATATGTCACAACTATTCAAGGTGCAAGTGTTCTGTGGTTGTAAGGGCTATCGAATGACTACTATGAATTCCTTGCCGGTGGTCAATCTTTGGGGGTTGATGATCACTTGAACAACGCTATTAGTGCTCGATTCGGGGAAGGGGTGGATGAGGACTGAATTTTAGTTCGCAGTGCCTGTTCGTTTTATTGTAAAGTGTGAACGGGCAAGGACGAAGTGAGACAGCAGGATGAGTGCTTACCCTTATCCGAAATATCTTTTAGAGAAATCTGTTTACACGTGACTCCTGCCTTTGTCATGCGGCGCTCCCCTTTGAAACAAACAGGTACTAACTCGGCCAATTTGCCATCCTGTTGAAATTTCTGTGATAGGTACGTTTCCAGTGAAAAACAGCCTTGCCCCGCCGCGGTGGTCTAGTGGCTAAGGTACTCGGCTGCTGACGCGCAGGTCGCGGGTTCAATTCCCGGCTGCGGCGGCTGCATTTCCGATGGAGGCGGAAATGTTGTAGGCCCGTGTGCTCAGATTTGGTTGCACGTTAAAGAACCCCAGGTGGTCGAAATTTCCGGAGCCCTCCACTACGGCGTCTCTCATAATCATATGGTGGTTTTGGGACGTTAAACCCCACAAGTCAATCAGTGAAAAACAGCCTTGAATCGGCAGTTTTCTTGCATGATTTCTTAATAGAGAAAAATTTCTTGGTACTCGGCAGTGTGTACGATAAAACAGGATGTAAATGGCCCCCATAATTATCCATCACACAAGTCACGCAACTGCATTGTGCCTTAGAAGTGTGGCGGTTTGGGCTAGCGCTAAACTCCTTCGTGCCCCTTTGTCGTCATTCTGTTCTCGCGCTATACCCATCGGCCTTGTGCCAATGTGCTTAAGCTACACTACAAATGCAGCAACTGTTGTCGGAGCTGCATAGTGTGTACACTGCAGCTGACATTGTTTTCCAACAGTGTAGCAAAGCTTAAAATTCCCGATTCTAGTGCTTGATGTTTCTGTGAATTTTGGAAATCGTGGCCATTCGAGTGATGCCACGTGTGTTGAAAGTGATGCTTGGGAAAGGCTCAAGATGTGCACCTGCTTGCCGTTATTTTCATAACCTGTTATATTATTGCTCTCTCAGAATCCAAACTTTTTCTCAAAGATTATAAATTTAACTTAAATCATGTTATAAGCACTTAGCTTAAAAAAAAAGCATGTAGGTGTAACAGTGAACGGGATCAGATTGAGCCTAGGGATGCTAGTTTGGCTAGTTAATTTCAAGGATTTTGAAAATATTAATACTACAGCCATACTGGATGGAACTCACAGGCAGATGCAAATGATAGATGATATATATGCGTGTTTATGTCCTAGGCAGTAACCTTGAAAACACACCAGGTTTTTTTTTCAGTCATTCTGGTGTAGCACTGAATTCACTCCTTTTTTTGGTTAAAGTTTTGTTGTTCCAGTCACAACGATTCTCTTTCTCTTTCAGTGCCATTGAACCCAGAAGGAAACCTGCAAGCACTCGCAAAGTTTGTGTCTGACGTCAACAACCGACTGTCCCCCTTCCACATGCGGCTCAAAAGCGGCGTGAGCGAAGAAGACGGCTCTCATTTCTATGCTCTAGTTAACATCAGGGACGACGCGCTGTCCAAGTGTGCCACCAAGTTCTCCGGAAATGAGATGAAGTTCTTCAAAAAATTGGTGAGTTTTTAAATGGGGCACTTGGTAGCTGTAGTGTTGGTGGTTACTAAGCAAAGGCGCCATGAGATTTCTTGCATGAACAGCCTTTCTTTTTTTGCCGTGCTTAACATCTTTGCTGTTAAAATAACCAAAAAATTGGATTAGGAAAGAAAGGGGCTTGGTAGCAGAGATGCTATTTGTCTTATTTAGCACAGACATTTCTTATAAAACACTAGGGGTAAATCAAGTGCTAGTGTCTATGGAAGCTGCAATGCATGGCGCTTCATACAACAGAGGAATTACGGGTAATACGTGGATTCGTCTAAGCTTTGTTCAATTGGCTCTGTGTGACCAGCAGCTGCTTTGCCGCAAGACAAAGTTGTGCAAACGTTCTGCAGTTCCACTGCGCCACCTTGACCTCTTGGGCTCACCAATTCAAATCGGTTCATGATCTTCCCAATTGATTCTTTTATCCAGAACACAATAATAAACAAAAGCGTGACTGCGTTCAAAGCTGCAAGCAGGCAGATTAGGCTAATCAACGTTCTAGCCACAATCACCATGGTGGTGAACGATCGCAACGCCAGTCCCCACTATTAGCTGATTGATTGATATGTGAGGTTGAACGTCCCAAAACTACCATATGATTATGAGAGACGCCATAGTGGAGGGCTCCTGAAATTTTGACCACCTGGGAATGCTTAATGTGCACCGTAATCTGAGCACACGGGCCTACAACATTTTCGCCTTCATCGGAAATGCAGCCGCCGCAGCCGGGATTTGATCCTACCACCTGCGCGTCAGCAGCCGAGTACCTTAGCCACTAGACCACCGTGGTGGGGCCCCACTATTAGTAAATCTTGTTGGAAACCCTTATCATATTCAGTGCAGTCCACTAAAGTTGGAACACCCGCTTTGCTCGGATTTATTGTCTGCCGGCTTATGCAGTTTTAAAAATAAGGCCCTTCTATTTGCTTCATTTTCTTGGTTAATGATCATTGCAACGTAAGCTAATTAAGTTGAAGTGAAATGATCTTAATGTCTGTGCTCGTTCATGCCAAAACCTTGATGTGATTATGAGGCTTGTGGAGGAAGGTGCTACAGGTTAATTTCACTACCTGGGGTTCAGCAAGCGTATACTGTTAGGGACGCTAGCGTTTTCGTATATTGCCTTCATTGAAGCGCAGCTGCTGTGTCTGAAACGAACCAACACCCCTGTGCCTTAGAGAGTTATGTCCGAGCTGCCACGGTGGATCTAGGAAATTGAAATACGAAAATATTGCCATGTAGTATGCCTTGTTGTATTGATATAATATGCACCGAGATACCTGGCATTGTCATTAGACATCATATGCGGTTGTAACTTTTTAACACTTGTTGCCTGAATTTTGCGGCTGCATACTGGAAAACGCACCCATAAGCTTGCCCGAGTACGAATATTCACTCCTACAAATCACAAATGCTCCTACAATTTGTCGCAATATTTGGTCGCTGTCAAACTTTGTTTACCACTACATATTCTAGTATTACAAATTTCATGATTCTGGGCTCAATTATGGTTATAAAATGTTTCCGTTTTATTTGAGCTCGTCTCCTGCATATCGCTTTCAACTGGCTGATGTGCAGTGCCTTGAGTAAAGCTCTATTTTAAAAGCATTCAATATAAAGGTGTCACAAGCCATAAAGAAGATTCTGTTGGTGTACGTAGTTGGGTTTCCCAAAATTTGTTTACAGTGTCGTTTCTCCCGTACTGTTCTTGCAGGTGCTGAAAATTGCCGAATCTAACTGTGGGCGCATAACCTCAACAGCAGCGCTCAACATCGTCTATGAAGATGGGGACTCTGGCCTTCAGATAAGGACCGCTCAAGCTCTTATTGATCGGATGGTCAGCCTTGGTTGTCTTACTGTGGTAAGTTATTGCATTTTCATATCTACAGCACTTTGTGACTAGGTACCGCGTGATAGCGTATAAGGTGTAGCTCTTCACCAAAGGTTAGCTATTATCACCAACTCTTTTTCACTGCGTGGTTCACGGTTCACCCTTGCACCGACTCAATTGCTGCTTCCTGATCATCAAAAAAGCAGAAAAAAGAATTCTACAGCTCTTGCCATTTTGTGAAAATGGGCGCAAGCAAAGCTTTGGGTCTGCATGGCCGGTGCATGACTTCTTCTTCCTTCTCTTGCATTGTGCAATGCTCCTTCCCAACTGTTTCCTCCCTCTATGCTGGAACTTTGACCTTGATCCACGTGCTTAGCAGCGCAACACTTCAGTTGCCATCCTGGACATGGCGTTCATGCATTCACCTCCAAGCAACAGTGAAAAATTGGGCAGCATGAAATTACAAATCTCCTCCATAAAAGATCAGATGGTTGTATTAGGAACGGCTGATTGTGGAGAAGCCTCAATTTTAGTAGTTGTGTATCAGTTTTTTGGAAAACAATGCGTACAAAATGCGCGTGCGACTGGCGCAAATTTGAGGGCTGCATCACTTTATGCTCGTCGGATCCATGACTTTTGTGTACGCCACAGCTGAAATCTATTATTTTTGGGAGCTTCTATTGAAAATTTCTTTGAAATGGACTTCTTGCTCAGCTGTTACGAAAATTCAGTGGTGTAAAATGTACAGCATACTGAAGGCTGTTTGGAATGGGGAAGTGAATTTTGCTGCTGCAAGACAACCGGAAAGGCTAAGAGCCAGCCGATTAACAGAACACATAGGCATGTGCATGTAGAAGGAAAGGGCAGCCGTCACCTCTAGTTGCTGGATAGATGTAGGTGCGAAGTTTGCCACATACATTGACTTAATAGGGAGGGGGGGCGCTGCAATGACCCCCGCCCCCCCAAAAAAGAGCCCTGCGCACACGCCCATGATGGGATAGACAGGCTTCTGACAATTAAGTGGATTATTCTATGGCAGGCCCATGAACAAATAAATCGCATAGCATAGTTTTCTTTGTCTTTGCATACTCCGACTTATACAGGCAGAAGAGGCCGTGCTTAGATGGCTAAAAAGCCACTGCCAGTTACCGCTGGGACAAAAAATATAATCCTGCTCATGTACTGGGCTATGTGATTTGATGCTGGGGTTATTGAACTTGTGGCTTGTGGTGTCCAGGGTGCGCACTCATTGGTGCATGCGTGTGTGCATCCGCTTTTATGCTAAAAATGCTGTTGCCTTTCAAAGTTGCACCTGAATGTACTTTCTCTTTCACGAACTGCCTATTTCTATTAAAGGGCCCTTAAACCTCCTTCGATTTTTTTTCCAACAATTCAAGTAAATGCTCATCATGCATAGGATGCCATCGCGATCAACAAATGCCACGCGTGGCAGCGCTGGGAGCTGCGGGTGTGCAACAAACTCCACAAAACAATCCCTCCACCTCTACGGGCCTTTCTGTCCTTCGTGTAACGTGGTGAAGTTGGATCTGTGATGCGTAGTGCAAGTCATAGTGCAATCGGTCGAGCAAAAACTTACAGGCTTTGGTTAGTCTGCAAGCAGCTGTCTGCGCTCCCTGTTAATTGTCATGTGGCGGTGGCTACTCACCTCATTTAGAGCTGCTGTGGCACGGTGTGTCGATGTACGGATCTGTTACGTTGGCGAAGGGTGTGCGTGCATCACAGGGTCTATACTTGCACGATTTGAAGGAGCACGGGTTGGAACAGGAACAGTGATTAGCCAGCAAGCACAGAGTCGACGAAGTCGCTGAAACCGGAAGTGGACGGTGTTTTGAACTGCGTGTCGGTGACGACGTGTCCCACGCGAGATCGGGAGGGGCACTCGGGGAGTAGGGCTAGGCGGCTCTGGGAGAGGAGGTAGCAAAGGAAAGAGCAAGAGGAGCAGTGGCCGTGTTTATATCATCAAATGCGTCACTCCGCCGTTACGGCCACAGTTTCGAAAACTTCTCACAGCTACGTGTTCTTTGTAGACTCGTGCACGACTTCCCCACTTCGACTATACGTTTTGACCTCTGGGTGTTTTAGGGGCTCTTCAAAGGTTGTCGGGAGTGTAAAAGCTGGTCATGTGACTACAGAATCATGAGTGGCTTGCGTTTTAATTTTAAAGCATTTTCTAAAGATGCTGCACAAACGTTATGTTGTGGGTCACCTTGTTTCGTTAGGAGGAGGGCAATGTATCCTTGGCTCCATTGACACTCCTTGAACTGGAGCCTTACCTCCGAGAGCAGCTTGGCGACGCGATTCCTCAATGCGACGTGTGCAAGCAAATTTGCATCAAGGCAAGTGCTGTCATTATTCCACTCTCTTGAAATATTCTGTAATTTGTGACATCGCAAGGCACTGTGCAACACATATTAGTCGAACATTATTATAACGAAGTCCATCTGACTTGAAAACAGCTTCCTTATCGATGTATATTCATAAGACTTATTTATACAGTTAATGTGGCTGTTATCGCACTTTTGGACATGCAGTTTGGGTGAAAAATTGGGACCCGGAAGTGTTTGAGCATTTCAAACTTCAGTCCTCATACCATAGGCTATTGAGCCTATGACCACCATAGGCTCAATAAGACCTATGGTGGTCATGCGCAAGCGTCCGAATTTTCAAGCATGTCCAAAAGATCATCAGCTATGTCACCTTTATCCCTTATGTCTGTTGGCATATCCCATACAATAATATACACTCAAACCTCAATATGACGCACGTCGATATAACGAAATATTGGTTACAAGTTCTAGGGGTGTGCGAATATTCGAAAGTTTCCAATATTCGGCAATTATTGTATTTGTAATATTCGTATTTGATTCGATAACCACATATTCGAAACTTTCGAATATTCGAGCTAACTCCAATGTTTCTCAAATATTCGATGTTCACAAATATTTGCTAGTAAGTTTGTGCGATTATTCGAATGATTAGAGTATTCAAACGAATATTAGGATATTCGAATTCGGTTCGAATTTAAATTATTGAAAATTTCGAAGTATTCGTAAGGAACGAATAAATGTATAATAATCTGAATGTTCTACTTGTAAAGATGGTTTCACTGCAGTGTAGGAATGCTAAACCGTGAAAGCTACTATCCAGGAGAAATCCGCTCTGCCGCGAAGCCCACTTTTAAATTTAAAGGGCCCCCTCGCAACACCTTCAGAGCATTGTCAGAAAACGCTGCCGATCAGTAGTCGAGGCTGCCGAGGACACTCAAGTCAAATATTATAGCGCAGCATGCGGCTTGCGATTTACAACAAATTCTCAAAGTCAGCTACAAATTGCTCTCTTTTCTCGGCAAATGAGTCCACAAGCTCGGAAAGCACGTTCAACGTATTTTCTTTCCCTGTGCCATCCTTCTCTGCTTAGCTTCCAGTGCTGTCGTCGGGATGAGAAGAGAGGATGCACTAGTAGCGTGCGAGAAATCTTTGCAACTCTGCGCGTACTAGACGGATTCTAAAAAAGCTTGCGGCGATCAATTTATGAGGCAATAAATAAGCTTCTTTAATGAATCAATTCCATGGCTGCTTGAAAAAGTGTTGCGCAGCCTTTTTAAGTAAAAATATTACTCTTAAATCAGCTCATTTTATTAAGCTTAAAAGCTAGTCATGACGGCTTATATGCTTTAAGTATCATAAATCTGAAAATGTTACATATTTTAAAGGTTATGACTCGCATCCTGCTGAAAGTAAAATCTTGCTACTACTTAAAGTTCTTTCAAGTACTTCAGCAGGAAGTACTTACAGCAGGAAAGTACTTAAAGTACTTTCCTACTGAAAGTAATATCTTGCTATTACTTAAAAGTTCTTTCAACTTCCTTTGAATGCAAAAAAATGGAATTTACATAGAGGCTCTATTTCATTATTTAAAAAAAATATTGTGCAGGTTAGTTAGGACATGGTAAGTATACCCATTTTTCTTTATATGTCATATATACTATTCGAATTCGATACGAAATTATTCTACCAAAATCACTATTCGCTTCAAATCTAAAATTCACTATTTGCATTAGCCTATTCAATCGCATATGTCACTGTGAAGAACTTACGATTTTGCGCATTTGCCATAAAAGCCTCAGTAGATCATGCAGTGACTTCGGCGCAAGTGCGAGGATGCCTGCTGCATGGGAGTGTGATGACTGCTTCCAACGAATGGGGCGGAAAGTCATTGCAACAAATCTACCAATGATAAATATCTCAATTAATCTAAATCATGTACTGCCTGCATGGCAGTACGTGTGGCTTAGCGGTTTAGCGCTGTTACGGTTCACGTAAGTGTACCGACTACGCCCCTGTGCGCGAGACCACAAGTGCGTATCGCTCGTGGAAACGCCACCGCATTGGCTCAACAAAATAGCCTTCACACCTTTGCTCGGTCCCGTGCTGAGTGAGCACGAAGAGAAAAAATCTCTACACAAGGGCAAATGCACGCGTATACGTTACAGGGCGCGGCGCTGATGGAGTGAGCTTTGTAGGCGATGCACTGTACGCAACTTTCTAGGGGCGCGCTCAGCTTGACGTACTATGGTAACGCGTTTCATGTATAGCCACGGCATGTATGGCAGTTTTCGCCAATGGATCACTGTAGAAACGTATGCGCACATGTCGAAGCCTAACGAGTCGTCCGTCAGCTGTGCCGCTACTTCAGCATGTATACCCTCTTCAAATTTCCAGAATGATTTCATGATAACAGATATGGTCATGCAAATGAGCTGAAGTGTTTTTCCACGCCATGGCAAACATAGAAAACGCCAAGCACTTTCGGTAATGTTACGATGGTGTCATGACATATAGCTTTCCGTTGCTACCGGCGACGGACGGATAACTGCGTAGTTCCGCTGCATTCCCGAAAGCGCATTTGAAAATCTGTCGTACCCGTATTGCGCTCGCGCAGCAACATCTCTTGCAATCAACCCTTTGTTACATCGTTGCTAGAATCTCGCTCTTTTGCCAACATCAGTTAACTGCTGTCTGTAGCCAGTGCGCCGAAAGGGGTCGCGATGCGGCAAAATGGTGCCCTCGCCGCCGGGAGTTGTGGCTCTGGCAACAAAAAGGTGTATTTGGGGAATCTTTCTATCACAAATGAGTAATCATCTATTTTGCACGCTTGACTCGCGTTATCACTGCGCACACGATACACCTCGGTCATGACCGTGCAGTTATAGCGCAACACGGCATACTTGATCAAAAATATCGAGAAAATTAGAAAGAAAACTCTAAAATCGGGGTCTTTCGAGCCATGTCTGATAGTGCGAGAACCTGGATGGAATGGTAACCATCTAGGCTGCTTTAATAATCACTTAGATTTAAGTACACTGGTGTTAACTGTTAACACAATCAAACCAGTGTCCTCATGCTCACTAGTCATCATGGAAAATATGAAACCTTTTCTTTTTGTTTTGTAATGAAGTGCTACGACATAAAAAAAAGATGCAAAAGGTCTGTTCAATACGTGGATTAAACCCAAGACATCACAGCCACAAGCTCAACTATTACAGTTTATGCTTTCTGAGAAGTACAGGTGGTGACATTTAAAAAAAAATTTTTGTGCGCAATAACTGACTATACTAATAATTATAGTTTCCAAACTAATTATATGATTGAGTAGAAGATTACTGGTGAAAAAAATTGTACCTCTCTATTATCCGAATCATATTAAAAAATTTTAATATTTGCACACCCATATTTATAATGAATTAAATGAAGAATAGTCTTGCAATAGATACAGGAATAACCTTTATAGCAAATTTTTGGATATAACAAACTGATGTTTTCAAAATGCAACTTTGTTAAAATGAGGTTTTAGTGTAGTTGTCTCACTACAGCTTGCCATCCCCCTATTTCGCTTTTTTTTCAACTACCCTCCTATAGAAATTATTGTTTATGTAACAATGAAATCTATGTGTAGCTTGGGTATTGTCATAAGTGGGTTTGACTATAAACAAGGCTCCACTGTAATTACTGTATGGACACCTGTCTAAAAAAAGTCACAGTTTTGCCAAAAGCGCGAAGCAATGAATGCAATAGCAACATATTCAAATGTTTTTCAGAGCAAAACTAGCATTTTTCGGAGCAATGTTGATTGTAGTAAACATGCGTTTCCTATGTAACCAAGTTTCCTGCAGCGTGGCTACAGTAGATAACCACAAGGCTCGTGCATAGTGACGGCATTCATATACAAAGTGAGGCTGGCAGTCAACTCATTTAGATCAGATCTCGTGTAACTCTACAAAATGCTGGTGTAAGAGAACACGGCCACTTCAGGTATACTTTTGGCACCGTTTTTTTCGTGTTGAGAGCACAGCCCGTAGAGGCTCCCGCCTGTTGAGGGAGCACAAGACGCGCACTGATCATTGCCGCGATAGCGCAGCACCCACAAGTCCCCTGCTGTTTACTGCCGAGAATAAGTGCGCGCGCACATGAGCCCGGCCGGAAAGATGGCGATGTTCGCACCACAGAAAGAGGAGGCTAGCGCATCTTTCCCCGTATATATATATATATATATATATATATATATATATATATATATATATACATACATACTACACACACGTGAATGACGGGGGCGGCGATAGCTAAATACCAGCAGAGGCTGCCCATATAATTGCTATCGCAATAATAGCTTTCAACATAGCTACAAGACAGACATTTTTTTGCCAGCAGTACTATACTTCTACTGTCAAAACAGCGCTGGGGTTACTTGTCAGCGATGTTGCTAGATTATCTCTGCTTCTGTTTCTGCAGGGAGAACTGTGCTCAAACCCCGAACTGCCGTGTCAAGCTGCATAGCCACTGCGCGACACAGATCTTTCGTTCGAGGACGTACGTCGTCCGGAAGCTGTCCAAGTTGCGATGAGCCGTGGGAACGGTAGACGAGAAGAACGTCAGGATGCAGAAAGAGTCTAAAAACACGGCTCGACTGTGATGTACATTTTTATTTAATAAACCTTCATCAGTAAACTGTACATGATGACCCAATGAAGGAAATGACTGTGCTCATTTTGTTTTCAAAGCGGCTGTACAGTAATTTTGGTTTCAATCTGCTTATGGCAGTGTGCTTCTTGCAATCCTGACGTCGGGGAAAATATCATGATCAGGCTCCGGCATCAGTTCGTGCACCGAACATTCGCTGGCCCATCGTTCTGGCAACTGGTTCACTGGCAGTCAATGACCATTCATGACCAAAGTGGATTGCAGTGCTCATAAGCTTCAGTACAATAGTACAAACATGCGTATTCAATCAATGATTATGCATCAGAAATAAGTCTATGTTGCTATGCTTAGTGCATCAGTCTTCAAGACTGGAAATGTGCTCTGCAGTTCATGTACACACCACAGTCGCAGGCTGCTGTATGAGGCAACAACACATTCATGAAGGCTACCGTATTCACTCGAATGTAATGCAACCACGATTATAACCCGAGAGGCGACTTCCAGGAGGAATAACAATAAAAATTGTGCGCACCATTACACTTCATCCACAACTTGAATTAAGGTTTTTCATTGTAACGCGAGAGTTAAAGGGACACTAAAGTGAAGTAATAAATCGACGTTGATTGTTGAAATGGCGGTCTAAAAACCTTGTAGCGTTACTTTTGTGCCAAGGCAGGGCCTATTTTGAAATAATATGTTTTAGTGCTCCTGCATCGAGTTGGCGCACTTCAATTTACCCGCCTCAAGAAGCGGACTGACCAGACCGTCACACGTCACTGTCCCCATGCGCAACGTTGCCGGCTTAACTGCGCTAATAGCAGCAGACTAAAATGACTCATTGATATGTAGGGTTTAACGTCCCAAAACCACCATATGATTATGAGAGACGCCGTAGTGGAGGGCTCCGGAAATTTAGACCACCTGGGTTCTTTAACAAGCACCCAAATCTGAGCACACGGGCCTACAACATTTCCGCCTCCATCGGAAATGCAGCCGCCGCAGCCGGGATTCGATCCCGCGACCTGCGGGTCAGTAGCCGAGTACCTGGCAGCAGACTAAAAGCAGCAGGAGCCACAGCAGCAACAACAGCCATTGATCAATTTCCCGCCATGGGCTTCCAGATTGCAGACACTTTTGTTTGAACTGCGCCTCGCTAGATGGCACCACCTGTCCTGTGTGACCATGGGAAAATTGAATTTTTGAACCACTCGCTTAATTCCCCATAGTAAGGTCCAGCAATTCCTTTTTTTTTCATGAATCAAACATAAACGAACAAGCAGCATTTAATTGCGTCTCTTAATGCACGCAACAATCTTTATTTAGAGCAGTTAAACCGAATATTAGTGATTAATTGTAGGTGGTCCGTCTGATGTCATCGGGATTATTTTGAAAATGTCCTACTGCGTTCTTGTGCATTTACTTTAATTTCTCGGTAAGTAGAGCACTTTTGTTAATAGTATTGCTGTTTTAGATGTCATACATTAAGCTTTCACTCTGACGTAAATTGTTGTTTGACTTTAGTGTCCCTTTAAGTAAGCAAACACTGCCGAAGAAACCCGTGTTACATTCAAGTAAATACAGTAGTTAATCTAGCGTCAGGGTTGGCTAAAGCAGCGCAATGTAACGAAGGCAGAGCAATTAGAAAAATACGCTTGTTGTCCCTGATGGTACAAAAATAGTAAATTACTGAAAGCTTTTGTAAGAAATGCGAGATCTTCGACCAAGTTTTGAGTCTGACAGCCAGTAACATCTCGTTTCCTTTCTTTAAGCACCGCACTTTCCTTGCATGTCAAACTAAGAAACTGCCTTGTAAAACCACTGCTGCGTTTCACATGTATTTGAATCAAGTGACAACAAAAGCCTGTGAGGGGAGGGGGGGAAGCTCACCTACAGACATGCCGACTTCTTAAATGGCAGGGCAAAAAGTACTGGCAACTATGTACACGTCAGACATAAGCAAACAGGTCAAGTTTGGTGATGAATTCGCAAACACCACGTGCTGAAGGCATGCTTGCCTGTAAGTCATTGCAAGAGTGTGCAAAGCCAGGAAATTTGTGCATAGAAAAATAATGAAATATGGAGCTCCACCCTTAGAAAGTCTTAAAGATCTGGTCTGCAGCCGACTTTTAAAGACTTTGAAAATGTTTTGCTATATCATGCGTGATTCCTTTCTGACCCGTTCCACTGCATCCAATATCGGCACTAACCTGCACTTGCCATCACATCTGACGCATGTGCGTGCCTGCTCGTCTCCTCTGTCTGCTAAATATTGAGCGTGGTAACCGACGTGCGAAAACAAACGTCTGCACGGAACTCGCAAAAGGCAAGCACAAATCACTTATTGGTTAAGCACAAAGCTATGCATACATGGCACATTTAACTTAGGAAATGGTTAACGTAATGCAGCTGTGCACTGTCAGTAGAGACCACGCCATGAAACGTTGCTGCTATTGCACAATAACATTGCTAAGAGTATCTACACCGCTTCTTTCGAAAATATATTGGACGACGTTTTAAGCGAGGTGGAGACCTCCCTCCTGCATCTCAATACTTCCGCTGCTGCCTCAGCCATGCAGAAATAATAAGAGTATCAGCTCATCTGGTATACAACAGTGATGTTCTGGCGAAATACTGGGTAACCAGAGACTGGTTGTGCGTAATGTGACACTTTGTCAATTGCACAACCCTACTTCCCGCGAGCAATATTTTTGGCAAAAAGAAAAAAAATCAAGACTGGTGTGTTCACTTCTACACTGCTTCCATGAATTTAGACAAGCAGCAAACCAAAATGCAGTTGCTTACCACAATAATTACTCTGTTCATCCAGTTAAGCTCTGCATCACCAGGTGGCACTTTCGATTAGGATGATCAAATTTAACTCCAGTCACCCGACTTTACGCAGTGTTGAAGTTTCAGACAAGTTAAAACTAATTAAAACACAAAGAATGCTGTGATTGCATGAAGTGACCAGAGATGCCAACTTCGATGGGACTATTGGAAGTTGATTCAGCATCATCATTACCAGCCAATTTTATGGCCGCTGCAGGATGAATGAATTTCCCAAAGACCTCCAATTTATGCTATTTTGCGTGAAACTGATTCCATCTTATGCCTGCTCACTTCCCAATGGCATCACTCCGTCTGACTTACTGCACTCTTCAGCCTTCTTTTTCTTCTTACGATATCCACTCTATTGTTCTAACAAACCGCCGGTTGTCTTTCCTATGCATTACATGGCAGACCGAGGTCCACTTCCGCTTGATACCAGCTGGAATATCGGTTGCCTAAACCAAGTGATCGTATTCCGACCGTCTTAATGTCACGCCTATCTCCTTCAGTCCCTTTGGACATAGTGTCGTGTTCAACTTTTTTCCCGAATTTTCCTAGTTATCCATCAAGTTTCTGTAGACTCTTTGTTTTAGGGACAGTGACAGATTGCGTCTAATTATTTGGCAGTGCCTGCCATATGTGTTCCAAGTGTTTAGCGACCACAGTATTAGGTCTTTACGCCACATTATTTGCTCTCATATTTTAATGAATGCTTCAGTTTCTTCGAAAAAAAAAAATGAAAGGTAGCGTAGCATAGCGAAAAAAACCCATGCCCGTTTAAATTAACAATGCATGGGCCGTACAACACAGTATTTTACAACACATTCAACACAGCAAAGAAAGAAATTGCAAATCTGATACATCTCTGCAGGTGGCACTCTCAAAAATGACATACTGCTGATAACTATACAACATGTGGGGATTGTGGCACTGTGATTTGTTTTATTAGGAGGCATGTGCCCCTTACGAAGCTTTGTCTCTTGATACACGTGCATGAAACACACACACACACACAATATACATTTATACTCGCACACTGTATGAAAATTTGTCATAGAGAAATGTAAAAAACTACAATAGAACAGGGCCTTCTGTTCCATCCAAAGTGACAAAATAATGACTGTAGTCTTCGACAAATACATCTCTTTCTACTTTCTTGCTACTTTTGACAAAATAGACGTGGAACCACTTCGAAGCACTAAAAGAGAGGCACAAAAATAATCATACGAAATTATGTGCGAACCGACCTCAGTTCAAGAACAATAAGTCGCCAGCGAGAACCACTAGCAACAAGTCTCTCGGAGACCAGTGCGTGGCAAGGCAAGCGTTTTCTTTTTTTTTTTTCGAAGATGTGCGTGAGATGTATGAACGGTTAATTATGTGCAGCTGTACAGCTCTACAATGCACGAGAAAACATTGTGCAGCACTTGTTGCACAAATAGAAAACGTCCAGGACGTCGTGTGTTAGTGGATTAAACCAGCACTGCTCCACGTGATGCAGACATATTTGGCACCGGCATGCCACTTACACAAAACTACACAAATATTTACATTCCAAAAATAACATAACACTGCGTCGGTCACCCATCAAGATCTGTGGAATCTTTAGCACACCATTGGCGTTGTCATTCTCTATGCAGATGCATGTGACCACATGGCATTCCTCAGCAATCTTCCTGTAATTAGTACTTGCATTTAGTGACTGAAAAGCATTTACTACTAGCTCTTAGCAGGCCATTCCACCACCCTATGCTGTGAATACGCTGTGTGTCCCATTGAGGCCTGAAAAACTGCAAGAACGGGAAGATCTGCAATGAAAAAATCCGTAAATGGAAATTGTGCACCTTTTAGCATTGAAGAAGACAACTGCACTTGCCGAAAGGCTTACTCCAGCACACAACTTGTTACGGAATTTTTTTATACACGCCTGAAGTGTTTCTACTAATTTCCATACACACCTGTGCTCAAGGACAACACATAAGATAGATACAATGTTTCTGTATTAGTTAGCGTGGCTGCTCTGAAGTATGTGCAATGATTAGCTTCGAGGAGAGCTGTAAAATCGTGTGCATCCAAACAAATCGGGCACGACTCTCTTGAGCATGGTTTTTGACGTACACTCGTGGACAAATGGAATGTGAACCAGAAATGAAGTGAACGGCTTCTGCCGGTGTTCACTTGAGAGCGCAATCGTACAATTATAACTATGCAGTGGCAAGAGATATTAGTTCGGGCCCCACACTAAGTGTGCGGGGCGTAAGCAGGCCAACAAGCCTACCGGCAGAAACAGAAGACTGTTCTAGTCTGTCCTAACTTGTCTGGAAACAATTGTCCATGACTGCAAGGTGAGTTGCAAAAGCTTAAGGGACACATTATATGCAGAAAGAACAAATCTCATGGTGCCCTCATATGCCGCCTTTAGCTAAAACTAAAAGCTTCTGACAAGGTGATCCAGGGTGACAAGGTGATCCATGAAATCAGAAGTGGCTTGGCTCAACAAAGAAGGATGTACAGCCGCGGCCACGTCTGTGTAGAGCACCCAAACAGCTGATTTTTGCTCTGCGGGGTGAAATGTTGGGGCGGCAGTATCAGGCTCTGACGTGGTCAGCCTGACAACTAGGCTGTGCGTGCTCCTGACACACCTCTTCAGAGCCCGAAACTGCCTCAAGGTTTCAGCCCGCAGACCAAAAAACCGGCTGCTCGAGCGCTCTGCACAGACGTGGCCGCGGCTGTACAGTTGTACTATGTACTTCAACCTGTGCTTAGTCAACATTCGTTGGCAACTACATATATTCGTGTTTTACTAAATCAGCACAAACGCACACCTGCTCATCAGTAAAACTTAAATTCTGCATCTGAGCTAGCTGGAAACATGACAACGTTGAAGGGAATAGCACGAAATTTGGAACAAGTGACAGCTGCTTGTTTCATCGGTTGCGCTGGGTAAGGACATTGATAGTAATTGCAACTGCGTGCGAATTTCTTTAGCAAGGAGGACTAAATAGGATGAGAAAAGAAGCACGAAATGTACAAGCACCTCTTCTTTTCGATAAGCACCACACACCGATGAATCTAGCAATGCATAGTATTAATAGTCGTTCAGTTTGCATGTCATCAGATCTTGTACATTAATATGAAAGCATTAATTGATTCATTGTACGACTCTGCTGTCAGTAGAAAGCCTTGGTAATATAATGACACACAAATTGCATAACTGGCATAGCAGATACGCCGTCTTCATCTTAAGTAATGAAGGTAAACATGGTAAGCATTGAAACATTCAACCCTACTGCCACCGTTACGGCTTTGCAGGCAAGCGTACTAACTGCTATGCTACTGTTGCTTTGTGCAACTATTGTGTTGTGCAACCGTTGCAACAGGTGGCGGTGACGTATAACAGGGCACAAGGCTGTGCTCTGCTAGGCAGAAGATCGGCCAGATGGCGTTGCAGCCGCCACAGCTCTCGGCTCGTGCTCTACGCTTGCCATCGTCAGGTGCCACAATCAGCGACAATTAATGCTCTTGCATATACAGATGGCAAATGTTGCTTAGATGTCATCGTACCATTATTCGTCCTTTTTTTTTTGTCTGTGCATTCTATTTCATTGTAATGTGTAACCCTAGTGTGCCTCATCTAAAGCCAGCCACAACGGGGCCGGAGGAAAGCTGGTGAGATATTCGCTGAAGAGCAATAGAAAACTGCATAGTTTCACTAAATAAAATTAGGTGCATGAAAGCATCCTTCCATAGAATGTGACTGAACACAACACCACACATGATGTACAAATTTTGCCAATTTGAAGAGAGCAGTCCATAAACAAAACTTTTCAGGCAGGACTGTTTGCAGAACAAAACTGTCTTTTGACGGTGACACGGTGTTCTAGGAACAAAGCTTTGCTTCAGTTTGACTGGTTGAATAAAACACTCACACATAAGCATTCTTGCGATGAACTCTCTGCACACCATTTTTACAATGCACATAGCTTCTTACAAAAAAAAAAAAAAATTGCACTGCAGTGCTGCTCAGTCTGCCAAGCGAGACAATCTATTACATGCGGTTACTCTGCAACACGAAAAAAAAAAAAAAAACATTTTGCTCACATACTGTGCACACCAGAGTTGAAATAGGCTTACTGAAAATTAACTAAGAAATTATGATAATGACTTATCAAAATTTTCTTTAATGTGATTAGCATCCTTCGGTCAGTAACTATTCAAGTCTGCATTTAAAGGAGTACTGACACAAAAACTTTTTTCTGTTGCATAAAGTAGCTCGTGACCCACCTCTCAAGGATGAAAACCTCACTTGCTTGAGCGTGCAATAATCAATTAATTTGCATAACACAGTAGGCCTACACCGAGTTTTGCTAGTGTTTGAATAAGTCCTTATAGTGCATATAGTGCATAGTCAGAGTATTGATTACAGAGATCACTGAGAAATACGGGACGACAAAATTTTTCTGTAAAACACAGCCGTCCCCTTACGATGAAACAGTAGTGCCTGGCACACGCAGCGTTGCGTACACGTGAGAACCGTGTTGACAAATGTCACATACAGAAACAGTGACAAACACTGTTGCATACATTGCTAAATTCGAGTTGATATTGCAAAGTGCTCCATTTCGTGCTCAAATGTCTTGCAAACACTTTCAAACCAATTTTAAAGAAGTCCTGCAACACTTTTATACGTAATCGACAAACAGCTTCAATAAAAGAACTTATTGCCTCACGAATCAACTGCCGCAAAAAAAAATTTAGATTCCATCCAGAACGAGCCGAGTTACGAGGATTCGTTGCACGCTTCAAGCGCTTCCTTTCACACCGGCAAGTGTGCTGAAAGCTACACAGGAAAGACGATGACGAAGGGGCAGGATGATGCACATTTTCTTGAGCACTTTTTTTTAACATAATGTAACACAGCGCACGTCTACGCGGAGACAAAAGACAAGACAAACTGCAGTGCTGATTATTATTAATTTTTTATCTTCTGAAGTGTTGCTCACTTTCAATGTGATCGCACGTGCATAGGAAGATGACACTATTTTGTGGTGGCCATGGTAACTATGCGGTCACGATGCTCAGATTATCTCATGGTCGTGGACTTCAGGTTTATGGTATGGTCATGTGGGTTTGTGGCCTCATTGGTAGAGAGAAGAGGGATTGATTTCCGACTTTCGTAATTAACCCCTAGGCCATTCTATTGTTTTTTGGAGATTCTGTCTAAAAATGTTTTTTTCTTGAAGTTTTCATATTGAATCTTGAAAAAGTTGAAGTGATCATGTAAATTGGCATAACACATTTTATTGTCTTAATACTCTTTAGTGTCTTTCACGATTCACAAAATAATTTGATTGGAAAAGTGGCGACCATAACATGTCAAGTCATCAAAGAAAACTTCGGTGTCAGAATAATTAGCACCGGAAAGCTGAACGATGACGAAAGACTTCTTTTCCGCGACAATGCATGAGCAACGCACACATCGTTTTCACTGGAAAAACATTTTTTAAACAGAAGTCCCCATTAAGTGGGAAATTGCAGTTAAAATAAAAGACACCGCCAAGTAAACGCTGCCATCTTTGAAGTGACACATGAACTAAGCTGGAAATGAGCGAGTCTTCTTCAAAGCACTCGTGGCGAGATATTATCTGAAATGGACGAGACTTGCCAAACGGACGACACTTTTCCAAAATGGTATGGGCGCCGCTTGGCAAGGACGGGCTGTGCTTGTCCAAAATGATTACCGGGCTAATTGCAAATTGCAGGCTGCATGTTGCGCTATGTCTAGTTCATGTGTTCTCAGGAGCCTCAACTACAGATTGGCAGCGTTTACTGACAAGGCTCAAAAAGTCTTGCAGGGCCCCACTGAATATGTTCTAAGCTACATGTGCTATTGACATGGCCAAGTGATGCGAACTCTATCTACCACACAATATCGCACGCAACCTTGCAGACAAACCTACCCCACAACTTACCTTGTATTCAAAATTTTGTGTCAGTACTTCTTTAACATACTTCATGGCAATTCTGCCAATAGGATGAATTCTCTGTGCAATGCCACTGAATAAGGCCAAAATCCTTCGTGAAATTTTGCAGAAAACACATTTACCCGTTATCTGCATCACAAAAACTTCATGAAAGCAAAACGTCACTTAAAGAAGACTAAAAGCTTACTAGGTTTAGCAACTTTCTCACCTCTTTAGCAATGCAGATGCCAGTACGAATGCACATTTCATCCAAAGGACCAGTCCAAAATGCTCAAAAAACTGTTTTCTATGATCATGCAGTGCCGTCCTGTCATCAATACGCGGCTCCTTATGTTGCCGTATTTTGCTACATCACGTTTTTGACAGTTGGGACACGTTTATTTTTGTGGTAATAGTGAACATTGATAGCCATATGAGCTAACAAATAGCTTTACAAACATACATAATGTTCTATAAAGAAAACTACTGGGCATAATTCCAGTGTAGCTTATGGACCAGTGTAGGTACAATTTCGATTTAGAAATACCAACTTTGAAATACTGCGCATTCGGCACTTGCGCTCAAATGAACGACATGCACAACACAAGAACATTTCCATAGATACACGCTGTCGTCTGCTACTTTTGAGCCAATCAATGATGGCTGCACGTCACATTCACATTATACGACCAATCGTTTAGCAATCTAATACGTCAATCAGCAGAGAAGAGAGCCTTAAGTACGGCCAGATGACAAACCACTTTTCAAGGCGCCTTCATAATGTATACAGCTCGGACACCATCAAGCCCAATGCACTTAGTTTCATAATGTCAGTTTCGGACTTCGAAATGCACTGATGCTTTCCCATGGGAAGATGCATGTGCATAACAATGGCACAAGAGACGCGACGCGTCTTTATCAATGGAACCAATTTTCCGCAGGTCATGACAGTCTATGTGAGATGAGCGCGACTGGCAAAATTTATGGGCCTGGGGCCCAGTTTGCTAGGTTTTTTCATTCCAGCCTGGGCGCAAGACCTCGTCAGGAGGCACGCATCGAGTCCGGAAGGCCCCGCGTCGCGATGTGCTGCTTCAGGTAGTCGACGATCTGGGTGTTGGAAGCCTCGTGCGCGAGGTCAAGCGGGGTCAATCCGTCCTGCAAGAGGTGAACGGCGAACAGCAGGGAATTGTGTTACACAAACTTAATGTTGTGTGTGCAACCTGCTGCAAGCTTTCCTACCCTGCAAACGTGTACTTATAGCACGCTGATTAATTCAGAAGCATGGGTGCATCTTTTAACGCAATGGTGTTGAAGAGCTCGTTTTACAGAAATCGCGGTGTCGGCGTTGTTGATTGTGAGCAAAAAATCATCTTATGCGCGATTGAAAAATCGAGAAAGATTCAAATAAAATATAAGAAATAAAAAATTCTGGGTCTGAGTAAAGATCGAACCCGGATTGTTTGCGGGTAAGTACAGTCGAGCCCACAAATAACGGCCCCACTTAAAACGAACTTTCACTTAAAACGAACAATATCGAGCCCACAAATAACTGCCCCACTTAAAACGAACTTTCGCTTAAAACGAACAATATCCGCATAACCGTGAAAATATACATTGGTTCGATGGCACAAAATCGCACTTACAACAAACGTCTCAGAGTGCCGCTGATTGGTTACAGCGAACGGAGTCAGCAATCTGACGACTTCCCGGGAAACAAATTTCAACCACCGATCAGGCATCGGCGAGGTGCCCATACAATCTTATTGTTAAACGCCGACCCTGCCTCCACGACCCTCTAGTTGCCGCTACCCCCAACCCATGGAGGAAGAAGGTGTTTCCTTCCTCCATGCCCTGACTGCTTTTTCTTACGCACCCCTCCGTCCTTTGTCCCTCCCCGCTAGTCTGAGCACCCCACATCGCCAGACGAGGCCCGTGTTTTCACAGTGCCACCGATCTTTCGAAGTCCGGTCGTCCATCTACCCTGTTTTTGATCGCTGATACTGTCGTTGGCATAGCCAGCCTGAAGTGACCAGACCATTTGCCAACATCCTCGGCCACCGACTGTATCCTATAGTCCGAGTCTAGTGCACGCGCATACGTTACCCCACCAACTCTGATAATTTGTGATTCATTTCGTGTTTAGGACTTGTTCTCGCTCACTTTGCACTCAACTCAGCATGCCATCCGCGCGCGCACGGAAGCGCGAAAACAACTGTTAAATTGCGCGGAACGAATTGCCAAATATCGAAGTTTGTGAGGCCACACAAACCCGCCGGCGCAACAAAACGAGTTTTTGACCACGGTTGTCGATTTTTCGAAAACCTCCGCACGCACTGATCCAGGCGGTCATGCTTTGACTTCTGCGCGCGTAGGCACTCTTTCCAACTGTTTTTCTACGCGCGAGTTTCGCAGACCTTTCAAGCAAGCTACCCAACCTGCCTCCTTTCCGTGTGTTTTGGTTTTCAAAATCGCCCTCCCGCCGCATCCTCCCCTCTCTTTATCGCAACTCCTTGCCTTCCTCTCGCAAGTCTGCTCTCTTCTCTTGATCACAACCCCTTTGCCCATCTCCACCACTCCACGATGTCCGCCGCGCTGGCTCGAATTAGTTTCGTTTTCTGGCTGAAAACGGGCCCAGAGCTGTTCCACGCGTTCTGGTATGCATGTCACGTGTGCGCGTCTTGCTCGCTCTTGGTATGCGTGTGTGGTCATGATGGCCGACGGGAGGATTAGCACGCTTTTTCTTGTCGCTCAACAAAACGTCGAAAGTGTGACCGCATGGCTTAAGCGTAATCCGCGCGTTAGGTGCCGCATTGCGGATCGCTTGCTCATAGCTGTTGACTACCCGGCAGCCAACTTGCCGCTTCGGTCGTCCCGGTATTCAGCTGTGGAGATGGCAAATATTTTGTGGGCGGTGATGACGACTACATGCGCGCGAAACTGTTTTCGCGAAGCCGACTTCGTCGACGTCGGGCCCGATGCCGAGCCCGAAGCTTCCGAACTGCGGCGGCGATTTGTAGCAGCGCGTCGTCGACTCCGACCAGGGAGAGCGGGTGGGACATCTGTTGCGATTGTTTAATTATGGCCGATTATGATGCCAACACTGCGGAACCGTGCATGGATTGGGGCATTGTGAGTGGAGTACGTGGCGATAGCGATTTGGATGAATCAGGTTGCGGGAACGACAAAACTTTGGAGCCAGTGCCTCATGCAGCTTATGCCACGGACCTTGGCGAACGAGCACCCTGCCGTTTTAAATGAACTCGAGACCGCCATTATCGCTTCTGCTCTTCGAAACACGTGCATCATGAACTTTATGGGGAAAAAAAAGTTTGTGTTTTCACTCGCAACTTTTTTAATAGCTTTGTTTCATTTACTACGAACTTTGGGATACAGCGAACGGATGCCGCATCACGCTCAGGTTCGTTATAAGCTGGCTCGACTGTATGTGTTCTACCACAGAGCCACACGACTGCTTGGAAATACTGTGAAAATAACTTCCTCTGCTTCGAAATGCAAATGCAGTTAAAGTAACTTGCATGCATTACAAATGCACGCGTCCTGTATACATGGTTCACGATGAAACATGTAATATAGCAGTAATAACGCGTGGTACAAGCTCCCATTGCAATTAGGCAGCAGAACATGCTATTATCATGAACTGATGGTTCAAAGCAGGCCACCCATTACAAAAGGCGCACACGATACTTGCACCTTTTCCACTAAGGCCACATAGTGGGTGCATAGCAAGTTCGAAAATGTTTAATGTGCGCAATTGCCCATGATTTAAAGCATGCTACCCATTACATAGAATGCAGCCATACGTGAAAGCTTCACTGACACAAGCCATGTTGAACTCAGTGTGCACTACAGACAAGATATTGCTATCGCATTCAACTTTTTAGAGGCAACCCTTGCTTGAGGATCCAAAATTTTTGGAGTAGGTTTCAGAATAACCTGCTATGGAGCCTATTCCTCCTTATATAGCTCTGTAGCTGAGGTATAGATTCAACCTACAGTTGCATACAATTGAAAAAATTGGCGGAGCCTGCATTAAAGCTGGTGTGGCTAAGAGCAGATTAATTGGGCTGTTTCAAGGCCTTAGCTATGTGATGCAGGTTGTTGCTATGTTGCTTCCTAGTCACTACCAGGCTATGGCAAGGTGATGGTAGCTTCTTTCTACATTGATTTTAAGCACAGAGATGTTCGCGCTAAACCACAGGTAGTCACAGAAACGACACTGATGTCCAAACTCCTGACAAAACCTCTCAACGAAACCAAGCGTTTGCACCTCTCGTAAATCTAGTCGACGTTGACCTTCTATCCCTTCGGTGTCTTCTCACAGCCGCCGTTGGCTTTCCCACTTCTCAGTATTCTCTAGTTAAACATACCCGGAGTCTTTGGCTCGCCGCCATCGGTCCACAGCCATTTGTTGGGCTAACCGCTGCCTCCTTCCTTTTCTAGAAACTATAGTGAGTTTACCCAATTTCTGTGGCACATACCCGTTTGCAATAATAGTAGTATTTTGGTACGGAAGAGAAAGAGGAAGGATTTGCAGAAAAGTTTCTCGGTCGCCCCACTTAGGAGACCGAAAGGTCAACTGCCGATTACCTCCATGATGTGAGGAATAGTATAGTTGCACACGGGACCCAGACAGTTAACTCACTGACTGTCATGCTTACACTCCAACCTCTATATAACGAACCCAGATATAACGAGATATTGATTATAACGAAGCAACTTAAGGGGGCAGACTGGTATTTGAAAACAAAAAAAGACAAAAAAAATTCATTTTTTAAAACTGACATATTTGGTTTCTGCAACTATTTTTCTACCTCTCCGCAAATTTTCACACACCAGGAAGTAGTAATTTTTCTGTAATGTCATTCTAACTGCCCAGATTCTTGGAGCTGTTAACAGGCAGAACCTGCAAAAAAATGGGGAACCGACTTTGAGGCTTCTTTATAATTGGCCGGCACCTGTGTTAGAAGCTCTGCTACGAATTTATGAGCACCTTTATGAGGATTGCAAAACATGCGCATCATAATTGTTCCTTTTTGAAGAAGCCTCGTGTTTTCACTTTTTTCCATTTTTCTCAAAAAAGTAAATTTACGACTGTTCAATTTTGAGGCCTCAATATCTCTGCAGCTAGGGCTGGTACAACAATAATTCTTTTTGCAATGGAAACCTGTATGGGTGTAGAATGCAAGTATGGAAGCAGACTTTAGAGCACAGGCCTTTTTAATTGGGTACTCACCAAAATTGTAATACCATTCCAACTGCTTTTGAAAATGGGTAGTTCATTTTGCTGTAAAATAACCAAGGCCTACAGCAAAAACTCTTGCATACTTTCACTCTATAGTCATTAGTCTATGTTGGCATATCTTAAATATCACTTTTAATTAAGCACTTTTTTTTCTATGGCGGCCTTAAACAATAGAGAATAAACTTAAGTTATCTCAGGAACAAAATGAATTACAGGAAAACTAATTAAATATTTGAAATCAGCAAAAAACACTGCATAACCCTGTGCACTTTGATCAAGATCACTGAAGAAATAAACAAAAAATGTTTAAGACCAGTCTGCCCCCTTAAAAATAGCTTTGCAATAGATTAGTGTTAGAAATAAACCTTTAAAACGAGTTTTCAAATTAATGAACTTTTTCGTTTCAGATGTAACTTTGTCATAATGAAGTTTCAGCGTACATTTATGACATTTGAGGAGGAAATGTCACTGTTTTTTTGGAGTTGTGGCCAACTATAGGGTGTGTTGCAATGTGCCGTGCGCAAATGGTAACTCCCGCAGTGATCCACTGTGAAGCCAAATTTTCACACTGCTTGTCGGAATTAAACTTGCCTGGTTCCTCAGCTGTGGGTCCGCTCCGGCAGCTAAGAGCAGCTTGATAACGCTCAGGTGATCAAATAACGCTGCAGCGTGAAGGGCACTTTCACCGTTCTGAAAGAAACAAACAGACAAAAAATTTCCCAGGATGCTCCAGTCTGAAAGCAGTAACACATTTTGGCACTGAATAGACATGACGCCTTGCGAATTCCTGCTCAACATGTGTGTGATGCACTGAAACCTCAATATAATTCACCTAGATATAACAAAATATCGGTTATAATGAAGTAAGTGAAGAGTAGTCTAGCAATATACCTTTATTTATTTATTTTTTACAGGGTACCTACATCGCCATATAGGCATTACGTAGGGAGGGGGACAAAAAAACAATCCGTACAAATGAATTTGTAGCAAAATATATAAACGCACATAAAGAACAGTGTCAAATTTATCAGAACATAATAATGGATCACAAATACATTTTCATACACACAGAACATGCTCAATGCAAGAAGAATTTCGCAGCATAGAAAAAAAGAAATCATTATTTGTTATGCTAACCAATTCGTCACTTAAGCTGTTCCACTCTCTTACTGTTTTTGGAAAGATTGAGTAGAAAAAAGTATTGAATCTGCATTTGAAGGTAGATATCTTTTTGCTATTGTCACAGCGAATGGATGTGTAGGGGGGTTCAACAAAGTAGCTATGGTGGTTGATTCCTGTGTTAAAGTAATATATCTGGTGCAACAGTTTAAGCCGTAGTTTCTGTCTATGTACACGTAGCAGATCCCATCCCAAAGTGGCCTTCATTTGTGAAACGCTAGCGTAGGGGGTTTTAATTATTTAAAACAAATCTTGCCGCTTGATTCTGAAGTTGTTCTATTTTATTTATAAGATAGTCTTGGTGGGGGTTCCATACTACGCATGCATAATCAAGTATAGACCTGACCTGCAAGAAATATTAAGTTTCCTTGATTTGGCACGTCGCCCATTTGAAATTCCTTCGAATAAAGTATAACATTCTACTAGCTTTTGCTATGGCCGTGCCAATGTGCTTGTTCCATGTAAATGATTCAGTATAATGAACACCAAGATACTCATAATCACAGTGTGTGTTAATGAGTACACCATGGATGTTATATTGATGAAATGATTTGGATATTTTCCTTGAGACGCTCACACTGGAACACTTTTTAATGTTTAAATTCATTTTCAATTTTTTACATCAGTCTGCTATGCGATCTAGGTCAGTTTCCAAAATGCGAGTATCAGATTCAGTCGTGATTTCTCTGTATATGACGCAGTCATCAGCAAATAATTTTATGGGTGACGTAATGTTTTCAACTACATTGTTTATGTAGATTAGGAACAGTAAGGGTCCTGGAACGCTCCCTTGGGAAACGCCTGAAGTTACTGCTGTGGACGAAGATTTGACATTATTTAAAACAACGGACTGGGTTCTACCATTCATATAATTACGTATCCACGTTTGAATGTTTTTATTTATGTCCAATGCAGCAAGCCTTAAATCCAAGAGCTTATGGGACACAGTGGCAAATGCTTTTTTGAAATCTATGAAAACCGCGTCTACACGACTATTGTTATCAATAGCTTTGGATGCGACATGCTGAAATTCTATTAGTTGTGTGTTACAGGAATAACCTTTTCGAAAACCGTGCTGGGAGGGAGTAAAGAAAACGTCTGAATCAAGAAATTTAAATATATTGGTGTAGTAAAATGTGTTCAAATATTTTGCAACGCACCGACGTTAATGAGATTGGTCTGTAATTTTCTCAGAGTTTTTTATCTCCAGATTTGAAAACGGGTGTAACGTTTGCTGTCTTCCAATCTTGGGGAATGAGACCAGTTTCGAGGGAGAGTCCATAGATTATACTTAAATATAGAGCAATAATGTCATGACACTCTTTAAGAACTACTGGGGACAGTCCATCAGGTCCAATGGCTTTTGTTGCATCTAAGTGGTGTAATAATGAATTGACGCCACTAACATCAATTTGAATGTCTGGCATCATATTGCTCTGGGCGGCATTGTTCAGGAGAAATGCCTGTTCGGCAGTTTCATGCGAAAATACTGATTGAAAATATTGATTGAAAAATTCCGCCCTCTGGTAGTCTGATGTCACCGCTTTGCCGTCGACAGTTAAGGCTGGTATAGATAAATCTTCTTTTCGGTTCTGCTTTACATACTTCCAGAATGACTTCGGGTTTTTTTTTAGGTCTTTACCTAATTTAACAAAGAAAGCATCTTTCACAGATTTCATTGTTACTTTTTAATATATTATTTATTTCATCTAGGTGCTAGTGGTTTACCAAATTAGAATTAGCAGAAAATATTTTATACACGCAGTCTAGCTTTCCAGACAAGTTCGCGTGTTTCTGCGTTAAACCAAGGTTTATGCGTTTTCTTTTTACCCAAGTACCTACATGGAACATGACTTTCGACCAATCCGGGCATTTTGTCGCGGAATATCGACCACAGAGATAACGGACAGCGTGCCTTTGACATATGCTGGAAAGTAGGAAAGAAATTTTCTAGTTCAGTTCTAATAGCAACATAATCCCCTCTGTCATAGCTGAACACTTTTCTTTGTGGAGCCTGAGATATCCGTACACACTGTACGCCAAGCTCCGCGACAATGGCCCAGTGGTCGCTAATACCTGGGCACACGGTAATTAATCCCTGACACTAAGTTTGGTTCATTGCAAAGCATTAAGTCTAAGATTCAGTTTTCTCGTGTAGGTTCCAGCATGTACTGTTGTAAGTCATACAATTCGAGCAGTTCCTCAAACTCCGAGTAGATACGGGAACCGTCACCAGTACCACATCTAGAACTCCAACTAAAATTCGGCAAGTTAAAATCGCCCCCAAGAAATACGCTGTAAGGCATAACTGACAGCACATCAGACAGGGAACTTAACGACTCGCCTATGCTCGGTGGGCGATAGAATGTCCCGAACATGACATTGTTTCCCTTGGGTAAATTCACGAGGCACCAGACAGATTCCGATCCGTTTTAAAAAAAAAAGAGCCGTTTTCAAAACAAATTTTCGAATATAACAAGGTTATTTTTGTGCAAGATGCAGCTTTGTTATAATGAAGTTTGAGTGACACATGCAAAGCCTCATCTTCTCACTTTGAAGAGTTCTGACACACTCAGGGACAAGTTTTCTTGGCCGTGCTGTTGAAGGCACACTACTGAATACAAAATCTGCTAGCATTCAAAGAAATAGTAACTAAATTTATTGATAACTTTCTCGTTTGCCTTGCTCAAATAAATACTGCTTATCTGTTATGAAATTAGGACAGTTACCAGAAGTCATAGGTAAAGTAAAATAATTGTTTAGTTAACCGGAATTAAGCCCTTGTGTGTGTTTCTTATATGGCACCATGTTTGCTGCACCCACACTTGTTCTCTCAGTTGAACATGACATTCCTAACATCAGCTGATCCTGATGCAGTCCGCAAACTCACCCCTTAGTTCCCTAAGAAAAAATATACTCCCCGCATGACACTGAAAGTCACACTGATCAATCAAAACGTCTCTCTCTCGTTCACCTTTTTCATAACAAAACAGCCATTTGGGCTACTTGGTCACAAATAATTTCGAATGCAAAAAGTGGGGCACAGTACAGAACAGCAACAGTCCCTGTTCTGTACTGCAGCTCCACTTTTTGCACTTAAAACATTTTTTGTGTTTTTGTTTGTTTAATGCATAAACACTGCGATCAAGTAGGACTGACACTGGGACTGAATTCAGTTGCAAGCTGCCAGTACTACTAGCCGAGTAGCACACAAATCTGTAGAATTGCTGCCTCTGTAGCATTTGCGTCACTGCCAAAAGCAGCTGTGCCAGAGTATAGATGGCAGCACATACTACTCTCCCATTGGCCAACGAAAGGAGGTACGAGTTCACTTGTGCAGTGCAAGTGAAGCATGCAGCAACAGGAGTCACCCATGCAAAACAAAAAGGGAAAATGTATGGTGGCCCCGCTAGTGTGAAGCCGGAGGAAATTCATGGCAAGGGCACCCTGTGATTCCCGTTCATGAAGTTGCCCCACTGCTCTGCTTACCAAGGCATGGATGACACCAATGTCTGAGGTAAGCTTGTACGTTTTCCCCGGCACTAGTAAAATCTTGTTAGGAAGATTCGTAAAATCGGTTTTCTAAGTGATTTTAGTAATTTTTTGTCTAATTGATAGAATTACTCCCTGGTTATTTCTGATAATTATAATACTTCGAAACCTCGTTCACTTCATTTCAATGCACTTTTGAGCACTGCCAGCCCTCCTATGGCCTGTATTGAGCGCTTCACTGTGCACATGATCACACCACATGAGATGCATTGATAGGACAAGACCAACACCTCAAGTGCTCTGCATTTGAAAAAAAAAAAAAAAAGATTCTGAGCAGTTTTGGTAAGAACATTGACATAGCAGTATGGCATAGAAGAGGTCAATCAACCACAGAGTCTTCCATGATTTTATAATGCCAGCTCACTCACGAACACAAAGAAGTGGAAAACCACGTGAACTTATTGCACGGAAGCTTCGAGGTTGAATGTGTGACATACCTTCAGAAGGCCGAGCGAAGCACCCTGCTTCACGAGAAGCTCGACAAGGCCTGCATAGCCTTTGTGCGCCGCCTTGAAAAGTGGTGTTGCCCCATCCTGTGAGGAGCAAGGGAGGAAACGAGGAATCAAGCATTGTTCAGTGAAATACAAATACAAAACTGCACACAAAATGTTCATATAAATTTGAAAAGCAACATTGCAGATGACCCACAGTGCCGTGCTTTCTTTCGTGCTGGTACCCAATGTACAGTGACTTAAAAGCAAGTAGCCCACCTTGCATTGTTGCACTAAAATCTACAGGTTGCTCATAAAAGCATTAACCTAGAGGATAAATTTGCCACTAACGTTTAGACTGAAGTCACAATGCACATTCAGTTGAAAGCCTGCTTTTGCATTAGTGTCACATACTTTTGAACAGGTGCATTAGATGAACACAGCCAAGTAAAGTTAGCCTAGTAATGTATTTCTTCAATACCTCAATAATCGACCGCACATTCTCCATTGATGATGACGATGTCTGGGGTTTAACAACCCAATACCAGGATATGATTACGACGGACACTGTAGAAGAGGGCTCCAGATATTTTCACCATCTTGGGTTATTCGATGTGCACTGACATAGCGAAGCGTATCGGCACCTAGCATTTTGCCACCACTGAAACGTGACTGCCACAGCCAAGATCGAACTCACGACTTTCAAGCCGGCAGCCGAGCAACGTGGCACCACGGCATCACTATTCAAATGTGCTGCCTCACGAATATTTTGTGGCCCATGCCACAATAATTTTTATGCATCTTTCATGTGTAATCAGAGTTATTGCACTAAAATGACTGCTTTGTCTTTCTTTAACTTGCTACGAGTAGGGGGGGGGGGGGAAGTGATCAATGATGCAACATGCAGCATCCAGCGATCATCAATCAGCGAAACTGTTGACAGTATCCTGTTGATCTGTCTGGCCTGTTTACTGTGTAGATGGTGACAATTACAAAGGCAATAACAAGTTTTTTTGGTTTTTTTTTTCACATGATAATGTCAATTTCTTGCTGAATGCAGTGCAATAACACTAGAATCATGTGTATGCAGGAACACCGTCTAGTGACCGACAAAGTTTTCCGCATATGTTTAACAACTTGTGGAAGGGCCCCTATAATCAAACACCTCTTGAAGGGAGCAAGTTTGTCATAGACCGGCAATAAGGTAACAAAAGTTGGATATGGAAAACAAGCAATAACTGAGAACAAAGAGATAAAGCATTGTTTCAAGACTCTTTTCTGGCTGAATTAATTTCGCACGGTCAGTGATTACAAAAAGACAAAATGAAGGGAACATTTACAATTTTCATTACGATTCACAGCGGAACCTCAAAGCCAGTATATCACTGGTATTTTCGCAGCCACACCTCTTGCGATGCTGTTGCCTTTTCTAAATTTTCGTGCCAGTATTCAGAAGATTGTGATACTGTGAGTGGCCCACTCATATTATCGATGGGATAATGATTGATATGTGGGGTTTAACGTCCCAAAACCACCATTTGATTATGAGAGACACCGTAGTGGAGGGCTCCGTAAATTTCGACCACCTGGGGTTCTTTAATGTGCACCCAAATCTGAGCACACGGGCCTACAACATTTCTGCCTCCATCGGAAATGCAGCCGCCGCAGCCGGGATTCAAACCCGCGACCTGCGGGTCAGTAGCCGAGTACTTTAGCCACTAGACCACCGCGGCGGGGCTATCGATGGGATAAACTGGCTATGAACAGTGCACAATAACACTAGCACAGAACGGAGTATAACACATTACTAAAAGCTACCAGCCTAGGCAGACATCGCGAATTTCGTGAGCGTACTTTCAAAATTGGGTATAAGCGGGTGCGTTAAATGTGAATAAAACTTCTATGGCTTCCTTAGAATACAATGTAGCCCATGTTAACACATAAAAAGATGTTACAATACATGACAATTGTCACAGTTCCCGCTAATTAGGGAGGCGATCGCCGGGCTTATTCCAAGGGCCGAAGCATCGGCCCCTTGAACCGCACCACGAAAGCGTGGACAATTTAGAAGTGGTCCTATTTGGCGCGCCAGCGGACGCCGGCTGTGGCCCAAAGAACAAGTCAGAGCCAAGAGCTGATAAACAAAACAAAATTATATTCTCAGTTATGGCAGATCAAAACGATACACAAGTATGCACACTCGACAATAGTTGAATACAATGTGTCACCAATCAAACAATGTACTACACAGTACAATCAGCCACACTCGAAACAACGGACACAGACAACAATACGCACTACAATGCAGTCGCATGCATCGAACAACCAAGACACTTAAAGACTAAAGAGTTAGAAAACTTATTCAGTTTAAAGTTCTTGGAACAAAAGTCTGAATGATACTCTTCCGAGAATCACTCACTCAAAGTCCAGCGTTGTTGTCGTTCCGCTGCCCCCGAAGTTTCTCTTCCAGGAAACCTCGCGTCTTCAATTGGCCGCTCTCCAAGCTTCAAACTTCTTCGCCGGAAACACGTCGGCTTCACACACGCAGCTGTTGCCACGCGTCTTCGCTCGATAGCGGTAGACACACACACTCTTGCCTGTAGCTCGGGTCTTCACCCCTCAGGTGGAAATCCTCTTCTTCTCCTCCTTTGTCACGAAAGACAAAAGGCTTCGCCCTCAAGGCACAACACCCTACGCACTCTGGCGCATACTTTCTCCTTCTCCTGCTTTGTCACTACGGACAAAACCTTCACCGACAGACGCGGCGGGATACCCTACGCACTCCGGCGCTAACTTCCTTCTTCTCCTCATCTCCCATCTCGGCTGCTCAATTAAATACCGTCCGCGCGAGATTCCAGAAAGTTCTCATCATTTCGTCCGCGCGATACGCAGCGAAGGCTGGGGAAAGGGTGAGACGGTACGAGGGCCGTCCGCGACAGATGACGCAACCCTGCATCACCACGCCCCTTTCCATCGAGAACGTTCCAGGGCTTGCTCGGGCGCCGATGAGAGGAGGTTCGTCGGCGAACCCACGCTTCCGAGGGTGGAGGGAAGCGCGCCCGGGGAGTCTTTGGATGCTTGTTTTCTTTTTTTATCGTTGACCTCTCGGCGCTTCGTCGCGAGAATTTGGCGGCACGCCCTTTTTTGAGCGCTCGTTTTGTGACAACATTGCATTAGGCAGTGCAGTAAAAACTGCGTTGTGCCTTTTCTGGCTTATTAGCTTTCTCTCACAGTGAGTTTTTTTTTTTTAGTGGCGAAGTTCCTCTTAGTGACAAACAGACAGATGGACAGACGTGCGCACGGAGGGGCAAATGGATGGAAGCATGGACGGAAATTGTATGCATGGACAGATGGTACGGACGGACAGACAGACGGACGCTTTGCCCCATTTATCATTAATTCGGTGGATATGTCGTGAATATTTTTTTTCCTTCTGTACTACTATGTTGAACAATACTTTACCAGTAATACAGCTCACTTTGTATTTCTCTTGAATGCCTGTGTAACGGCACTGTAGGTAATTTGTTGACGACACTGATTGCGCACGCACCAGCCTCGTGGTCTGAACATGCAATGGCATCACAAGGCTAAAAAAAAGTTGACCCCTGCTTCAGTGCCAGTAAAGAACACTGTTACTATCCAACTGCTCCCATAAACAAAATCACAACAATGAAATGAATGCAACTCACATGCCGCGTTGAATCAACCTCAGCACCATGAGCAAGCAGTTCAGCGACGACTGCCGTGTGACCCATTTGGGATGCAATCCACAATGCGGTGGCGCCATCCTGAGGAAAAAAAAAGTTTGAACCATTACAAAAGTCATGTTCCGGGTGTATTAGTGGCAAAGGTTGCCACACAAGCCAATATATGCCCTCTTATCCCTTCATGACACGCATTATGATCAACTGTCCATAAAAGCCAAATTTGTGTGATTTGATGCCAAAGATCTCAAGACGAAATTTAAAGCAAGTACACTAAAGCCTGATTATAACGAAGACACATATGTTACAAAAATAACTTCACTATACCAAAAAATGCTTTATAAACCTGCAACACTGCATCTGACAAGTCTATTCATGATTTGCTTCGTTATAACCGATAGTTTGTTACATCTGAGTTTGTTATTTTGAGGTTTGAGTGTAGGAAGGTCAATCAATTATTGTGTATTTTAAAGCAATGAACTGTAATTTGATCGTAAACACTTAGAAAATTATTGTACAGTAAGTCATGCTATATATTTCTTCACAAATTGAATTCAACTACCCACTCAAATTACACAAAATAGTTATCCGCTAGTAGTGAGCATTCTATAAGGGTAGAAAAATATTCTGAAAATCCTGTCAAAACACCCCACATCCAACATGTTAAACATGCAACTGCTTTTACTAAAGCGATTGTCTAGCAAAATATTTCAACCAGAAGTAAACAAAAAAAACTTCAAACAACAATAATGCTTTATTTACTATTGGGTCAGCGTACGTGGTCTCTTCATTGCCAAGAAGAGTGCAGAGAAATGGTGAAACTAAGCTGCATCTTCAAATTATGGCGCCGTGTCTCAAAGAGACAAAAAGATTGATTCGTCACAGTAAAGCAATACAATGGAAAGCAGAATTTTCTTCTTTTTTTTTTTTTTTGCCCACCTGGTCACCTCGTCTCATTTTCTCTGAACATGAAACATTTACCAAATACGAAAGAAGCAAAACTCATAGGCCATTGCAAAAAATGATGAACGTACCGTTCGTTTTAAGTTGATATCCGCGTTGAGGGCGATGAGATGGGAAACAAGATTCAAATGTCCATTTTGAGCAGCCACAAATAGGGGCGTGGCACGGTCCTGCAAGAAAGTTCGTTTCAGGTGTTTTTTTTTATTTCATTAAGAGTAGGAAATAACGAGTAACAAGTGATGGTGCGCAAATATTAAAAAAATTTATATGCCGAATTGAGTATGTTGTTCTATTTGATTCAATGCACAAATATAACACTCATTTTTTTGCGATGCCGATTAACAAGGATAGGCTACGAGCACCGACTAGCTACAACTCTACAACTGTAGCACACACCATAAAGAAGTTCCTCATTTTTATTTAGATATAACGATGCACTGAACCAATAATTACAGCAAAAGCTAGTTATGCTGTCACAAGTCCTCATTCTTTACATTTGGTGCCGTGGAACCCGGAAGTGGTCGTTCTGGTATTACGATGTCGTCAGCCGAGCGGCTTCAGAAGGCGCGTGGGACATTTAGGGCCAGGGTCTCAGCAAATATTACGCTCCTGACAGGACTGCTGCGGGACTCTGACGTGCAAGCACGCGAAGTGAACAGGCAAGCCACCGTTTTAATGACTAGAGAACCGAGCTCTGCCAGTTGGACAAGCAGATCCTCGACATAACTGAAGCAGTTGACCATAAACTCGAGGATGCTGCGGACTACGATAATAAGGTGGACCGTATTACCTGACAGGCCGTACTACCTGTCTAAATGTAGACAGTCAATTCACTTAAGTGACATGGACTATTCGTCGCTTTCTTATGCCAGTCATGGCTGTGGAAAGTACAACGGAGTTGGTTTCCATAAAATTGCCAACAACCGTGACATTTTTATAGGCATGGAAAATAACAATGGATGTTTGGGAGGCACAGACTCTAACCAGGAAAGCGGATTGTTGGCGAGTCAAGATGATTCTGCCTAGGTTGAAGGAAATAAGGTCGAATCAATCGTGACAGCGTGCAGAAGTATGCAAATACCACATCAGAATTCAATGATTCAGGGCTCGTTCGGCAGAGATCATTCATCGATGATGCACATGGAAAATATTCCTCAGAAATCATTTCGCTCTGTGAATTGGATAGGAGAAGAAAAGCCATTGGAGTATTCTGGCAGCACTCAGAAAATGGAGAAAAAAACTAAGAAGTGAAGATAAAGCGATTGCCAGTCTTGAAAAAGCAAAGGGAAGAGTTGAAGAGATGATGGAAACTGCGGCATTTGTGATAACATTGACCATAATGCTGTCACGAGCCAACTGATGATGAGTGCCAAGGAATCTGCTGACAGGTTACCAACCATCAACAATGACTAATTACATCAGCTAGTTGTTGGAGCGAGCAGTCCTACCGTGTTTCCTGTCAGTGTCCTCATCCTTAGATGCGTAGGTTGGATGTCAGGACTTTGTCCAACTCAGCTTTGAGGTACCAGACGATGCTGTGACAAAACAAGGAGACAGTCGCCTAAAAATGAAGGTGAACATGCCGCTTCTGCTTCTGAAAGTGAAGCGGAAGGCCCTGGAAAAGAAGACGCAGTGGAGCTGCCACAGCGCATACCAACCGCGCAAGTGTTAGAGCAAGCGCATTGCTACAGAGCAGCAAAGTAAGAGAGCAAGGCACAGGGTTTGGGTCGCAGCGAGAAACATCGGTGCATGTATCTGGGAACTTCATGGAAAAGACTTCAAAGAGCTGCAGTTAACCGTCTTCTGGAGAAGCTGAGTGTGCAGTACAAATCAGCAGGCTTCATCTCAGATTAGTGTCACAGACGTGATGATAGCACAAGAACATTTGTCCGAATGACACAACTGCATCACGGATGAGACGAAGCGGACAGAGCCTGCTCCGTGCGTTCGGCAACTGCCCACATGGTGAATCAGCCAAGACAAAAGTTGTACCGTCGTAAGCCAAAGCATGTATTGTGTCTTAATGCGTTCCCTCCCCCTCGAAGATGTTGAAAATAAAGGAGTGGGGCATGGACTTGGGGGGGTGGGGAGGCTCGACAGATGTAAAGGAAGAGAAGAACAAAGTAGCAAATGCGGAGCTTGCTCTGATGGAATAAACATCGTCGTCCAGTGCCACGGCCACAGATCCTTGTTTCTCTTCCATCTTTTACAAGCATGTATTTGTATCAAGCTGATACTGGTGAAAAATGTTTTTGACTGGCTCGTTTATATTTAATATTTCACTTATTCCAAGATCACCTAAAAAAACATTTGCTTGTGTCTTGTTGCAGCTAGCATTATTGAAAAACACGTTAAAAAAGCCTCTACAGAAGCGCCTTCCTGAAAGGGACAGTAAAGTCAAATAACACTTTATGTCAGAGTGAAATCTCAATGTAAAACAATGTTTAAAACAACAATATTATCAACAGCAATGCCTTACTTACCGAGATTTCAAGGTAAATGCACGAGAACACATACGCCACGACTAGCACATTCGAGAAATGATTCCAATGATGTTAGACGAACCGCGTACAATTATACACTAGCAATCTCTCTTCTCTAGCTGCACTAAATAAAGAACCTTCCGTGCATCAGAAGACGTAATAAAGTGCTGCTTGTTCATTTCTTTTTGATTCACTGGAAAATAGAACCACTGGACATTACTATTGGGAATGGCACGAGTGGTTCAAAAATTTAAATTTCGACTGCTGGTTAAACTGGACAGGTCGTGCCATCTAGCGGGGCTCAGTTGAACCAAGCACACTTGCCATCTCGGAGCCAATGGCAGGACTTTGTTTAACGACCGTTGTTGCTGCTGTGGCTCCTCCGGCTTTCGTTTCTGCTGCTACTAGTGTGGTGGCCGCGCTACGCTGCACACAGCAACAGTGACGTGACATGTCCCGCTTGAGGTGGGTAATATAAAGTGCGCTAACCCGATGCGGACCACTAAAACGTGATTTTATGTCAAAATAAGCACCTCCATGCCACAAAAGTAACGCTATGAGATTTTTGGATCGCTATTTCAACAATCAATGTCGACTCGATAGTTGTCTTTAGTGTCACTTTAAAGGGCCCATAAACCTCCTTCGATATTTTTTCAAGCATTTCAAGTAAACGTGCACATTGTGTGCAGAATGCCGTCGCCCCAAGAAACAATTCCTCCTTTTTTCCGGGCATCTGTGGGCCTCCGCGTGACGCGCTTCGCCGCGGTGGTCTAGTTGCTAAGGTACTCAGCTGTGGCGGCTGCATTTCCGATGCAGGCGCAAAAATGTTGTACGCCCGTGTGCTCAGATTTGGGTGCACGTTAAAGAACCCCAGGTAGTCAAAATTTTCCGAGCCCTCCACTGTGGCATCTCTCATAATCATATGGTGGTTTTGGGATGTTAAGCCCACCATATCAATCAAAACACATCTGACGCGCCAAGCCAAATATGCCCAATATGCTGTGGTTGGTCGAGCAAGAGCCTACGACTTCCAGTCAGTGTGCAAGCAGCTGTCTGCGCTGCTTGTTGTTGTTCGTCATGTTGCCCACGTGCTTGCAACACGTGCAGGGCCTGGCATGTCCCTGTGCAGGTCCATCGCGTTGGCGATCCTTTGAAAGCATGCGCGCAACGCAGGGTCTATACCGGTTCGATTACAACAGCCACGGTTTGCCAACAAGCACGCAACTGACGGAGTTGACGGCCGGAGTAGACGGCAACTGGAAGTAAACGGTGTTTTAAGCAGCACGTCAGCGATGACATATGCCCCATAAGATTGGGAGGGGCATGGGAGGGGCGCTCGGCGAGAGGGCAAAGCGGCGTGCGAGAGGATACCAGCAGAAGGAAGCGCAGGAGCGAGCGAATGTGCGGTCGTCGCGGTTTCGATAATTAAACGTATCTAATTCTGCTATTACTGCACCATTTCAAAAATTCTCCGGGCTCCGTGTTCATCGTGCACTCCGGCACAATTTGATTTGATTGATTGATATATGGGGTTTAACGTCCCAAAACCACCATATGATTATGAGAGACGCCGTAGTGAAGGGCTACGGAAATTTCGACTACCTGGGGTTCTTTAACGTGTACCCAAATCTATCTGAGCACATGGGCCTACATTTCCGCCTCCATCGGAAATGCAGCCGCTGCAGCCGGAATTGTGGGGTTTTATGTCCCAAAACCACCATATGATTATCAGAGACGCCGTAGTGGAGGGCTCCGGAAATTTTGACCACCTGGGGTTCTTTAACGTGCACTCAAATCTGAGCACACGGGCCTACAACATTTCCGCGTCCATCAGAAATGCAGCCGCCGCAGACGGAATTCTCGGGCACAATTTCCTCACCACAACTGAATTTCGACCCCTGTGTAGTTTATGAGCCCTTTAATGGGAAACTTTAAAGCGAAGCGCTAAATCAATTCAGATGCAAAAGTTTAGGAACTCTATTTTTGGCAATAACACAATAGAAGTTTAATAATTAGAGGTGAATACGGAAATCAAAGCTTCACTTTGAGCTTCTGCATCTTTCCAAAAACTAAGGAACAAGCACACAGGAAAGATACTACACACAAGCAAGACAGGCACTAAACATATACCGTATGTTTACTTACATAAAACTACGAAAATGTACAAACATACGCAGAACGTACAAAGAGGTGCAGACAGTGCTGCCAATATGAATCATTGCAATGTTGCTTCAGATAAGCTTTTTCCTAGGCATACAAAGCCACTGAAAGTGTGCACTGGAGAACACAGGCTAAATGTAACCAACAACAATAATTGCCCTCGTCTGTCTGTCCATTGTAAGGAACGTGGTTGCACACCAATTCATGCATTGTTCTGGCGAAGCACAAAGATAAAGACATGCGAGAGATTGAAGCTCGAGTTTTCTGTTGCAATAGTGACACATAGGTTAGTGCCTGATCCATATACCTGTTAGATAAGCAGATGGCCTTTCCGACTGGCAAATTACTGAGCTGATGTGGCTCTACTGTGCACAGATATATAGATTGATGCTTCTGGAAAATAAAGTTGTCGAAGTTAGCACATCGTGGCGTCCTCTCCCTTAAGTCTTCGTCTGCTCGCACTAAATACGTTTTCGAAGGTGTGCTTACGCGTTCATCTGCTTCTACACCGATGTGGTAAGCCTCAAAGGATTCGCGAGCTCGCTCAGCAGCCAAGTTGCACAAGATATCGGTGCCCTTAAAGTCAGGCATGCAAGAATGCCTGTGACAGTGATCTGTCAAATGTTCACACCCTGCCAAAGTATTCACAGCTGCACGACGCTCTCTCAACCTTTCATTAGCGCAGCTGCCAGTTTGACCGACATGGCACATTTGACAAGTAACTGGGATCTTGTACTCCACACCTACATTGCATCCAATGAAAAGCGTGGTGTGCTTTACTGCGCAGCGAGCCTTGGCAGCCCCATCCACATGACCACACAGATGCAAGCTTGCCATGCACCCAGAAAAAACAACAAAGAAACATAGAAAGCTGCTCTTTCAGGCCACCTTCTTCAGGTGCCGGGACAGGTCAAGCATGTACAGCATGACCACACCTTCTTTGATGAAGACAAAATGAGGGTCAACGTTTTGTTACTGAATTTGGCGCTGAAACTTCACCACTTGCGTCATCCCGAATTTCAATCTGTTTTTGTGAACATTGGCCACATTAAACAAATGAAATTTTTTGAAACTTGATGTGTTAACACTCTGGGCCCCCTAAGAACGCAAATGAAACCTTTCTTACCAATGAACAATCATGTAGGCTCTAGCGTATGACATTGAAATTCAAGACACGATGGCGAGCTTATGCGAGAACTTCGAGGCAGTGTCGCCATTGAGTTTTCTATAAATACAATAGAGGGAACTCTGCTGCTAGTGTCTATGGGTGCTCAAACTCATGGCCTTTCAGCCAGCATGGAAATGATTCACACAGATTTGTCTAAACCCTGTTTGGCTCTATGTGGTCTGCATCCTCTTTCTCGCAAGACAAAGTTCAGCAAATGTTAAGCAGTTTTACTTCACTAAGTTGACCTATTCCAAATCACCATTTCAAATCGGCTTATAAAGTTCACAGCAATAAATGCAACGACAAGTGCGTTTGAAGCAACAAGCACGAAGGTTAGGCAAATCTATGCACTATTTGTTATTTACATGATGACTGAATGATCGCAGTGCCAAAGTTCACTCTAATAAATATTGTAAGAAACTCTATGGCAGTCACCACCACTGTTTTGTAGTAGTGCGTATTTTTTTTTTTCCTAAAAAAGCACCTTCTCGTGATAAAAGTTGTGCTTTTGGTATGGCGAAATGGTAATTTAGTACTGCAAGAGAAATCGTTTTTCTCTTATGTGTCCTTTAAAGCAAGAGGTACGACTGTCAAAAGACTGTGTGGCAGAACAGGAACGTACCGACATTTGCGTGTGTATACTTGCTCCGGCTTTGACTAGCTCTTCAACGACGTCGAGGTGGTTGCACTGACAGGCAACTAGCAGCGGCGTGCCACCATCCTTGAACAAAAAAAGAAGTCTAGTGAACATACAGTTCAATTTGCAACTCTGCCCCCCACACAAGAGCCAAGAAGTATCATCATCGTCACCACCCAACTAGACCCACGGCAGAGCCGAGGTCTTTGTCATGTGTTTCCAACTAACCCAATCCTGTATTTGAAGTGTCTATCCTACAGTGTACACTGAATCCTCTATATAACAAATCCAGATATAATGAAGAATCGATTATAACGAAGAAGTAATTGAGGAATAGCTATGTCAAAAATACAGTAGCCACGTATAATGAATCTTAGAATATGAAAAAATATGTTCATGGTAGGTGTGATACTGCCGCAGCGAAGTGTGAAGAGTGTTAGTTGGCTATGGCAAGAGTTGAGTGATGTTAATTAAGACACTAGGAACTTTCACCAGTTATTCTACGTACTACACTCGCACAGAACTTTTCTTGGCAATGAAGCGAAGGCTACAAAGCCAGATCGGCTGTACTCTACCACCAAAGAATGCAGTTCCAGAACTTTATCCATATTTTCTATGTAAGGAATATAAATTCCCACTTTATTGTCTACATGTAGTTGTTTGACACAGAAAACAGCACACACCAGTGAGATGTTAGCATTAATTTCACTGTATGCACTGTTTGTCACTTTGCCTTTTTGCACACCTGAGAAAATTCTGCCTTTTACGTGCACCTCAAACGATGATAAGCGTCTGTGTCAATATGCAATGCTGATTGCACGTAACCATTACTTTCGCTAGCGGTAGGAAATGCATGCCGAACTGGACTAGTTGCCCCGCCGCGGTGGTCTAGCGGCTAAGGTACTTGGCTGCTGACCCGCAGGTCGCGGGATCGAATCCTGGCTGCGGCGGCTGCATTTCCGATGGAGGCGGAAATGCTGTAGGCGGCCTGTGTGCTCAGATTTGGGTGCACTTTAAAGAACCCCAGGTGGTCGAAATTCCCGGAGCCCTCCACTACGGCGTCTCTCATAATAATATGGTAGTTTTGGGACGTTAAACCCCACATATCAATCAATCAACTGGACTAGTTGTCCAGTTTGTTGTCTGCCAGAGAAGCCTTTCTCTTTGTGACTACACATTACTGCATGACGTTGCCAGTCTTCAATGTGATACTAATGCCACTAAATCTCTCAGTTAGTTTTCTGCATACAGCAATGGTCGCATGTTAAAAACACTGGGTGCGCACACATGAACACAAGAGCGACTTGAAGACAGCACAAATGTTGACTAAGAAGTGATGAGGCACACACTTGTGGAGAAGAGAGTAGACACAAAAAAGATTATCTGCATATGTCCAAACAAGAGACACTACCTGTAAGTATGGCATGTATGGTGGTCTGTGTAAGAGATAACTCCTCAGAAATTTGATTTCTTCTTTATGCAGGCCAATTCACACTTGGCTCATGCCTGCGCTACCATTGTCACTGATATGTGGGGCCTCAACTATTAGACAAATTTTTTTGCGTTCCTGCGCCTGTATAAAACCACGCATTCATCAAATTTCAGTGCATATTTACACTCTCGACAATGTAAAGATGGATTAGGCGAAGCTCCCAGCTAATGATCTCTAGTGTTTCATTAATATCTGATTAACAGACCGCCCCACAGAGTTTTATTTAAGAAGATGCCTATGCGAAACACAGTATTTTTAACATGAATAGCACCTACCAACTAGATCAGCTATCTGTTATTTTACGACAGTCTACTCCTTGAGCAGCACTTGTGATTATGAAGCATCATAGATTTTATCTTTTTTTTCCCCCTTTGTACAGTCTCGACACTGCCGCAAAAGTGTTTGTTCCATGGAACAGGTTCCCTTATCCGACGCAGGTGCACCACTTTCAAGCTATGAATACATGAGAGCACGAAAGAGTCAATGAAACAAACCTAAGAATTCAATGACTACTTTCAATTTTTTTATTTGGTACTATATGTTCTGCCCACATATCGACACATTTCCCAGGCTAAGTAGGACAGGCACTTCTGTGTACAGTGTCTGTAAAAATTTCCGAGGTCATGGCGCCACAGAAATACCTACATGGCATAGCGGCCTGGGAACTTTTGACGGACCCTGTATCTTGTGAATGCGCCTACTTATTTGTGCTAGCTTCAGTTCCAAATGTATCCAATGAACAAGGCCATCAATAAGCTCTACTTGCATTTTATTACCTAGTAAGCACAATTGTTCAGATGGTTCTGAACAAAGAAACAGCACTTGAAGACGACAAAGATAAGAGGACACAAACGTGGCTTCACATTTTTGTCTTCTTCTAGCGCTGTTTCCTCGTTCAAGGTCTGCATGTATCAACCAGCCCAACTCAAGACACTAATACTGCTCAGATGAGTTGTCAATGAGAGCAAGGGTTAGTTGTGTCAACACTTACCACGCTCGCAGCATCTACTGGGGCATTGTGTTCAAGGAGCAACCTGGCAATGTCTAAGTAGCCCCCTTGTGCCGCAAAGAACAGAGCGGTGGTTCCAGTCTGAAAGAATGTTTAGCACATATCTTAGCAGGCTAACTAGGCACCATCCCAAGGAAACAAGTACCTTAAACTTCAATACAATGAGCAGTCCATGGCATAGTGGAAAAAGCAGGCAAGCCAAGCTTCAAGTGTGCCTGACATACTATTTTGTCTTTTAACACCGCACTGCGCAATGGTCTTTTCTAAACGTTTCCTTCATGGATACTGGGAATTGAACCTTCACCCATGTGCTCAACAGTGCAACACTTACATTGCTACAGGCAATGGCAACGGTCATGCGTGAAACAATGACAGTGAAAGGCAACAAAAATACTTCAAATGACAAGTGGCCTTGATGAAAGATCAGATTTCCATATCATAAACAGCTGATCAGTGACAAGCCCGTGATCCAGAAAGCATGTGTCAGTGGCTATTAGTGCATCGCTCTTATTCCATCGATGTTGTGCCATTTTAATCATGCGTATTCACCTCATGAATATACAACAGCCTTTTTTTATAGTGCTGATAAATACTAAAACATGAGCCAAGCATCCATTCTTGAACTGCCTAAAACTACACATTCTGAGGTTTCAAGTGCCGAAACCACAATATTATTGATTGATTGATTTGTGCGGTTTAATGTCCCAAAACCACCATATGATTATGAGAGACGCCGTAGCGGAGGCTCCAGATATTTTGATCACCTGGGGTTTTTTAACGTGCACCCAAATCTGAGTACACGGGCCTACAACATTTCCGTCTCCATCGGAAATGCAGCCGCCGCAGCCAGGATCACCTTGTTGGTAATAATATTGTGGTGCCCTGCCCCGGTGGTCAAGTTGCACACCTTAGCCACTCGACCACCGGGGCGGGGCACCAAAATATTATTACTAACAAGAACTGACCGGCAATAATGCCAAGCAATGTATATGGCATATTATTATAAGTAATTGTAATTTAAATTTGAAGAGAAAAGTGGACGAAAAGGTAACTTGCCGCCAGCACAATCCAAACCTGTGACCTTTGAATAACACATCCAACGCTATATCAATGAGCTACATTGACGGCCATACCCCCGTCCACTTAACAGGGTATATGTTTGCGTTTAAACATGAGAGAATCAGTCAGCGCCACCTGTTGCCAATACGGTGAGAATGAAACTCTCTTTTTTGCCTGTTTGGCATCACATGCTACACGACGCCAGGCCGGCGAAAAACGCTGACTGACACTTCCATGTTCAAATACATTTATATACACTATAAAGTGGACGAGGGCATGATCACCACCGTAGCTCAGTGGTAGAGCGTCGGATGCGTTATTTGAAGGTCAAAAGTTTGGATCCTGCCGGTGGCAAGCCATCTTTTCGTCTACGTTTCTTTCTTCACACTTACTTGACAATTACTTGTAATAACATCCCCTATACTTTCCACACCCCCGACTTAAGCAGCGCGCCACCATACCTGCTAAGGAACCACAGCTGGTCAGCTTAAAATAACAGGAAGTCATACAAAAAACAGCAAAAGGACATTCCACAGCTTGTCTAATGGTATGTAGACTTTAATGGCGCAAGGGCCATGTCTTGGCCAAAGAGCGCCATGGAAAAGATGGAAGAGTGGCAATGATTTGCAATGTAACAATGACATGTGAAGTATATCAACTAAGATGATGCTACAGGGCTGTATAAAGTCCTAAAATTGCTTGCCTTAAGGCAGATAAAACATATTATACTAAAACCGTGTGAGTGAGGTGAAATAATTAACTAAAGACTAATGGCAACACATAGTAAAAGAATAAGGAAAACTTCGGGACTGACAGTGTTATTTAGCACATTTGCTCTATCAGTGCCCTTGAACACAAGAGCCGCGAGGCAGGGTGCTGTCTATGCGGCCACAGCAACAGCAACCTCCGGACGGAGGCCGTGGTACGGGTCACCTCGAAATATAGTGTAAAAACCATGTACTTCTTTTAAAAATGCCAACAATGATTTTTGTTTAAACAGTGCATCCCTACCGATAAACATAGAATGGTGCAGTGGAAGCTGCTGTCGATAGGGCAGTAAAAAATGTTTTTTTCTGATACTATCCAACTCACTGCACTGGACAAGGATCTGGAGAACTGTAAGTGGTTCACCACATTTGTCACAGCTAGGTTGTTCACCACCAGGCAGGAGATATGAATGTGTGCTGTGTGTGTGTCCTATTTGTAGCGTGGCAAGTGTTACTTGTCTGTCGCGTGATTTAGATACTGGTGGCCAATTTGCAAGTTTGGGTTTGATAATATGTAGTTTATTTTCAGTCTGCCTATCCCATAGGCACTGCCATTATGCTCTGAGGCTTCGATTTAGAAAGTGCTTTATGTCAAGTGCAGGGACAGTCAAAGATGGGTTGGTGGCAGCGTTGTCATGCGGAATACAGCTAGCTGGTCTGCAGGCCACGTTTCCAGCAATCTCGTGGTGCCCTGGCACCCAGCACACCACAACATGCTGTTTGAATGCGTAGATTGTACTATAAAAGCGAGTAAAGCGATACAAGCACCGCATTTTTATGCTTTTTCATTGTTTTCAAAGCTGTTACAACACTCAGAGAGTCCATGTATATAACCACGCATTCTAGTTTTAATTCCTTAATATATTTGGCAGCCACAGATAGCAGCATGAGCTTCTGCGGTGAAAATGCTTGTTTGTGGGTGCAGAATACCGGAAGCTGAAAAGGATGGCCCTACAGCTGCGTAGGACACAACGTGAGAGACTTAGAGGCATCGGTAAAAAATTCAGGACAAGCGTATTTGTGCTTAAGTTCCATGAAGTATGTGTGTATATGTGCAATAGGTGCATGCTTCATCACTTCCGCAAAGGATACATCACATTCTACCACCTGCCACTGCCACGGCGGTAGGTGTGCAGCAGGAGCCATGAGACACTGTTCAAAAAGTGGCACACGTGTTATCTCGGCTAGGCCCCTCACACGAAGTGAGTAGCGCTGCCTCATCGAGGGGCAGTTTCCAAAAAGTGCAGAACTAGACAAATCACTAATTATGGAATGCGTAGGGTGTTCCTTATCACCGTTCACTTTCAGATAATAGATAAAAGATATGTAGGACCTCTGCAGGGAGAGTGACCACTCATTTGACTCAGCGTAAAGGCTCTCTACAGGGCTCATTCGATAAGCACCTGTAGAGAGGCGGATGCCCAGATGATGTACAGGGTCCAGAATCTTCAACGTGCTTGGCGAGGCTGAATGATATACTATTGCCCCATAGTCAAGACGTGAACGTACCAGGCTTTTGTACAGATTCGTGAGGCACTTTCTGTCGCTGCCCCAGAATGTGTGGGACAGTAGCTTCAGAATATTCATTGTTTTCATGCATTTATTTTAAGGTGTTTGATGTGTGATACGAATGTTAGTTTTGCATCCAAGATTATACCTAGGAACTTATGTTCTGTGCTTACGGGCAGACGTTCACCTTTCATGACAATCTGAGGATCCGGGTGTAAGCCTCTTTTTCGTGTGAACAGGACACATATGTTTTTTTGTGGGTTGACTTTGAACCCATCTTCATCAACCCATTTGGACACTTTGTTTATAGCAAGCTGGACCTGTCGCTCACAGGTGCCGAGGGAACACAATTGAAAAGCTATCTGGATGTCATCAACATATGTGGAGTAAAATATGTTATGGGGGATGTACTGACGGAGAGAGTTCATTTTTATAATAGAGAGCGTGCAGCTCAGTACCCCACCCTGTGGTACTCCTGTTTCCTGTACAAATGTTTGGGACAAGGCATTGCCCACTCGAACTCGGAATATGCGATCAGACAGGTAACTTTCGATGATACTGAACATATTACCACGTATACCCATATTCGAGAGGTCTCTCAGTATCCCAAACCTCCATGCTGTATCGTAGGCCTTTTCCATGTCGAGAAATACAGATAGAAAAAAACTGGTTATGGACAAAGGTTTCACGTATGCGTGTCTCAATCCGTACGAGATGATTGGTGGTGGATCGGCCTTCTCTAAATCCGCACTGGTATGGGTCTAGCAGTTTGATTCGAGGAAGTGGAGTAGGCGGCAAGTAATCGTTTTTTCGAAAACTTTGCAGATGCAACTGGTTAATGCTAAGGCCTGTAATTTGATGCAGACGACAGATCCTTACCCAGCTTCAAAATCGGAACTATCCCAGCTTCCCTCCAAGAAGAGGGGATCCCACCAGAAAACCAGACAAGATTGTAAAGGGAAAGGAGAGTTTTTTGTGTTTCAGAGGGTAGTTGCTTCAGCATCTCATACATTATGATATAAGGATCTGGACAACAGAGTTGCAGCAGTTCAGTGCTCTTTACAATTATGCTAAGCAGAATGGCTCATTATAAGCTTAGATTTTTTAAGATTTCCTTTCTAGGTTTTGTTGTTCCAACTGTGCTTTGTATTTTTGAATGCGTCATAGTAGTGTGAGAAGCTCGATATATTTTCAAAATGTGCACCAGGAAAGTTGGCTTGGTCCTTTTAGCTTTCACCGAGGGTATTTACTAATGGGAGAGAATATGTTTGTTAGCCTTTAATTTTTTGGTCTTTGTTCCACACTTTTCCTTTCATCTGTGTACGAGTTGATGCTCGTAATGAACTTCCTCCAGCTCTCTCGTCTGGCTTGTCTGCGTATTCTCCTTGCCAGCGATTTGACCTGCTTAAAATTGTCCAGGTTTTCTACTGTTTGAAAATCACGGAGCAATGACCACGCTTTGTTCTGAATCATCCGAGCTTTCCTACAGGCATCATTCCACCATGGGACTCGCCATTTAAAACTCATTCCGCTCATTTGAATAATACACTTAGATGCGGCATCAAGAATAAAAGCTGTGAAATACGCGACAGTGTCATCTATGGTCAGAGCAGACAACTCAGTCCATGTCATGTGGATAAGAGTTTTGTACTGTTCCCAATCAGCTGAGTCAGGCTTCAACTTTAGAACCTGCGAAGATAGTTGGACTTTGTTTGGCACGCTCAGGATGAACGGGAAGTGGTCACTCCCATAAGGGTTTTAAGAACATCCCAATTTAAAATCGGCTAAAAGTGATGGCGATGAAATGCTAAGATCTATCTAGGAGTATGAATTGTTTCCGAGGCTAAAATGTGTAGGCTCCTTTGTATCTAAGAGACATAACCTAGACGAATAAAGAAGCTGTTCAATGAGACGTCTCGAGCGTCACAGCGAGAATCACCCCACAGGGCATTGTGTGCGTTAAAGTCACCTAAAATTAAAAAGGGTTCTGGGAGTTCATTTATTAGTGATTCCAAGTCACGCCTTTTAAGCTGATGGTGAGGTGGTATATACAGAGAGCATAAGTTTGCTAAAAAGTACAGCTCGAATGGCCACTGCCTCAAGGGCTGTTCGGAGCTTCATCTGCTGTCATGCCACACTTCTATCAGCTATAATGGCTACTCCGGTGGATGATACGGCAGCATCTTCGCTGTCCTTCCGGAAAGTATGTATTGCAGAGAAAGTTCCCATATTTGGGAGCTAGCTGTGTTTCTTGCACACACAGCACTTTTGGGTTGAATTTACTGTGAAGTTCTTGAGCATCATCTAGATTTTTGAGTAGTTCTCTAACATTCCACTGAATGGTTTTATCCAACATGAATTTAAAAAAATGATGTATGTACACAAGATTGAGAATGGTTCATTTTACAGGGCCTTTGTGAGGCCCTGTAATTGGTGTTTTGTCTTTTTTGAAGCGGTCAACAAGAGGTCGCCGCTCCTTTAGCACTACTGGCGCCGTTTGGCTAGAAGTGGTGTCCATAGCCTCCTGTGAGGCACTGGACACCTGCTCCAAAAGCGATCTATGTGTCGTTTAGACTTCGCCTCCGTCGATGAAGCCTTTGCCCCCACCGGGCAGGAGGTTGTTGGGGCCTCCTTAGCCTCCTCATTGTTCTGGCTGCTGCCAGGTCTTGTAGAGGCCACTGGTGTGGACTGGTTGGCTGTGGGCGGGGCAGCGCTGGCTGCTCCCACAAGAGGGGCAGGTGGCTTTGACATGGGCACGCTAGACGTGGTCCAGGTAGCCGCCAAGGGCCACTGTGGTACCGCCCCTCGTTGCACCACTTCAGCGAAGGAAGTTCTTAGTGCAAAAGACGGTGAGACTCGCTGTCGTGCTTCACGGAACGTTATACTTTCGTTAACTTTTATGGCGATAATTTCTTTTTCTCTTTTCCAGGCTGGGCACGCTCTGGAGTATGCAGCATGGCTGCCTTTGCAGTTTGCACAGTGAATCTCATCATATTCGCAATCATCAGTACCGTGACTAGTTATGCCGCATTTACCACAAGTAAGCTGACCTCGACAGGTTTGAGATCCGTGTTCAAATCGTTGGCATTTAAAGCAACGTCTTGGGTTAGGAACGTATGGACGCACATGAAGTTTTACATAGCCGGTTTTGAGTGTCTGGGGTAAAATGCTTGAATTGAAAGTAAGTATTAGGTGCTTTGTTGTGGTTTCAGTGTTGTTGTGTCTGATTTTTATGCGCTGCACATGTGTTATGCCTTGGTCCTTCTATCCGTTAAGGAGTTCCTCTTCGCTTAGTGTCATAAGGTCTTGATCGGATACAACGCCCTTCACAGTGTTCAGAGTACAAGGTGCAGTAACTGATACAGGGGTATTGCTAAATGCTAAGAGCTGTGAAAGTTTGTTGTACTGTTCTTTTCCTTTTAATTCGAGGAGAATGTCCTGACTTGCCATCTTTGAGGCCTCATAGCCAGTCCCAAAGGTGTCTTTTAAGCACTTGGCCACGAGAAAAGGTGATATTGCTCTGGCTTTAGTTGATATTTCTTCACAGTGAAGAACATGGTATCTTGGGAAAGTTTCAATGTTTTGGGGGAAAAACAAAGAGGATGCATCGGTGCGTACCCTTTTCAGGGCACGGTCTGTTACAGGAGGACTCTGATGTCCCATGAAAAATGGCTTCTTCGGCAGCGGTGCCTACCACCCACCACGGAGCCCAACGAGGGGACGTGGCAGATCATATGAACAAGTCTGCCCTACGCCAGCAGTACTCTATTGCTATAACCGAATATGGTTTACCCTAGGTAGGATAGCTACACAAGGTTAACCCTAGCCGCCAGAAAATAATGAAGTGAATAGAAAAGAGAAGAAGACAGGACAGATTTAAAGAGGAGAAAAAGACGAAGATCTAAGACGAGAGAGACAGGAAAAGGCGACTGCCGATTTCCCCTGGGTGGGTCAGCCCAGAGGTGCCGTCTACGTGAAGCCGGGGCCAAAGGGGTGTGTTGCCTCAGCCGGGGGGCCTTAAAGGCCCAATCACCCGGCGTCGGCTCAACTCCCGGATTCCCTTTTCCCCGGACACGGCAAAGCCATGCTCCCTCCCACGCCTAGCCACAGCTAGGCGTGGGAGGGAGTCAAAAACTTCCCTGTTAGCTCGGGTTCGTGGTGACGCTACGCACCAAACGCCTACTCTCGCAGACGCCCCTGCGGGCATAGCTTATCTAGACGGTGATAAAAGCCACAGCACAAATGTGTACGAAGCTAGTTCTATTTTACAGATAACCACAATGCTGATGAGGCCTGATATCATTTTCTGTTGTAAATGAGCTTTTTATGGGAGAAATAAGACCTGGCGAAACTGCATTGGAGAATGTTCTGTTTCACCATTGTTCGTGGAAAGTAAAAAAAAAAAAACAAACAGCGTGCCATCATTCTAGTCGATCGTGGCACCACGATTGTCTTGTCACACAGCTGTAGTCTGCCTCATTCTGTCTGTGTCGCGTAAGTATTAAATTCCTCGTATGGTCACAACAAAACAGACTGTGTGCTCAAAATAACTAGCTTGTGCATGCCAAGCATAACTAAATCTGTTTCTAAACGTTGGTAAGGTTGCCGAGAAAACAATATCAGTGGAACCTCGCATAAGCAACGACGGTTACCAGTAACATTTGGGACAGTGGTGCACAGGGACACTGAAAAACCTGAAGTCTTCAGAATGTTTGGAACAAAGGAGAGCGGATCTTTGAGATCTCTGAACCAGACTTCTACTTTTAAAAAATTATGATAGCAGGTTTTATGTGCAAAGACCACAATACAATCATGAGGGATGCGGGCTGGGTAGAAATCCTGCCAACACCGAGGTTCTTAACGCTGACCTGAAGTACACAATGTCTTTATGCATATCATTATTATTATGTAAAAGTCCTCATTGAAATGTGGCCGGGAATCAAACCCACACTTTAGTGCACAGCAGCACCACATTATACGCATTAAGCTGTTACAACAATGGATGAAACTTTTAATTCATAGACACCTTTCGAAGGACACAGAGTGATGGAGGTGGTCATGACAAGATGACATAGATGCATACACGCTCGCTCAAGTTCGAAGCTTGTCGTGGTTTCGTATGAGTATACTTACAACTCGCTTGGCAGCTGGGTTGGCGCCTTGTTCGAGCAGTTCTTTGGCACAGTCATAGTTGTTGTTTGCGCAAGCTATAATCAAGGCTGTCGTTCCTTCCTGTAACGAACCATGAGAAGAGGACCGAGTAAGAAGCAAGCAAACGAACGCCTGACATCATGGAGTGCCAGCCCGCGTAGACGCGGCCTGACAACACCAGGAGGACACACAATTGCTCTCAGTACGGCTACGTCACTTAAAATGCACGCTGCGACGCCGAAAAACGGAGCTCCTGATAGGGGAGCGGGGAACGTGAGCCCGTCGATACAGGTCAATTTACCGGACAAGCGCAAAACAAACGTGCAACAAAATCACCACGCGTTGCCTAAAGCCCCTCAGATAAATCATACAACAAACGCGTCCTTAGTACCGCTCACCAGTTTCGGAAAGCAGAGCGTACAGTGCAGCAAGGTCATCTAAGCTTAGGTTTTTCAGTGACGTATTTCATGAGCTTCGCTTTCCGGTTGCTAGTCGCGAGATGCCCATGTTTGAACCGTGGGGTAGAAGGTACGCGTTGAGCTCATCTTGGAACTGCCAACCCTTAGTTTCAACAGCTGGCAACCGGCTCGAACTATCAGCTACCCAAGAAAATCGTTTCGGAGCACAGCGTGCGACAATAGTCCTCGGTGACACGCTTGCTACGCGAGCGTGCGTCACATGCGGGGAATTTCGCGAAGTGGCGGCGAATGACGCCGTGAAATGGATCAACTCACCTGATCCTTGCAGTCCACGTAGACTTTGCCGCTGTCGAGCACGCTCACGAGGAGCGGCAAGTTACCCTGGAGCGCTGCCAAATGCAGCAGTTGGGCCGACGGCGTCTCCTTCTGCAACGAGAAGTACGTGAAGTTCGTTCCCGCGAGTCCCTGGAAAGGCATCTTCATTGGAAACGTCCGTTCGCGAGAGTGCACCTCGCAGCAGCGTTAAAAGACACGGTATCTAGCGGTGGCAGTTCGGCGACAAAGCGACTGACGGATTGCCGCGCTGGTAGTGCGGTCGTAGTGGTACGTGCGGCCGTCACGCAGGCACGACCTCATAGCGACGGATTACTTCACGGTATCGCTCGAACTCGACGCTAATGCAGTCGCCAACTGATGGCGACTCGAGTGGTCGTTAGTAAGTACCGTCCTTTCCAGCGATTCCTAGCGCGACCGCGTACACGAACGTCAACCTAGACGAGAAAAAGCGCTAAAACACATCACGTCGGAAGTGGCGTCTGCGGCTTTGCGTAGAGTGACGCGAGAGAAGTGACGTCACGGTGAGGGCACCGCCATCTTGTTTTGGAAGGAGAGAAATGACAGTCGTCGCGGTGGTGAGAGGCGCCAGTCAAAGTGCGGAAGAAACATGATTGACGTGCTCTTGTTTTTTTTTTTTTCGAACCGAAGAGGTTATAAATAACAATACGCGCTCAAGGGAAGCAAGCAGTATCTGTTCGACGGCAAAGAGCCACAACTGTTGGCTGCGCATGTGCGTATGGAGCGACCTTCAGGTGTCACGCGTAGCTTCCGCACAGAACTTGGATTTTTTTCTTTTCGAAGAAACGAAGGTCTGAATAACCTAAGAGGCCTCCCGACGATTTAAAGCGTGAATTAGTCTGCTCTTACAAAACACAAGTAAGCGTATTGTACTGAACGTCAAAATAACCTTCTGACAAAAAAATTTAAATTGACACTGGAGGTTATGCTTCTCTGGAATGCAGACTTGCTCAAGAAGAAGTACCCTTGCAAGGATGAAAACGAAAAAAAGAGGTCCAACTAAAATATTCGAGCGGTGTGCTCAACTGAGCCGAATGACAGGGAAGCATACACTGATTACGTCGCAAGAAAAAAAAACAACCTTTACACGTTGACGTATGCAACAATTTTGATATCGTGGGAATCACGAGAAAAAAACGCGCGATGACCCAAGAAATGTGACATTGCGCTTGATACATGTCGTGGGATTGGACGTGCTACGCCAAACATAGCTAGCTGTATACAATAGCTATTCGAAATGCTGAATGTTATTCAGCGGTACAATGCCCTTTAATATTGAATAAGTTTTAAATAACATTTTCTAACTTTTTTCGCGTTGTTTTATTGGATTCCCGAACGTACGCTGTCTTCTGAATGTCAAACTGTGCAGTAGGCATGCGAAACAGGTGGCCGGGAAAACGTACACAGCTGTCAATTCCGGCAAAAGCGGCCTCGCGTATGCAATGCAAGTGTCTTCCGACATGCTGACGACACACTTGTACAAGTTGTATTCATGCAATACACAGCATACGTCGGATGGAGGAGTGCTATCAATACCGAACGACACTATACCGATATGGGGAACGGAAGCTGCAACATATTTGTTACGAGTTATTATTGCCGTATAATTAAGCGCATACCGACTGCAGTGCGTTATCACTATCCGTCAGCTTTGGAAGCTCTACCTGAAACGTACTTTATAATGAGCATCGCGTACTGATAAACAAGCATCGCAGATAACACCTGTGGGATGCAAGGACGAAAAATCGCGGGTACTTTACGTTAGCAATTTTCACGTGATCGAGCGTACATCTCCTTATGTCATAAGCAAGGGGACAAACTGTGGCGAGGAGATATTGAAGAGAAGTGCTGCGTCGTAACGTTGCGATCCAGTGCTGATACCTCGTTCATGATCTATTAACGACGCGATTCAAAACCCACGCCTTTGATGAGAAATTCGCGGCGTCACCTTCAACGGGGCTCGCGACGTACGTACCTTCAGCGACATGTTCGAGCTCTCTCAGCTCCACTAAAACTCTCCGTGCGACTACACTCGGAATTCGAGGTCGACAGGTTGCTGTCAGGAGCTGCTGAAAAACCGGCATATCTTGTCAATGATCCCGCAGAGAGGAAACCGCCGTCAGACCATTTGGGAAAACAGCAGACGAGTCGACGTGGGCAATGCCACCAAGCGACGCTCTCGGGAGGTGCGCGTCATAGAGGGCGGCACCGTCGTTTTACGGAGGTTGCTATGCGACGGTATCGAGGAGGAAAAAAGGTGCGTGGAGAAAGAAAGGTGGAATGTCCGTGTCGCCTGTTTCAGGCGTTGGCTCGTAGTGTGGGCATTCTTCTCTATGATGAATGGCTCGCCGCTGGCACCGTTTAAAGGGAAGGCAGGTTGAAATGCGACTCCAGTCACGCCCGTCACATGACACTCCGAAACAGGGCGACAGTGCAGTTACGAAGCGCATCGAAAAAACAGAAAGACACAGTCGCGAGGCATAGAATTTGGTGTTAGCAAAATAATTTCTATCTAGCGGTGGAAAGTGTTGCGAATAGAACGAATGCACCCCTGGATATTCTCGTAACCAAAACGAGCACGAGTACAGACCATATAGCGCTTCTGTATCTTTTTATTTTTTTCCAAGGGCACAGATACGCTATCATTATTCGGCGATTATATTTGATTTCATTAATAACTCGTTTCCGACAACCGTAAATTTTGCCGGGCAAATGAATTTTTTATTATTTTTGTTCCAACCTGACATTCGAAAAGCTGGGCTTTTTCTTGTACATAATTAAAGAGAGAGAGAGAGAGAGAACGACCGATATGACGTTAGAGAAGAAAAAATGTTGAATGAAAACATAATTTCTTACAAAAGTGGACATGGCATGGGCGATAAGAAGTTTCTGTATAGGCTGTGTGTGCGCTGGATCTGCATCAATGGAGGAATCTATCTATCTATCTATCTATCTATCTATCTATCTATCTATCTATCTATCTATCTATCTATCTATCTATCTATCTATCTATCTATCTATCTATCTATCTATCTATCTATCTATCTATCTATCTATCTATCTATCTATCTATCTATCTATCTATCTATCTATCTATCTATCTATCTATCTATATCTATCTATCTATCTATCTATCTATCTATCTATCTATCTATCTATCTTCTATCTATCTATCTATCTATTATCTATCTACATCTATCTATCTATCTATCTATCTATCTATCTATCTATCTTATCTATCTATCTATCTATCTATTCTATCTATCTATTACTATATATCTATCTGCTCTATCTATTATTTAGTTGGCCCGACGTCTCGAGGCTTCTCGTGAGACCCACATTCGTTCGTAAAAGTATAGAAATTCGCACTTTTATACCGAGCGGTATTTTTACCCGCCTTTGGATATATCAAATGCTATGTGAGCTGGAAGGCGCGCTTAAGCACTTCCCCCCCCTCTCCCCCGCGATCTTCACGGCTCCACGCGTGAGGTGGACGAAAAAGGTAAGGGCGAGAGGGCTCGGACTGCGCAATCTCCAACTTGCGGAACAGCTTTTTTTTTTCTCTTTCTCATGCATTCTCCGCATACTCACATGTCGTCTCAAAGAGTGGAAATGAAGGAGAAGACCTCCTCCTCCTTTCTCCTATTAATTTTTGTTCCTCCTTTGAAAGGTTTGATCAGCCAACCACAGCTCACGCCTTTTGTTGTTGCCTTCGCAGGTATCCATCGCCTCGCAAGCACTTTGTTGCTCTTGAGCTATCCCCTCACCTACGTATAACTGCATGTGCCGCATTTCTCTTTTGCATGTGTGGTGTGCAAAGCCACTGCGGACTCTAAACGCCGCCTTCTCGTATAGCTATGGCCAGTGTCGAGAAGTGCAAAACCCTTGAATTTACAATAAAGTTGAAGGCTATTCTGCATGTTGAGGCGGGCGGAAAATGTTCGCCCATTGCGGATGACTTCCGGACACCACAAAGCACTGCATAACCTTGTTCAAAACCAAGGCAGATATCACAGCAAAGGCGGTGCACTTCTGCCCACGGGTATGTAGAAAAGGCACTCTATGTTTGGTTTTCAGAAGCGCACACGAAGAATATTCCGATGGATGGCCCGATGCTGATCGCCAAGGCCAAATGGTTTGCCGCTGCTCTTGGGAAAACAACTTCTCCGAAAACAGCGGGTAGCTTCACCAATTTAAGCAGTGCTACAAAATCTTTGGCAAAACGATTTCTGATGAAAGCGAAGCTGTCAGCAGCCAAGACATCCAGCAGAGGATGACGAAGGAGTGGCTGGAATTCTCCACGAAGTTTTCTTTCGCAGAGACCTTCGATGCCTGGCGAGATGTGAAGACGGACACAGTGGCCAATTGTTTCCGCAAGGCAGACTTCGAGATGGTGGAAATTGCAGAAACCAGTGAAGACGAGGAGGAGTGCATAGACGACGCATTTCGCGAATTGTGATATGATCGAGACTAGCGTATTCAACATTTCAAAAACGATGAAGCAGGCAAAGATTAGTGATGATTTTTTACACAAATAAAACATTCTGTTGCGGAGTGTGTGTGGAATTAGTTGTCATTCTTGAATGCACCTATTGTGGTGATAATCCTCTGCAGGTAAGCTCTCGGGGACTCAATTTTTTATATTGAAGTTTTCATATATTGAACCTATTTGCGATCTCCTTCGAGTACAATATATCCATGTTCGACTGTACCTCTGTTCAGTGACTCTACTTGAAGTAAATGGGGCTTGGGTGGTGCTTGTAAAACTCAAATAGTGGTTTGCGATTCGATTGACACGTCTTAGATATGAGAAGCGAGCCCATGAAATCAAACGATCAGTACCGTTTAGCGCACAAAATTTCAGTCGTGATAATGCACATATTCGAGGTAGCCTGAAACGTAGTTGGTGAATTTAGGCGAAGGCGTTGTTTCTTTTTGTGTGTGTTTTTTTATCGCATTCAGTTCATTGGCAATGCAGGTCTATAGATGTTAATTTTTGGACATTTCAATACACACCACATCGCACACTAAGATTCTCAGACATTTGAGACTGCATGCTTAACATGTTTTGCACTAGTGTAGCCTATGAAGGAAGTTGTTTCGGCTGTAATACGGGTATTTGTAAAGTCGGCGACATGTACTTTATGAACAGTCTATACAGTAGTAAGATAATATAAAATTTTCAGAGTAAACGTAGTATGACAACAGCTGGCTTCCGGACAAGCACACGAGCTAATGTCGAACAATAGGAAACATAGACCTAACATGCACAAGAATGTGAAGACACATACTTGTGACTGGCACTTCTTGCCCTAGGTTTGCTGCAACAATAATATCCATTTGTATATTGAAGTATTCATAACTGTTTCACAAACAAACATGCATACCACACCTTAGTATGCTGAAAAGGCGAAAAATTTGAGATGACTTAATTGCTTCTCCCAGCAC